TTGTCATAACAGCACGAAGAAAACGACAAACGTGAGATAGAAAATTAATAACTTAGGAGGAATTGGAGGACACTTCCGCAACGATGGCCGCAAAATGGTGACGGAAGAAAATTTCTTCCAAGCGTCAGATATCGAGGAAGGCTTTAACCTGATGCATAATCACCACTTTCCTCTATCCTTGACTCATATATATATATATTTTTCCCCCGAAAAAAAGTATATCTGCGAAAAAGGGCCCAGCGGCCTCTTCACGGTCTCTTACGATCTCTCGGCAAACTGTTTTAGTCGAAACGTTGAAAGGGTTGCTATTTTGAGGTGGCTCGCACTAAATATGGTCAGATAGGCGTTGGCGTTGTACCCGGGCAAGGCACCCCTGCTCAAGCAACGGTGACGTAGTGGGGGAGATGAAGCAAAGTTACTTAGACAAGTTCACTTCTATGATTCGGACAGTTGGTTCGTTCTGACCATCTCGTACCATCCTCTTACAAACCAACTGTAGACATGGTAAGTAATCGAGCAATAATCGTGATCGCTTCATCGTGGTTTTGGATGATTAAAATCGGATTCCCTCGGGAAAAATATTCGGGATTCCCGTTGTTCCTTCCGTAGAATTTTTTTTTTCCTTTTTTTCTCTCTCTCTCTCTAAAAACAAAAAAGTGGGGATATCACGGAGAATGTTACGCGTCGAATACGTGAAACATGGTGGTGGAAACATATTCGACCTGTTTGCAAAAGGGTAAATTTTGGAAAATTAGACGAATCGTATACTGTAAACTGTGTCTGGGATTATATGTATATATGTGAATGGGATTCATCAGAGTGCAAAAATTTGCACGAAATATACAATATTTTGTGTTTTAATGAAGTGTAAACAGTGATCTTTAGTTAGATTTTTGATCATTTCCATTTTTTAATTGGATATATTTATTATTTGCTTTGTTCCATTCCGTGCGTTCCATTTGTTACACGCAGCTTTGGATTTTAATTAATCAAATTTTTGACTTTGGATTTCGATTATTATTTTTCTATAATAAAATTGTAACTTTAGAATGTTAAATCAAGGAAATATGTCGTATATTCAATGGTGATACACCATTGGATTTGAAAATTTTTCAATGGAAAGATTTTAAGTTTAATCTTAATAAAAATTTACTGTTTAATTAGTTTCTAAAATTTCTAATAATCAATTCTTGATACAATTCATATTTGAATACAATTTACTTTAATTATATGTAATTAGATGTAGTTGAATTTCTTTTATTTTTTTTTTTCTACATGAATGATATCATAAAATCGAGTTTTTTGTCTTATAAGATCTATAGTTGTTTATTTATTAGATATATATTATAAAAATAAGAGAATTACGTAAGTGCATAGTAACTCGAGAGGCTGTACGGGATAAACGGTCTATATTTGTCTTGGCTTATTTTCAACTATACTATGGATGATAGAAGGACCCTATTTTTAACTCTTATGAGCAACGCCTTCCGAATTTTCTTTGATGTTATTCAAGCTAGCTCACTTTTAGCTAAACATTAGATAATAATTGGAATACTTTTGTTATATAATTTCAATTATAATTTCATAAATGTCCATTTACAAACAATTTGTATTAAATATTTTATTTTTATTCTTTCATCTTTTTATTTTTTATATTTTGAAAAATTGCAATATTTATAATTAATTGATTTACAATATATAGATGCGATTTGTATATTTTTATTAAAAAATTGTCAAGATTTATTTACAAAAAAGATTGCATATTTATTGTTACAAGCTTTGTATAAATATTGTAAACATAATATAATGTATTAATTAAAAAGACACAAGAAAATAAAGTATTTTCTTTTTTACAAATACTTTTTGATCTTACCCAAAATGGAGAAATTAAATTTAAATATCAATTTAATTTTTAAAGAAATTAGATAAATTTTTCTTTTCCCAGAAGAAATTTATAATAATGTTACTCGAATGATATACGAAATTACGATGAATTTTAGGCGGATAAAGAAAAGAAGAAGAAGACTAAAAAGAAGGAGGAGGCAGCGCCAGCACCTCCTCCACCAGAACCGGAACCGGAACCGGAAAAGCCACCAACCCCAGCACCAAGTACACCCAAAGAATCTGGCTCAACTCGAGCAAGTAGTCGGGGTAGCCGCAAAGCTAAACGCGCTGGATCCAGCGTGTTTTCTATGTTTACTCAGAAACAAGTTGCCGAATTTAAAGAGGTAGATCGAAATTTTACACGAATAATTATTATTAGACTCTAAAACTTAATTTTTAAATTCATAAATCTTAAATTCGAAATTCGAGGCTCAGAATACTTTTTTCCCTCCATTTTTTTTTAAATTCATTTTTCAAAAAATTAAATTTCTATGTTTAATTTTGTCACTATAAAAATTATTATATTGATCACATTAAGACGAATTCAAAAATTTGAATACAATCTCAATTATTTGTTATTTACTTTAGAGTTTCAAATAAAAGTATTTTACAATATGTTTGTCTTTGATCCATAATTTTTATTCGCTGTGAACATACAGAGAAATTGATCATCTGATAAAGAATAATATTTTTTATTGATTACGTTCACCAGGCATTCCAGCTTATGGATCAAGACAAGGATGGTATAATTGGAAAGAACGATCTTCGTGCCACTTTTGACAATGTTGGCCGTCTGGTCACTGATAAAGAGCTTGACGATATGCTAAACGAAGCTTCCGCTCCTATCAACTTTACTCAGTTATTGAATCTCTTCGCATCTCGCATGTCGGGATCAGGTAATACCAATATACATATAGCTATATATTCACAAAGAGATATGTAATCACACTTATATGAATTTTCTAATTTAGCTGAATAATTTAGAAATTAGGTTCCTCTGATAATTATCCAATATTTTAATAATACTATTCTTTTTGATTCTCAGGTCAGGATGACGATGAAACCGTAGTCGCTGCCTTCAGTACCTTTGATGTCAATGGTAAAATTGATGGTGAAAGGTAAGTGATTATTCTTATCGTAATTAAAGCATACTTTTTAATCCCTTGTAGTCGAGAGATAACTTTCTTAATAGGTTTTGTGGAAAAATTGGAGATTCATTATCTTACTTTAATGTTGAGTTAAACAAAGCTTTGATAAAGCTCATATTTTTACAATTGATTTCAGATATTTTACTTGACATTTATAATTCTCCATATTCCAAAATATATACAAATTGTTAATATATTTGTAGGTTATATTTAGAAAGTATGATATGCTATTGTAAGCAATTTAGAGATTAAATAAAGCGAGACGAAGATAAAGCTTTACCGCCATCTGGTGTAAAAATAAATAAATAAATTGCACTATTTCTTTCAAATAATTTATAGATTGATTTAAAAAATATTTTTACCATCTTCGTAACAAACATTTGAAAAAAAAAATTTCTAAAAGAATGGGACAAATATACTGATATTTTTATTCGAATGGATTCGTAATTTTAATCAATATTATTGACAGATAATTCGAACATGTTCTTATAAAAATTGAATATCCCTTTTCTTAGGTTGAGGCACGCCTTGATGACGTATGGTGACAAATTTAGCGCGAAGGAGGTCGACGATGCGTATGATAATATGTATATTGATGATAAGGGATTTATCGACACGCAAAGTCTTATTGCAATGTTGACTGGACAGGAGGAAGAGGAGGAATAAATTTAAGTGACTCTCAGCATTAAAAAATTTCTGTTAAAATTCTGTTCACTGAAAACGAAGTCTCGTGTTAGCGTCAGATCCGCTTGATCCGTTTCCAAGTGAGGAAAATCAGATTTATTAGAAGTAAAAATATATACGTTTGTTATAAATATTTTTCTTCTCATTTGTTTTTCGATTATTTTTAAAGATTGATTAAAGATTTTTGCTCTGATAAAGTAATGATTGTGAGAAATGGATAGATGAATGAATAGATTCTTGGAAGTGGAAACAGCGTGTCTGCCGAAAATCGAGGCTTTGAATCTCCATATTATTGTTCATATAATAAAATTATTTTAAAACTTTACAATGATTCTTGTTCTAATTTTGATCCGTCATATATACGTATTATTCAATATTATTACGCATCTTTTCCTTCCAAAATTCTATGAAACAAATTCTGATAACATTAAGTAAAAAAGAATGTTTTTGCGTGTGATTCATTTAGAGAATAATTTTTGTATAGTATCAGTATCAGCTATTACGTTTCTTGCATTTTGTATTATTTATAAAAAAAAACAATAAAACAATGTTTATCAATAATACACATTGAATAAAACATAATTACTTATTACTTCGAATATTCTAGTAGAAAATTATATTCTATTTAATTTTTTTTTCAAAATTTTATCATTTATTTTTCTTTCAATGTGTGTAAGATGCAATCGTGTGTTGTGCAATAATGTGACATAATTTAAAATTAAACTTTTAATTGTGATTACATAATTTTTTGAAAGTCTCTCTGCTTTAAAATTGGCAAAATATCAAATTGTGTGATGATGATAGTCAATTATGTGATTTATAATTAATCATTAATATAAGTATATACAGGATATTCATGAAACACTTTTGAAAGATCGATTCTAGAGGATTCTAGAAGAAAATAAACGTAAAAATATCGATTGAAACTTATTCATTGAGTTATAAACAATTTTAGAGAAAGGAAGATAGAGATAAAGACCTCTCTGTCATATTTTCTCATTTTATCCAAAACAAACTTGAATAAGCTTCAATAGATTCAATAATATTTTTGTATATCAATTTTTACGTTTTGATTTTTAGAATTGATATTCACAATATAGTATTTGAACAACTTTTGTATTGCAATAAAGTACTTATTATTATATTATAATAAAATAATCGATATTTGCTCTGTGTGCCTTTATTTTATAAAGATATAGAGTATTATATTTTATTTTAACATGGTGTCTTACTTAAGTAAGTGAAATACAATAATGTAAAAATTTTGTTTTGTAAAATAGATATAATAGTTTAAAAAATAATGAAATTAAAAAAATAATTTTGAATGTATTACAAGACAAAAATTTTAATTTGTTAATTAATGAAATTTACTTACTCAAAAACTTACTTGAAAGTTTTAAATCAGTCCATTATACGTTATTGTCATTGAATAACATAGTATAGAATTGATTAAAATTATGCACATTTCTTGTTTTTTTTTTTTGTTTAATCATTGCTGCTTTCTTGTTTAAACGATTTATATAACAGGACACTTGATAAACTCGCGTAATTGAAAATTGGAGGAATTATGTGTCTACTGTTCGTTGTTTCAGCAAAGTGAAATATGACATTGTGGTACTCATGATCTGCAATGTAAAAAGTAAAAAAATATTATATTATAAATAAGAATTGTGATAATTGCAGTAAAAAAAAAAAAAGAAAGAATAGAAGAAAAATTAAAATAAATTTTAACATTCTATATCAAAAATAAGATCTATCTTATATTTCTCGTTAAAACTTCTTTTGACAAAAACAAATTTTTATTTCCGGAATTTTTTAAATGCAAATTCATAGTTAAATAGCAACAGTTATTCTTTTTAATTCGCAAAAAATTAAATACTTCTTTTTAAATAAACTGAAATTAAAAGAATAACAGTAACATAAAATAAATAAAATATCTAAATATAATCAATTATTAAATTATTTCAATATTAAATTATTTATATCAAGAAATTTGGAAATTTGTTTCTAACAGATTAACAATTTTTTTGTGAAAATAAAAATCAGACGAATCATTCGAAAGACAAATTTTCCGATCTCGTGAAAAATAATAGTTACTTTGGTGTAAGTCTCAAGGGATATGGGAAAGAAACCGCACGCGGTCAGGCAACAAGCTTTTCTTGCCCTCATGACGACAATTTGCAAATCTTGTCGTAACATTTTCCCAAACTTATCCATCGGTAGATTCATCCATGGTGAGGTATACACGGCCGAAGCTATTTTCGCGCTTTCTTGCGTTATGCAATCACAACTGTACGTGAACATCCACAACTGGCACATACCGGCGAATAGGTAACATATGAAGGAGATGCGATAAGAGGGGGTGAGATCTGCCTGTTATCAATTATACACGATATTTAATTGCAATATTCAAAAATAAAGATTTCTTTTGTCGCTAAGTTTGTCGATAAAAAAAAAATAAGAAAATAGTAATTTTAATACACAAATAATTAGTTAAGTACTAACCAAGATCACTTGATATCCAAGGAAACAGAATAATATACTGAACATTAATATTTGCCCGATCACGATTATTGTGAATATCTCTTCGAGGATTTCGCAGAAATCGAGGAGAGCTTGATGCTGTTGAATGTAATTTTTAAACGCGTTGTAACACTCGTCTGAACAATTTTTTCTCGTGTCGAGGTTTTCTTTCATTTTTAAAATTGGCACATTGGCTATTCTGTATTGTAATATACGAAACTGGCAAGCTACGTTCAGGCACAAGATGCAAAATATATTGTCGAAGCAAAAGTAACAACTACCAGCCTGGTTTAAAGCAGCGATCTGTTCAAAACACGAAAAAAATTATTTTTCGATTCGTCAAGAAGGCGTCAAGAATTGAAATTAAACGTATAAATGGAATAAAACTTTCAAGTTTGAAATATAGATATAATGCAAATACGTTTTCTTAAATAATTCGAATTGAAATATTGTACATTGTCGAAAAGAAATTTTACAGAAATTTTTATATCAACAAGAAAATGATTAATACCTGTATCGTGTATGCAATTTCATAATACGGTGAAATAGACAATGGCAGGTCCAGATACATGTTAAATATAAGTATCCTATCTGTTTCGTTTCTTCCAATATTTGCTAAAATAATTAGTTGTAATAATATTTAAAATATGTACTTAATTATATAAATAAATTAATATAGTAGAGTATCAATTATCCAAATTTTTATTATTTATTGTTCAAATAATTGATGCTTTATTATATTATATTTTTCATTTTATATTAATTTATTTTGAGATAACATAAATTGAAGCTTGACGATGTAACAATTAAATCAAATTAAAAATTGAACTTAAAATTCAACAATTGTAAAGATGAACTTACTCAACAATGGTCTGAACATATACATGAAAATCGAAGATAAAGAAGAAAATGTGAGAATGCAGACGAAATACGCGGTTATTTTCTTCGTATCTTTCACGATTAAGTTTTCCTCTTCATCGTAGTTGTAATGCCAGAAATTTTTCTGCATGTATGTCATTAAACCAAGAAACTTTTTCTGATATATGAATAGGCTGAAAATTTTGAAGAAATCCATGACGAGTCCCAAACCATCGCATGCGATGTAAGTACAGGCCTATAATAGTACGGTATTATATTATTGATTCAAAATATAGGATTGAAAAAATTACAAAGTACTTTCCATTGAATACCTTGGAACAATACTCGTGAAAGAACATAAAGAAAATTAAAAAAAAATCCGTATAAAATTTATTATTGACTTAATTTAATTTCTGATGAAGTTTTCAAATTTGGAACTACTTTTGATTTGCACTCGAATTTTACGAAAAATCTGTTATATTATAAATATCGATATTTTTCTTCACAGTTTATTAATTTATTGTTGTTTCATTAATTTTGTAAAAAAGAAATAGATCGATAAAATGATCAAAAATAAATCTCTCTTCTTTACAGCAAAAATAAAAATATTTTTCAAATTATCTAAATTTCTACGTTAAATTAATTAACATTAATATTGAAAAATATCGAAGTTCAGAGCGATATAACAATTTAAAATTATATAAAAAGATTTATATAATTTTGAAAAACAACAGAACTTTGACAAACTTACGCTAAAGTCTCCCCAATTGAAATAAAGTCCTCTTATTTGAACCCATGCAGAGAATGTGATCGCAAGTATAGTATACCCGATCACGCCAATTCTGAACCATTCTTCCAGGCGACTGGTGGTTAACCAAAAGCCAACGACCCTTAGATAGAAAGATGCCACGGTAAAAGCAAGGTCTTTACGATATTTCAAATTCATACTGATCTTCGAGCGATCAGATTGCACGACCAGGGATTTATAGGGAGAGCGTTCTATCAATTATCTATCAAAAGTTTCAGAACCAATTGTTTCAACATACCGTCCCTTTCATCTCCAAATATACTTTTATTCGTATATAACCGACACGTATATTATATTTATATTCGACTTTAATGATATTCGTGAATTGCCACGAAGAAAATGTATTATAATATCCATTCACAAATGCTATCGATATTTCCATAGTATTTTAGTCGTAATGTATATGATCGGTGAGTTATGCATGATTTAGGATACGATGCGTTGCAAAACTCTCCACTGTGGAACTGTGTATGGTGGGAGGCAATCGAATATAACAGCGTAACAGAAAGTTTTGGATAGACTGTTTAGTTCTGGATAGAACTATATTGATGTTGTATCAGGAAAGAAAAGACATTAATCTGTGGATATTTTTATTGTTAATTGTGAAATAGAGACGTGTATATATGATATATTTAATTCGGTATAAGTGCATTTGGCAGAGATAGGTTAGGAAAGTAAAATAAAAATAAATTTTCAAGCAAAAAAAGTTAAGGAAGAAAACATTTTTGAAGGTATTTTTGATCTATTATTTAATATTATATGTTATCTTGTTTTGTGTAATCAGAAATAATATGTTCTCTTTCTTTATAAATCTTCTTTGGGACATCTAATTTGAATTTAATTCGAAATTTATAAAATAGAGTAATATTGATGTAATGCTTGTAATATTTGTGAGAATGTACAACAATATTGTTTTGTATATCCAAGGAAGAATGATAGATAATATTAAAAATTAATAAATTTTTATTGCTATAAAACTATATCTCTGTTATTTGTGTTAAACATAAATAAATACAAGAATTTGACTCATGTACAGCAACAATATGCACTATTAAAATATACATATTAAGAATGTGCCTCTGAATGCTGTTTTAGTAGTGTAAAATATGATGCCGCAGTACTTAAAACCTGTAACAAATGAGGTACACATTCAACTTAGGTCAACAATATTTCTTCTCTTTCCTAAGATTTGTATTATATTGAGTAAAATATTCTATGTCACAATTTTTAAAAATAAAGTTTTAAATTCATTTAATTATACATTTAATTATACTTGATTACATTTTTTTACAAATTTCATAAAACTTTTGGAGTATAAAATTTTTTGTATACAAGATAATATGTATACTATAAAATATATTCCAGTTCTACTTACACTAGTGTACGTTTCCAAGGATACGACGAAAAATCCTTTACCTGTTAAGCAACAAGGTATACCAGACCTCATAATGACGAGTATCAAATCTTTTTTCATCATCCTTCCGGTTGTGGTCATTGGTACCATTGGCCAAGGTCCTCTATTCGCTGCCGTGGCTACGCTCAAGCTCTCTCGTATGATACAGTCGCAACTGTAAGTGAACATCAGCAATTGGCATAAGCATACCGTTATGTGAAGGCCGAAGATTAAACGTGTTGTGGTAGATGTATCTGCCTAAAAGAAGTGATACAATAATTATGTCATATATATATATATATATATATATATATAGGATGTAATATTTAAAATTTTTTTTTGAATTAATAAATATTCGTAACTTTTGAAAGATTTTAGAGATTAAAATGAATATAAAAGTTCATATAAAAGTAAAATAATTCAAGTATGCATTAGAGTGAAATCGTTTTATCTTCATTTCTTTTTATTTGCTTTTTACTTGAAATTGCTTATAACTTGAAATAAGCTTCAATCAATATTTTTGTATTTATTATGATTTCTAGAATTTTTTAAAAAGGTATATGTATTGATAATTTATATAAAATCAGTTCGATTCGATTTTTTTTTAATATTTAGCGAATTAATATAAATTAATTGATTGTTCGATTTCTATTAGTCAAATATTAAAAAGCAGAAAAGTTGTTCGATGATAAAAATTATAAATGTATTAAATTAATAGTTCATATTAATATAATATACTAACCATAAGTACTAGATATCCATCGAGACAAATTAACATGCTGAACATCAAAACTTGTTCTAGGACAATCAAATTGAATACCTCTTCAAGTTTTCTGCAATACGCTATAAGGGCTTGATGTTGGCGAATACACTTCTTAAAAATGGCATAACATTTACTTGCAAAGTAGGACGAGTCCACAATTAATTTTTCCTTTTTCTCTTCTTTTCTAATTACCAAATCTGTTATGTTGGAAATTCTATGTTGCAATACTTGAAATTGTCCAGCCACGTGTAAATTCATAATGCACAAAAAATTGTCGAAACAGAAGTAACTCACCCCAATGTGATATAAGGATATCACCTATGGAAATTCTTTTTTCTTTTAATTTTTTGAAAAATCTTATAAAATATCAGGATTTAGAAATTATTGGATACAAACAAATATGAAGAAAAATCTTAATTAACTGTTAATATTTTATTATTAATGATTTTTATTAATTTCGTAACACGATAATATGGAAATGAAGTTACAATACCTCTAAAACAAACGTAATTTCATAGTATGGAGTTATAGTTAGTGGCAAGTCAATCCATATGTTGAATGGAAGCACTCTATCTGATTCGTTTCTTCCAATATTTGCTGAAATGTAAGTACAAATGTAACGACATTGATCATTATATTTTTTAATTATTATATTTATATTTATAGAATTTTTTCTTTTTTTTTTTTCGTTTTATTATAAAATTACTAAAAATTAAATGATATATTAAGTTAAATATTAATAAATCGTTTTTCTGATTTGCGAAAAATTTTATTTTTATGTTTTATTTTGATAATTGCAAAGCTGAAATCAAACTCGAATTCAATATTATTATTATTATTAAAATAAGAATAATAAAAAAAAAATTTACGAAATTGTCAAATTGCAAAAATAAGAAAAAAATTCGAAATTTTTGAATTTTTGAAAAATTCTTGACGATCCATCTTTGAATTTTTGTGAATTTTAACTTACCAATAAGTGGATTAATAATGTAAGAAACAACGGTCGCTAGAGTGGTAAAAGTCAAAGAACAAGTGAAAAACGTGCATTTCCGTTTACAGTTGAGCACAATATTTCGTTCGTAATCGTCATAATCTCCATGTAAAAATTTTCTTTGTAGATATAAAATCAAATAAAAAAAATCTTTCCTATGCACAATCAGAGTGATCAGTTTCAAAAGGGGTGCGGCTATTGACAGCATATTGCACATAGAAAAGATACATTCCTATAAATAAGGGAGAAAAAAAATAAAAATACATGTATATTAAATAATTAATTTATTATTCGTAATTTATTATTCGTGAGATTGTTACAAATGATTGTAGAAATTTTAATATAAATTATATTGATCAAAGTTTTATTCGAGAAATTCATAAAAATATTAAAAGTATTCTCATTTTTTCAAATATACAAATTATTTTTTTTCATTTTATTAATATAATATATATGCTGAATTTAAAATTTTTTTTGTTAACGATAGTTCGTATCGAAGCACATTATAATAAAACAATTAATAAAATATTACAACAAATATTATTTAATAATAATACATAAATCTGTATGATTTTATGTATTTTATAAAAATTTATAAATTCCATTTCAACACAAATGATGATTGACTTACAGAAAAATCGCCCCACGAATAATACATATCCGTAATTTGTAACCATAGTCCAAAAACAAGCGCGATGATGCTGTACACGATCGTCATGTTTCTCACATATTTCTCTGATTGGCCATTTGCCATCCATATTCCTATGAGTTTTATAAAAATCGACGACAAGTTGATGGAAAAATCGTCGTTTTTCATTTCGATGTCTCTGACAACCGTGTAAAAACGACTGGAATATCTTCTCTCAGATATTGAACTCAACACGTTTGTGTAAGGTTTGTGCATCGATTGTTACTAACTTCTAGCGATTCAGTTCGCTTTGATCTATCCTTTCAGTGTATCCTTTAGTTACAGATCGCGTGTACTTTCTATTTATTTTATATTGATTCAGTGAAACGGCAAGAAGAAAAGAAAAACGGAAAAGAAAAAAAGAAAAGAGAGAAGATGACAGAGAACTCGCGATTCTCAAGAGATTGGTGCTTGAAGAGCGGATGGATCAAGCGTAGATCGAACCTAACCTATTGATGTGTTATGCATGATTCATAGATGGACTTCTCTGTGAAATCGAAGCGGTGTTAGCAGCTGTCGACTCTGACGACAGGGAAATTTCAGCATGTTAAATGTGAATTGTGAGAGTTTGTAATTTATTTTTGAATACGTAAAAGGATGGTGACGAAAGAAGGTCTAGAAGGAAAAATTGATGCGAAGAAAAGGAAGAATATTAATTTGTGCGATGTGATTAAATAAAGTGAATTAATTTACTTAACTCGATGAAGAATTTATTTAATCATTATTATTCATACTATTTTTTAAACAAACACTTTGATGAAATATTATTGATATATATGAAATTAAATTTATAATAACATTTAATCTTATAAATTAATGTTATAAATTATGTATAAACGAATTTTCTTGGAATTATTTATTTAAATAGCATTCGCGTATATCGTTTTAAAAACAAAAATATGCATATTCGATATCTAATCAAATATATGAATGTGTGAATGAAATTTTTGAAAAAAAAAACGAAACTTCATTTTACTTATTATTTGATCGTATCATCAATTATCTTGTACATATGCAACTTGTGAAAGAATTATGTATTTTCTACTTCTATGGTTCGTTGTTTTAGTATCGTGAAATATGACATAGCTGTACTCATGATCTGCAATGTGAAATTTTCAGTGAAAAATTTTAGTAAGTATTTCAATTAAAATTTCTCGATGACAAGATTATTCATTCTAAAAATAAATCACAACATAAATATGCAATATCAAAAAATTTTGGAATTTCTTTTTTTCTCTATTTAATCTTAAACAAATATTTAATATTTCACATAATTAAGATTCATTTTTAAAGCGAATGATTTATCGAAGTTTTATTGAAAAAGAAACTCGAAAAAAAGGATTAACTTTTTTAATAATATCGTTAAAAATTACCTTTGTATAAGTTTCAAGAGATATATCAAAGAAGCCACAACCCGTCAGACAACAAGCACGTCTAGATCTTACAACAACAAATTGCAAATCTTTTCGTATCATTTTTCCAAATTTATCCATTGGCATACGTGTCCATGGTATAGAATACACAGCCGAGGCAACATTCACGCTTTCTCGTGTCATGCAATCACAACTGTAGGTGAACATCCATAGTTGACACATGTTGGTTATTAAAAAACATAGGAAGGAAATTCGCCATGAAAAAGTCAAATTCACCTGTGTACCAAGATATATCGATATGATTAAATAAATTAAATAATAGTATAATTTTTTAAGTATAATAAAATTCTTCTCCATAAAAACAATTATGAATTAAATGAGTGTATTTCATTTATGATATTGGTAAGAATTTCCTTGAGAATATAGAATGTGAAACATGGAGTATAAAGAATATAATAAAAAAATATAACAAAAATTTTTCTCGTAAATAAAATACATTAATAGTGCCTAGAAAATTATTTAAGAAGGATATTAAATTTGAGTTGGAAAAATTAATAAAAATTTTCAATAGAAAAATAGTTTAAAAAATGATAATAATACTGACCAAAAGCACTTGATATCCGACGAAACAAATTAATGTGCTAAATATTAGAACTTGCCCAAGTGTAATTATTGTAAATATTTCTTCGAGTGTGATGGAGAATTGAATTAGAGCTTGATGCTGTCGAATACAATTTTTTAATATGATGTAACATCTGTTCGAAGAATCCATGTTTTCCTCATTATCGACTCCTTCTTTATCTTCTACACTTGACAAATTGGCTAGCCTATATTGTAATATACGAAACTGGCTAGCCAAGTGTAGACACATAATGCAAAACATATTGTCGACACAAAGATAACATATTCCAACTTGATACAAACACAAAGCCTATGTGCATGTGATAAGAAATCATTCATTAGTAAAACTTTGAATAAAATTTGACGCAGAATTAATAATTAATTTAAAAAAAAAATGTAGTTTATTGTAGTGATTATATATTAATGATATATAAATATGAAGATAAGATATAAGTATCCAAAACTTTGCAATGGATTCAATGAAAAATTTGTTAATAATCCAATTCTCAATTTTAAATTGATTGTAATTCAATATTTGGGATGCAATTTTTTTTATTTATGCAATTCAAATATCAAAAATATAGCAGAAATTTTTATATTACAATTAATATATATTTAATTAATCGTACATTGATTAAAATATTAAATAAAAACGTAACTTTTCTTTAGAAAAATGATGAATACCTGTATCACGTAAATTATTTCAAAATATGGCGACATAGACAATGGTAGATCTAGCCACATATTAAATATAAGCATCCTATCCGATTCATTCTTCCCAATATTTGCTAAAATGAAATTGCAAACGATTCGTTTTCTTATTATTTGTTAAAATAGTTGATTTCCACTTTATAATAACTATTTACAAATTTAAAATTAAATTTCAAATTTTCAAATTGAATTAAAAATTATTATTTTTTTCAGCTTTTTAATTATGATTTGTTAAACTTACATATCATTGGCATCAATATATAAGAAAAAATCGTGGACTGAGAGAAAAATGAGAAGACGCAGACAAAGTAGACACACATTTGTTTTGCATCTGCTATAATAGAATTTTCATACTGATCGTAATCCAAATGCCAGAAATTCTTCTTCATGTATATGATCAAACCAAGAAACTTCTTTTTATGTATAAATACGATGAATATCTTTAATAAATCCATTATTAGTCCCAAACTATTGCACGCGATGAAAGTGCATATCTAAAATCGAGTCCAAAGTTAGAAAAATTATTGATTTAAAATGTCAAAAATGTCAAATTCGAATATAATTATTCGAAAAAGTAAAAAGTTATCAATTCCTTTTCAAATTATTAATTACATCGTCAAAAATAAAGAAATCGTGTTAGAATTTATTATTTTCTTAAAAAAAAATCAAAAGATAGAATAATTTAATTCTTCCAATTTTTCGTATAATATTTGAATAAAATATATTTTTCATCACTGAACTTACACCGAAGTCTCCCCAAGAGAAGTAAAGGCCTCTCATTTGTACCCATATGGAAAAAATGATAGTGATTATACTGTACATCACTGTTGCGTTCCCGAACCATTCCTCGAGGCGACTACTTGCCAACCAAAAGCCGACGACCCTTAGAAAAAACGTAGCTAAACTGAACGAAACGTCTCTACGATATTTCAAACTCATATTGGATCCCGAGAGATCCAATCAGATATACCGATTCGCAATTTATAGGGGGATCTATCTATTAATTATCGAAAAACTTTTCAATTGTTCTCTCTTTCTCTCTCTCTCTCTCTCTCTTTGATCTTCTCCAGATCATTCTCTATTGTCCATACGTGCATAACGTTATATTCGTTATATTACAGTGATATTGGCGAGTTGTTTCGCAGGCAAGAGGAAAGAGAATTGCTATACGATATGTCTTTATTCATGATCTATTACTTACCTTACTTCGGTACGTAATGTATGTGATCAATGAGTTATGCATGATTCACGATATTGTAAATCCTCTGTGAAGTTGAAGAAGTGTGTGGTGGTGGAAGATACGGTCTGAGAAAGATTGACGTAGTGAATTGAAATTTGAAAGAAATGGTGAGTGGAAAAAATATTTGTGGATAATCTTATCGTTAGTTGTGAATAACAAGTGATGAAATAAAATAAGTTTTTAATTGGAAAACGATTTAACTTAGTGAAGATGTTAAAGATGTAATCTTTATCCTATTATTTTTAATTTAAATAATTTTACATTTAGGGGATTAGAAATTTATAGAGATTCGTTCCTTTATATATTTTTCAAAAATGAATGGTGTGTCGATAACAAATATATATATATATATATTACTAAAAAACTATTTCTCTCTTTGTATTAATCACAGAAACAGAAAGAATTAAATTAAGATAGAAATACTATCTACACTACGTTATACTATTTATATTACGCAATACAAATGACACGTATTACGAAGTGACTTCTGTGCGCTGTTTCAACAACGTGAAATATGATGCTGCTGTACTTAGAACCTATAACAGAAGAAACTGACGAATTAATTTTGATATCCAACACCATCCGTGTACTCGATTTGTTTATCAAATTTCTTTTCATTTCGTTTGTTGGCATATTGTAAATTTTATTATCATTACAATGTATTTATTAAATTACAGATATAAATGACGATTAAAATTATTATTACTTACACTGGTATACGTTTCGAGAGACACAATGAAGAATCCTTTTCCAGTTAAGCAACAAGGTATGCTGGATCTCATGATGACTAGAATCAAATCTTTTCGTATCATCCTTCCACTCGTGGTCATTGATAACAACGGCCAGGGTCCACCGTATGCTGCTGTTGCTATATTCACACTTTTTCGTATGATACAGTCACAGCTGTAGCTGAACATCAGTAATTGGCATAGAGATCCTAATATATGGAAGCTGAAGATTAAACGTGTTTTGATATCTCCATCTGCCTGCGAGAAGTAACATTATAATAATTTGTATTTGGGATCTCTTGTATGAGAATGGAAATTATATGAAATAATTAATTCACATTATGGTACCAACCATAAGTATTTGATATCCATCGAGGCAAATTAGTAAGCTGAACATCAAAACTTGCTCTAGGACAATCAAATTGAATACCTGTTCAAGTTTTCTGCAATACGCAATAAGGGCTTGATGTTGGCGAATACACTTCTTAAAAATGGCATAACATTTACTTGCAAAGTAGGACGAGTCCACAATTAATTTCTCCCTTTTCTCTTCTTTCTCATTATCGATCGAATCTATTATGTTGGAAATTCTATGTTGCAACACTTGAAATTGTCCAGCCACGTGTAAATTCATAATGCACAAAAAATTGTCGAAACAGAAGTAACTCACCCCAATGTGATATAAGGATAATGCCTATGAAAATTCTATTTTCTTATAATTTTTTTAAAAGTGTTATAAAAATATCAGGATTTAGAATGGAGAAAAATCTTAATTAATATCGTATTATTAATAATTCTTATTTAATTCCGTAACGATAATATGGAAACGAAATGACAATACCTGTAAAGCGTACGTAATTTCAAAATATGGAGTTATATTTAGTGGTAAGTTAACCCACATGTTGAATGGAAGCATTCTGTCTGATTCGTTTTTTCCAATATTTTCTAAAATATAAGTATAAATAAGAAAATAAAGTTAAATCACAGATTCTTTTTTTTTTTGTTCTTGATTTTTTTTTCTGACGAGATAGAAGCGAAAACTGTTAAGAAAAAAATACGTTTCTCCTATTATTTCGTGTCTTCTAATAATGAAAGAAAAAAGGCAAAAAATAGCAGATTACATTTTTTTACAAGAATCCACTCACCGATAATTGGACTGAATATGTAAGAAGCAACAGTCGCCATTGTAAGAAACGTAAAGAAACAAATGAAGAAGGTGCATTTCCGCTTGCAACTGATCACGATCTTCCTCTCGTAGTCGTCGTAATTTTGTAATTCCAGAAAATTCCTTTTCATGTACAGGATCAAACGGAAAAAATCCTCTCTGTGACTAAATAGAATGATTATCTTCAATAAGGGCATAATTGACGATAGAATATTGGAGATAAAGAAGAGACAAGCCTGTGAATAAGAAATAATTTAAATTAAAATTATTTGTATCGAGCGAATAACTCGTTATACTTACGCTAAAATCGCCCCACGAGTAAAATATATTCATAGATTGTATCCACAGAGCGAAAATAATGGCGACCAAGCTGTAAATAACCGTGATGTTTCTTATCCGTTGTTCGTATTGGTTGCCCGCCATCCATATTCCCACGAGCTTCATAAAAATTGACGTCAGACTGACAGATACGTCGCTTTCCAGAAAATTCATATCGTTTTCACTTAATAAACTGGCTGGTACGTTCGTACATCGAACTATACCAGTACAGAGTGCATATTGATTATCGCAATGGAGGCGAGTAGTCACTTTGATCTATTGATATTCTCTATTCATCGATCGTGTAATTTGTGTTTATTTCATATTATTACCGCTACATGTGGTCGTTTAATGAAAAAGATGAAAAAGAAGTGGAGTGGAGACAAAGAGGATATATACGTTATTCTTCTTATTTAGTAAAAAATGAATTGTTATCGATGCTCTATGCATGATTCAGGAATTACGAAATCCCTCTGTGAAATCGTAACGTTGCTGACAGCTGCGTCTGTCTCTTTGATAGAGGGAAATTGCGAATTCAAGAGATAACAATTATTGTAATTTAAAATGGAAGATGAGAGTAGAAAGGTGAAGGGGTACTATCCATAACGAAAGAATTTTTAGTGGTTACGAGACATTGATTTGTGATGTAATTCTATGAGAACGTTTTTCTTAATTTGTGAAATACATTATAGAAATATATATATATATATAAAACTACAAACAGTACGAAAAAATTGTATAATTTCAAACTAAGGTATCAATTTTTTTATCTATTTTCAACAATATTTATTTCAACAATAATCATATAATTTTAACTAATAGATTTTTTATTCGATTATTTGATTGAAAATTTGTATTATTAATTATGTTTCGTTCCCACTTTCTATATTGTTTCGTAACAATGTAAAATACGATGCTGCGGTACTCAAAACCTGTAACAAAGTTAATCAATTTTAACAATTTTATTCATGGAAATTTATTAAATTACAGATGTACTTGACGATTAAAATATTACACTGGTATATGTTTCGAGAGACACGATGAAGTATCCTTTTCCTGTCAAGTAACAAGGTATGCTGGCCCTCATAATGACTACTACCAAATCTCTTCGCATCATCATTCCGCTTATAGTCATTGGTAGTAACGTCCAAGATCCTGCGTATGCTGCTGTAGCTACACTCACGCTTTCTCGTATAATGCAATCACAGCTGTAGCTGAACATCAGTAATTGACATAGGCATGATAATATATGGCAACTGAAGATTGCACGTGTTTTGATATCTCCATTTGCCTTTGGAAAATAATGATATAATAATTTATATCACATATATTATATCATGAGAATGAAACAAAATTATCTGACTTTTTATTTTCTTCGAAATTTGGAATAAAAGTAAAAATATAAATCAATTCATTCTCATTTTAATTATTTGAATTTTAAAAATAGAAGAAGATATATTTAAGACAAGAAATATTAATGAATCGTTTGTGATCTTATTATTTTTAAAATTATGTAAAAACTATAAATCATTGATTTATATCACTCTACCATGAGTATTTGATATCCATCGAGGCAAATTAGCAAGCTGAACATCAAAACTTGCTCTAGTGCAATCCAATTGAATACCACTTCAATTTTTCTGCAATACGCTATAAGAGCTTGATGTTGGCGAATATACTTTTTAAAAATGCTGTAACATTTATTTGAATAATACATCGATTCTATAATTAACTTTTCCTTTTTCTCTTCCATTTTAATTATCAAATCTGCTATGTTGGAAATTCTATATTGCAACACTTTAAATTGTCCAGCCACGTGCAAATTCATAATGCACAAAAAGTTATCAAAACAGAAGTAACTCACCCCAATTTGATATAGGGACAAAACCTAATGACACATAAAAATTCTAAACTTCTTTTTTATAATTTTTGAAAAATATTATAAAATATAATAATATAATAAATAATATAATATAATATAATAAATAAAATATTATAAATATGTATATTTATTGGATACAGAAAAAAAGGAAAAAAAATTATCTTAATTTTAGTTAATTTTGTATTGTTATTAATGATTCTGTCGATTTTAGGGAAATGAAATGGTAATACCTGTAAAACGAACGTAATTTCAAAATATGGAGTCATATTTAGTGGTAAATTAATCCACATGTTGAATGGGAGCACTCTGTCCGACTCGTTTTTTCCAATATTTCCTAAAATGTAAGTACAAATAAAAAAAAAATTACATTATATTTTTTCTCAATAATTAGAATTACTTTAAATTATATTCTCGCATTATTAATCATTAAAAAGTAACGAGAAATACACGAAATCTGAACTTCAAAAATAATAAGTTAAATAAATTTATATTTTTTAACAGAAGACAGAAAGACAGAAAATTATATTTTCACTCAAGCGTTGATGTAATCGACTCACCAATGATTGGAGTAATGATGTAAGAAGCAGTAGTCGCCATTGTAAGAAACGTAAAGAAACAAATGAAGAAGGTGCATTTCCGCTTGCAATCGATCACGACTTTTCTCTCGTAGTCGTCGTAATTTTGTAATTCCAGAAAATTCCTTTTCATGTACAGAATCAAACGGAAAAAATCTTCTTTGTGAATAAGCAGAATGAATATCTTCAACAGGGGTAGAATTAACGACAGCGTATTGGAGGTAGAGAAGAGACACGCCTATGAATATATATGGAAATAATCGAAATTAAAATTATTTGTATCGTGCGTATAGCTCGTTACTTACTCTAATATTTCCCCACGAGTTATATATATCCATAGTTTGTATCCATAGAGCGAAAAGAATAGCGAACACGTTGTAACTAACCATGATGTTTCTTATCCGTTGTTCGTATTCGTTGGCCGCCATCCATAATCCCACGAATTTCATAAAAATTGACGTCAAGCTGACAGATACGTCGCTTTCGAGAAAATTCATATCGTTCTCACTTAATAAACTGGCTGATACGTTCGTACAACGAACTGTACCAATACAGAGTGAATATTGATTATCGCAGTGGTGGCGAGTACCCACTTTGATCTATTGATCTATTCTCTATTCATCGATCGTGTAATTTGTATTTATTTCATATTATTACCGTTCATACATATGGTCTTTTAATGGGAAGATGAAAAAGGTGGAAATAAAGAGGATATATACGTTATTCTTCTTATTTAGTAAAAAATGAATTGTTATCGATGCTCTATGCATGATTCAGAAATTATGATAACCCTCTGTGAAATTGTAGCGCTGCCGACAGCTGCGCTCTCTTTGATAGGAGGAAATTGCGAATTCAGGAGATAACAATTATTGTAAATTGATAACAATTTACGGAAGATGAGGGTAGAATGGTGGAGGGCTATTATCTATAACGAAAGAATTTTTAGTGTTTACGAGACATTGATTTGTAGTGTAATTCCATGACAACGTTTTTTCTTAATATCTGTGAAATACGTTATAGAAATGATATGTGTAACGATAGTGCAAAAAAATTGTATAACTGAGGTATCAATTTTTATCTCTTTTCAACAATATTTATTCTCAACAATAATCACATAATTTTAACTGATAGATTTCTTATTCGATCAGTTGATTTATTATATCAGAAAATTTATGCTTGTATTATTAATTACGTTATTAATTATCGTTCCCACTTTCTATATTGTTTCGTAACAGTGTAAAATACGATGCTGCGGTACTCAAAACCTGTAACAAATTTAATCAATTTTAATATTTAAAAAGATTATTGTTATCAATAAATTTTCATTTTTCTTCTTCTTGACACGACACGAAAAATAAAATTTTGTTCATGGAAATTTATTAAATTACAGATGTAACCGACGATTAAAATATTACACTGGTATATGTTTCGAGAGACACGATGAAGTATCCTTTTCCTGTCAAGCAACAAGGTATGCTGGCCCTCATAATGACTACTATCAAATCTTTTCGCATCATCTTTCCGCTTATAGTCATTGGTAGTAACGTCCAAGGTCCTGCGTATGCTGCTGTAGCTACACTCACGCTTTCTCGTATAATGCAATCACAGCTGTAGCTGAACATCAGTAATTGGCATAGACATGCTAATATGTGCAAACTGAAGATTAAACGTGTTTTGATATCTCCATTTGCCTATGGAAAATAACGTTATAATAATTTATATCATGTATATTATATTGTGAGAATGAAACAACTTTTTATTCTCATTTTAATTATTCGAATTTTAAAAGTCGAAAAAGATATATTTATGACAAGAAAGATTAGTGAATCGTTTATCTTTTTGTTATTTTTAAAATTATTAAAGTTATTTAAAAATTATAAATCATTGATTTATGTCACTCTACCATAAGTATTTGATATCCATCGAGGCAAATTAACAAGCTGAACATCAAAACTTGCTCTAGGACAATCAAATTGAATACCACTTCAAGTTTTCTGCAATACGCTATAAGGGCTTGATGTTGGCGAATATACTTTTTAAAAGTGGTGTAACATTTACTTGAAAAATACGACGATTCCGTAATTAATTTCTCTTTTTTCTCTTCTTTTCTAATTACCAAATCTGCTATATTGGAAATTCTATATTGCAACACTTTAAATTGTCCAGCCACGTGTAAATTCATAATGCACAAAAAATTGTCGAAACAGAAGTAACTCACCCCAATTTGATATAGGGATAAAACCTAATGACATATAAAAATTCTAAACTTCTTTTTTATAATTTTTGAAAAATATTATAAAATAAATATTATAAATATTTATATTTATTGGATACAAGAAAAAGGGAGAAAAATTTTAATTAATTTCGTATTGTCGGTATTAGGGAAATGAAATGGCAATACCTGTAATGCGAACGTAATTTCAAAATATGGAGTCATACTTATTGGTAGGTTAAGCCACATGTTGAATGGAAGCACTCTGTCCGACTCGTTCTTTCCAATATTTGCTAAAATAGAAATAAAAAAAAAGAATGACTGTAATTAATTTTCTTTACTTTATTCTTAACGAATTAGAATTACTTCAAATTATATTCACGCATTATTAATCATTAAAAAGTAAGGAAAAACACAAGAAATTTGAACTAAAAAATTTTAGACTATATATTTATCTATAACAAAGTTAATAAATTAAATGAATTTACGTTCTTCAACAGAAAACAGAAAGATTATTATATTTTCACTTGAGCGTTGAATTAATCGACTCACCAATGATTGGACTAGCGATGTAAGAAACAATAGTCGCCATTGTGAAAAATGTAAAGAAACAAATGAAGAAGGTGCATTTCCGCTTGCAACCGATCACGACTTTCTTTTCGTAGTCGTCGTAATTTCCCCGTAAAAAATTCTTTTGCATGTACAGGATCAAACGGAAAAAATCTTCTTTGTGACTAAGCAGAATGAATATCTTCAACAGGGGTAGAATTAACGACAGCGTATTGGACATGGAGAAGAGGCAAGCCTATGAAATGATCGTAATTAAAATTATTTATTATAATAACTCGTCATACTTACGCTAAAATTTCCCCACGAATAATATATATCTGTAGTTTGTATCCACAGAGCGAAAAGAATGGCGACCACGTTGTAAGTAACCATGATGTTTCTCATCCGTTGTTCGTATTCGTTGGCCGCCATCCATAATCCGACAAGCTTCATAAAAATTGACGTCAGGCTGACGGATATATCGTTTTCGAGAAAACTCATATCGTTTTCACTTAATAAACTGGTTGGGTACGTTCGTACATTGATACTATACCGGTACAGACTGAATATTGATTATCATCGTAACTGGAAGCCACTTTGATCTATTGGTATTCTCTACTCATCGATCGTGTAATTTGTATTTATTTCATATTATTACCGTTCATACGTATCGGTCTTTCAATGAAAAGATGAAAAAGAGGTGGAGAAAAAAGGGAAGGGAATCACGGTGATAAGTTATTCCTCTTATTTAGTGAAAAATGGATTGTATCGATGCGTTATGCATGAATCAGGAATTGTGAAATCGTTTCTTGTCCCTTTGATGGTAGGAAAAATTGCGAATTAAAGAGATAATTTGTAGATGGTATAGCTATAGCGTCTATAACGATAGAACAAAGAATTTCTAACGCGCCGAGACATTTAGATAGTGATTTCTGATGTAATTCATCGGAATGAGTATATTTATATATATATATTTTTTTTTTACAAAAATCGTATATCCAATTCTATTTTTGAACAATGCCAAAAAAAAGTTTTAATTATAACAATTAATAATAATATAAATAAAGGTAACAATTTTTATCTTTCTTTATTTTAAGAATCGCTTATATACAATTTCAACTGATTGATTGATCGATAATCGGTTGTCGATTGTCATTAGTCATCCTTATCATTTTCTATATTATTTCGTAACAATGTGAAGTACGATACCGCGGTACTCAGAATCTGTAAAACGAGTATAGCATATACAAATTTAAAGTTTAAATGAATATTATAACGACATTGTTAATGATCGTTTAATAGAATTTATATCGTAATATTTACTTACTGAATCAGCAAATATAACACGAGTATATATTTAAAACAACGAGTGTAAAATTACCGTAGTATAGGTTTCCAAAGATACGGGGAAAAATCCATTCGCGGTCAGACAACAAACGCGTCTCGATCGCTCGATCACCATTATCAGATCTTTTCGAAGCATTTTCCCAAATTTGTCCATCGGCATGATCGTCCACAGTGCTGAGTAAGCTCCTATAGCGACGTTGCCACTTTGTTCTATCACACCGTCGCAACTGTATGTGAACATGAACAGTAAAGACATGGCGCCGATTAAAAGAAAGACGAAAATGGAACGTCTTGCTGAAGGAGCGTTAGCCTAAGAGAGAACAATATTTTGAGAAGATGTATATTTTTTGCGTAATTAAGGTATGTTCGAATATTATCTTAATATTTATAATCAAATATTTCGTAATAATTACACGTGCCATTAAAATAAAATTTCGAAATTTTCGAAAAAATTTTCTTCGTTTACAAGAATAAATAGATGATAGAGCCAAGTAAAAGGTTACAAAAAAAAAAAAATTAACGGGTTCAACGAGTGTTTAGAATAATTTTTATACTAACCAACAACACTTGATAGCAAAACAGGCAAATTAACAGGCTAAATACTATCACTTGCCCGAGTATGATCATCGTGTATACGTTTTCAAGCTTCGTGTAAAAGTTGATCAGGTCCTGATGATATCGAACGTACTCCTTAAATTTCTCGTAACATCTGTGCACATGTTTTGCCAATACCGTGTCTTTTTCGTACTCTATGTTGCACAGTTTCGCGAATCTGTATCTGAGTATGCGAAATTGGCCAGTCAGATGGATGGCCATGATGCAGAAAACGTTGTCGAAGCAAAAGTAACAGATTCCTATGTAATACAAAGTTATTATCTGTAGGAAGAAATAAAAAAATGAAAATTTCAGTCGAATCAATATTTATAGTTTATATTAACAGTATATTAATGCTATAATTTCTTTTAGAAAGAAAATGATGATGATTTTGAAGTTTCAAATGATTTTGAAAGCAGATAGCATTTGATGTAGATAAATTTATTTCTTTGTATTTTCGTTTTAAAATAAATGTTCAGAGATATCATATCGTAAATTGTGATAAAATGTTAAAAGAAAATTTAAAATACCTGGAGAAGAAACAATAATTCATAATAAGGCGTTTGTGAAAGTGGCAAATTCACCCACATATTAAATGGAAGTATTCTTTCGGATTCATTGTTTCCAATACGAGCTACGAAACAAATATGATCTTTATTATTGTTTTCAAATATTTTTACATAATTATTTAACTTTTTATATTATAAAAGTATCAAACGAACGAAAGTATACGAATGTTCAAACAAAATGAAAAATAAATTTTTTTCTAGAAATTGAAACGAATACAAAATTGAAGCTTTTGTTTATTGAAGTTGTAAACAATTTTTCAGATTTTTTTTTTTTTAAATAAAGCAAGTTTTGATCTGTGGAATCGTTTCTTTCCACTTTGCCTGTACAAGAAATGATCATTTAAAATTCTATAAATAAATATAAAAATATATTAAAATACCTGTGAATGGTGTCGTTAGATACGATAGTATAGCGCATATACCGATAAACGTGACAGAGGAAACGAAAAAGGCACAAGTTTTTTTGCAACTGTTCAAAATCTCTTTCTCGCGAGAATCATAATTAACATTCCAGAAATATTGTTGCATGTACACGATCAGATTAATAAATTCACTTTTATGCACCATTATGACGCATATTTTGAGCAAGATCATCATTACACTCATATAATTAGTAAGGGCGTAAAGAATATCCTGAAATTAAATTGTTAGAAAATTATTATTATTAATATATAACAAACGTAATAACCTGTTGAACAATTGTTTCTTGATAGTTTTAGTTTTTACAAAAATTAATCATATCTAAATCGACACATTTTTCTCCCCCAAAAAAAGAAAATAAGTTTCAAACTTTTGTACTGCACATCTTCTTCCAAAAAGCCAATTCATACACGCTTACTGTAACTGTCGGTAGTTTCATACAAATATAATACACTCGTACGCCATTGTAAATCCAAGTGAAGTACAAATCTCTACTACTGATGATGGTTGAGAAGAACGTGCACCAAACCGTATAGGCAAGCATCCCCTTTCTTCGACGTTCATTCGTGGAATCGTCAGCTATCCACAGCCCTATGTTCTTCAAGAAAAATGATGACAAATTCACGGATATATCCAATTCTTTTTCCATTTGTATTGTGTCCAAATGTGTCGTTTACTTTACACGCTCAAACGCGTAATAATAACAGGATTATCATCGATTCTTTGTCCCTCGTGTCTTTTCTCGCTTTTTTCTTTTCTTTTCTTTTTTACCTTGTAAAAGAAACGGTGCGAAACCTGATTGCCACCTTTCAAGAGGGGACAGATTGATTGCACTGTTGATGGATTTCTTTTGCATTATTTACGAGCATATCGCATGGATTAACGCATATAGCGAAGCTCTCGATGAGCTACGATCTTTCGAACTGTATAGTCGAATAGTGAACATCGTTCGAATAATACGGAATATTTTTAGTGAAATAATATTATGATTTTATTTTTGTTATAAAAGGGAATGAAGGTAATGATATATATATATATATATATAGTTGAGGTTAATTCGTGGTTATTATAAAGTGAATAAATATTGCACAATTACGAGTGTTTGCTGGTGTGAGTGAATAATGGTAAGAATATAAGTAAGAATAATTATACAATTCTGTTAATTATTAATTAATTTGTAATGAAAATATCTTCATTGTTATATTATTCGTTCATACTTTTGTTATTTTTCGTTAGAAATATATTTTATAATTTTTTAAAACACTACATATAGTTGCTTTTTTTTTCTAATACCTTCAAAAAAATTTATATATATATATTACGCTTCGTTTGCCTTTTCTACGTTGTTTCTTAATAACGTGAAATATGATACTGCAGTACTCAAAATCTGTAAAAAGTGAAAAAGAAATTCATTTTTATGAAAGAAGTATTACAATTCATATCACTAATAAAAATTAATAAAAATTTTATATATTAATAAAGGATAAATAAAAATTTTAACAAATTCCAATAATTTTTCAAATTCTTAAACTATTAAGTCATTATTTTGTTAGAGAAAATTAAATTTTTATTTTATTCACTTTTATTTAAATTTATTAAATAAAATTAATAATATTTATTAAATAAAATAATTCTTAAACTATTAAGTCATTATTTTGGAGAAAATTAAATTTTTATTTTATTCACTTTTATTTAAATTTAATTTTTACTTTCGAACGCAAGTTTTTAATTAAGTATTATATTTATCAAGTGTATTACTCACTGTAGTATACGTTTCCAACGATACAGGGAAAAATCCATTCGCGGTCAGACAACAAACGCGTCTCGATCGCTCGATCACCATTATCAGATCGTTTCGAAGCATTTTCCCAAATTTGTTCATAGGCATCACGGTCCATAACGCTGAATACGCACCTATAGCGATATTTTCACTGTGCTCTATTACTCCATTGCAGCTGAATGTGAACATGAACAGTAAAGACATGGCGCCGATTAAAAGAAAGATGAAAATGGAGCGTCTCGCGGAAGGCGCGTTAGCCTAAGAGAGAATAATATTTGAAAGAGAAAAATTATGAAAATATCGTTATTTTATCTTATATGGGATAGAAAGAACGTATATTGGAATAAAGTTTCCACAAATCGAGGTATAATTTTTTTTTTCTTCTTTACAATATACAATACGTATTTTATTTACAATATGGTTTGTTATAATTATGCATCGTTTCATTGTATTTTATACGATGACGAGGGACAATAGATTCAATATTTCGATATTTCTTTTTTTTTTTAAATTTTACAGCAAAGTGAAATACTAACCAACAATATTTGATAACCGAAGAGACAGATTAACACGCTAAATACCAATACTTGTCCAAGTATAATCATAGTGTACACGTTCTCAATTTTCTCGCAATAATCGATCAACGTCTGATGGTATCGAACGTAAGCTTTGAATCTCTCGTAAAATGTTTGCGCATGCGCGAACAGCATAGATTCCGTGCCTTTCTCTGCGGATATTTGATCTTTTATATCGCACAATCTCGCGAATCTGTATCGAAGTATTTGGAACTGGCCAGCCAGATGTACGGTCATAATGCAGAAAATATTGTCGAAGCAAAAATATGATATTCCAATGAAGTAAAAAGTCATTATCTGTTGAAAAGCGAAAATATGCCTGTTTTTTTCGTAATTAAATAGAAATTCGATAATTCGAACAATTTATAGCGAATTATTATTAAAGTATTTAATTGTTTAAAAAAAAGAAAGAAATTTTAAATTTACCTGGTAAACGAACATTAGTTCGTAGTAAGGTGATTCCGATAATGGTAATTTTAACCACATGTTAAATGGAAGCATTCTTTCGGAATTATTGCTCACAGTTTGCACTGAAAAGTGTATATAAATAATTTATTTTATTCTTACATTTTTTTTTTTATTTGTTTCTATGCCACTGTGTTTATCCTATACACTATATTATTCTTTGTATTCTTTACATTTCCTTCTATTTGCTTTTTTTAAATTTTTTTTTTTTTAATTCTCTATTACAATGATTTTATCATGATGAATTGTTTTAATTCATCTCTTATCTCTGTTTCTCGTTTGATATTTTAACTTACCAATGAGTGGTGTAGCCAGATAGGACAGTATAGCACATATTCCAATCGTTGTAACCAAGGAGACGAAGAAAGCACAAGTTCTCTTGCAATTTTCCAAAATTTCCCTCTCGTGAAAATCGTAGTTATCGTTCCAAAAATTTTCTTGCATGTACACGATCAGATTGATAAATTCCTCTTTGTGCATTAGTATCATGCATATCTTGACTGTTATCATCATCATGCTTAAAGCGTTGGTAACAACGTAGAGAATATCCTGAAATACAACGAATATAGTATAATTAAATAAAATAATATTCTCATTAAACGTAAATATAAATATTTTATTAAATCGAAAAAATTTAAAAAATTTTTTTCCCACCTTATATATATATAACATAAATTTCTTTATTTATTTATTATTTCGCATTTCTATTTTTCAATAATGTTTCGTTATTGTTATAAAATTTATAAATATAAATAATCTGATAATTTATACTCACTCCATTGTAAAACCACGTAAAATACATATCTCTGCTAATAACAATCGAGCTAAGCATAATGCACCACATCGTGTATACAAGTATCACTTTTCTTCGACGTTCGTAGGAAGGATCGTCCGATATCCATAGACCGATGTTTTTTAAGAAAAAGGCTGCCAAGTTCACCGATACGTCCAATTGAATCTCTTGCATGTTGATTCTTCAACCTGTCGTTCGATCTATTAACCTTTATGCGTGTCTCCAGTACGCGTGAATCCCCATAATAATAATAACAGGTGTCGCTTTAACGTGTCAATTTTTCATCTTTCTTATATTATCCTCTTTTTTTTCTTTTATCCTATGGAAATAAGGTGATGGAAAGGTAATTGCCACTCGTTGAACAGGTTGATAGTGGACTTCGATTGGATTGATGGATGTCTCTTTGCATTATTTAAGGGGGGATGGATTAACGTGTGGGTGCTTTGAATATAGTTTGAGAGTGTTTCGAGAGTGTTTCGAGGACGTTGTGAGTTGGATGTACAGTTAAACATTGTTCAGAGAATTACAATATTTTTTCGTTGTTAAAAAGAAAGTGTAATTGATATTAAATTTATTTGCTTCTTTGTTTCATGAGCAAGGGTTGAAAATGAATTATATCGGTAAGGATATTCATTTCTGGAAAGAGATAGGATAAATTCCTAGAAATTAATGAAAAAATGAAAATGAAATGATTATATTATGATTATATTAAATTAGGAAATTTAAAACATTTTTTTTTATGTAACATTATTATAAAACGTAGAATATTATTTTTATAACGCTTTTTATTATTTCTTTAACGCTTTTTATTTCATTCTATTTTTTTTCAAAAGATAAATATAATCAATAACTTGAATTTGAAAAATATTTTTCTTTGAGTATATTTAAAATTTACTCTTTGCGTTTCGAAGTTGTGTTTAAGAAATATTTGCTGATTGATTTCTCAACAATGTAAAGTACGATACCGCGGTACTCAGAATCTGTAAAAAGATAAATTTAGATTTTTTTTATATTATCCTAATTAAATCTGATATAATAATAATAACTTTTGTATCAGAAATTTTTTACAAATAATTATTATTACTTACTAACTCGTTAGATAATTTGTGCATGTTTATTCCGAATATTTCTTTGAATTTATCATATGACAAGGATGAACATCTCATAATGTATCTTTATACATATAAAAATTTGATTTATTACTATAAGTATGGCTTGAATGATTTTGTTCCAAATGTTTACTTACTTCAGAAATTTTTTAAATATTGTACAATTTTTGAAATTTCCATTTTTTCTTCTTATAAAATTAAATCACATTAGATATTGCTACTTTGATGATAAAAAATTGCTTTCCTCTTCTTTGAAGGATTGGTTTGCAATACATGCATACTGTAATAATTTTTTTTCATATTTTTTCAATGACGTAAACCATGAAACTGCAACACTCAAGATCTATAATGAAGATTGTGATGATTTCTTATATTTTTTAATGAAAAAATTCTTAAAATAAAATTTCAAAAATTTAACGTTCAAAAGTTCAAGTTTTATTTAAAAAATACGTGTTTTGATAGTTAAAAGCAATATGTTCATATTTTTTAAACTAATCAAATAAAATTTATATAACAAGGATTCGAAAAACAAAAATAATAAAATTAATAAAATTAATGTTTTCTAAAATACAATAATTAATATTATTATATCAGATATGGTAAATTATATGTAAATTGTATGTATATATTGAACAATTAAAGAACATACTTGAAAATAGAAAGAAAATAATTTAAAAGAGAATCGAAAAAAATAAAATATTTTTTTCAAATTGAAAGTTGAAATCATATCCTTCTAATTACAAATAATTAGAAATCATTGATATAGATCAATAAATTTAATATTTGCATTTTATCTTTCATTTTGGATTTATCAATATAGATCTTTAATTTTGTCAATTTTCAAGAATATCTTAATAAAAATATCAAATTAAAGTAAATAGAGAAAAATAACATTGCTTACCCCAGTATACGTTTCCAACGACACGGGGAAAAATCCACAAGCAGTCAGGCAACACGGTGATCTGGACCTCATGATAACGAACATAAGATCTTTACGTAATATCTTTCCATATTTATCCATGGGCAAATACAACCACAAGCTGTTGTACACGGCATTAGCCACGCTCATACTGTCATTCATCAAACAATCGCAACTATATGTGAACATCAGTAATTGACACATGCAACCCATTAAATGAAATGTGAAAATAACACGTTTTGCACGGGAAGTATCTTCCTATAGAAATTGCATTACCATCATACCTATTGTTATTAGTATCAAATGTTAATATTAATGTTTAAAAATCAAAATTAAAATATAGACGAAAGAATCAATTTTCGACGCAATATGTGAAAAAAGATCGATAAAAATACGGATGAATCAGAATAAATGATATTACTAACCATTAGTACCAAATATCCGTCAAGGCAAATTAACAAGCTAAAAAGTAACACTTGTACCAATACAATTGTACTGAATATATCCTCCAATTTTTTACAATATTCGATCAACGCTTGATGTTGTTGAATGCAAGTTTTAAACGATTTATATTCATCTATACAGTACGATGATTTCGAAACTTTGTAATAATTGTTACCATCATTTTTTCCGCATATATTTTCAAATCTATATCTCAAAATGCGAAAATGACCAGCTGTATACAGATTTATTACGAATAGAAAATTGTCGAAGCAGTGGTAACATATGCCAACTTCATATGCACTCAGAACCTATGGAAATATAAAGTATAATATATAGTAATATTCTATTACTATATTGCGGATTTTCATGTAAATACGCGTTTCATATATTCAACATATTACACGATTAAAGCTCTATTAAAATTAGAAAAATTTTGAACCATTATAAAAATAATAATATTTGATCAACGAATCGAAGATTATTATAGAAATGCGAAATCTTGCTCTTTGAAACGTTTCTTGATTTATCCCGATACGACTCTCGGTTTCCAAAATATCTTATAAAGCGAAAATAATTTTTAATCATATATCTTAAACTCTATTAAACTCTATTAAAATTGGAAAAAGTTTGAATCGCTATAACTCCAAAGATAGTGATCTTCGGCCAACGAATCAAGAATCGTTAGAAACCCTGAATCTTGTCCTTTAAAATGTTTTTTGATTTATCTCGATACGATTTCCGGTTCCCAAGATATCATCGGGTAAAGAAAAGGTTAATTTTCGATCATTTATTATTTTCCTTGTCGGATAGCTTTTCGTCGAATCATCGCTACCTTAGAAATTCTATTAAAATTAGAAAAACTTTAAATCGTTATAACTCCAAAGATAGTAATCCTAGATCAATGATTAAAAAATCATTAGAAGCGCGATATCTTCCACTTTAAAACGTTTATTGATTTATCTCGATACGATTTCCGGTTCCCGAGATATCATCGTGTAAATAAAATGGTAATTTTAATCGTTTACTACCTTCTTTCTTGTCTCTTACTTGACTCTCTCGCTCGCTATCTATCTTTCGCTATCTCTCTCAAACTCCAAGCAAGCGACAAATGCAATTCCTGGAAAAATGTAGCGCACGTATTTCCAGGAAAAATATGTAAGTCACTGTGTAGCGAACCCATTCATAATCTGTGCACTGTTTTAAGAGGAAACTTTGAATCTTTGTATCTCGACAATGTAATGAGATATCGGAATGAATCAAAAAGTGATTTCAATAATATGATTTCTTGTATTTTTTGGTGAAAAAATATTTAATTTCTTCTTTTACATGAGAAGTTTTATATGTGGTTTTGAATGAATGTAATAATATAAAATACATGCAAATATGTATTCATCAGTTGAATAAATTTTAGTTACATAAAAATCCAGAGTTTATTCATTAAAAATGATTATCTTTAATTTAATGAAGGATTGATTATTTTTCTATCTATTTATTCTATTTAATCTATCTAGTTAAAAATTATAAATTTTTGATGGGAAAATAATTTATTTAGTACCTGTATTATATATATTATTTCGTAATAGGGTGACAATGATAGTGATCGATCGAACCACATATTAAACGGATGTATTCTGTCCGATTCATTTTTTCCATTATTTACTAAAAAATATATTAACAGATTATTTTTTTTATTTAAATTAATTATTATTAATCTTTTCATTCGTTCATTTTTAAATTATTAGATAGAATTTTATTACACGAATAATTCTAGGATAAGAATTTGTGTTATTGTTAAAATACAAATTATTTTAGCCAATTACAAAAATGTCTCACCAAAAACTGGTGTTGTTATGAAACACACAACTGTTCCTTGGGCGAAGAATGTGAACGAGCAAACGAGGAAAGAGCAAAGGTGTCTATAGTCATCTATAATCATTTTCTCGTGTGCATCATAATTAGTTTCGTGCCAAAAATTCGTTTTCGCGTAATTAACTACGTTAAGCAATTCCTCGTTATTTATGTACAAGATGAAAATCTTGAACAAAACTAAAAGGATAGTTATAATATTGCATCCAACAAAAATAGAATCCTGTAATCGAAAAATTATAATTACATAATCTATTCTTTGAAATTGTTATTTATTACTCGAAAATTATATCTATATTAATAAATTGGAAAAAAAATAAGATAATTAATTGTTGAATAACAAATTTATCGAGATAATTGAACAGACGCCATATTTTCATAATTTTAAAGAAGAACGTATTTAACAAAATTTTATTTTTAAAAAGACACAATCATAGAATCGTGCTTATTTTAAACAACGTATCTTCTCTCTTTCACAATGTTTTTCAATTTCGTATGAAAAAATAATAAAAATAATAAATATATATATTAATGAAACTTTTTTATAGACACTTTTAAAAAATTTAAAATTCAAATATTGGTATACAATAGAATTTACTTTATAAAAAAATAACCAAAATTATTAATTTACAAAATTCAATTAATTTCAATCAAAATTCGCAAAGAAAAATTCTACTCACCTCGAAATTTCCCCAAGCGAAGTATAAGTCTCTTCCTTCGATACTAATGGCCATGAACGCGAAGAAGATCGTAACAAACATAGCAATGTTCCTCCAACGTTTCTCCGCGTAATTATTCGCCACCCAAAACCCGGTGATTTTCATGTAAAAGGCCGTGACGGTGATCGATAGATTTCTCACTTTCCTCGCGTTCATTCTTTTTGAAATAAATCTTCAAACTTCCCTTCTCGATTCCTTCCTACTCGGTTCTCGGATTGCTGCTATCATCCATACCAAGAGTGATTGATATGATTGCCACATTGATCACTGAACACCTCGTTTCGTTCGTTTTTCCCGTACTCTATTTTGTGGACAACTGATCATTTTGAACGTCATTGTAATTGCTGTTCCCTTCTTGCGTGAACAGAGGAGGGAAAGATAGACGTGTCAGATGGATGAATTATTCACGATTCTCGAGGGGAACGACGGTGCAGGCATGCATTTGCGACAGTTCAATACGTTTGTTGCCTTATCGTTCGAGGAATATAGCTTGTATATAATTCGAGTACATGGCAAATCGTTTTAGTCCAATTATTTTTAGTATTTTTTTCTCACTGTTCGAGTGATTATATTTTATGATTGGTGTTAGATATTCGATTTTAATATTTTGACATGTATTTACAATTAGTGAATACAGTTTAAGGTGTGTATACATTTCAGAAATTATTGTTAAGACGTTGTTAAGACACTGAATGGTACAGGATGATGTTTTTTAGAAACATCATTAAACTTTGATTGGAGCGTGAACGTGAGATGACATTTTCCAATCTCAATGATGAGTCTTGAGAAAAATTATTATAAACAGTTATTGGAAACAGTTTGTGAGTGGCACAGCTCCTCAGCCTGATTCTAGGAATTTTTCTTGAGTGTTGTTCAAAAGATTAGTCCATTGATCTCATGAGTACCAGCATTTTAATAGAATTCAAAGAAATTTTTGTAAATTTTTCTAACAAAATCTTTAGAACATTGTGAACTCATTCAGTGATAATTTTTATTAACTTAGCTCTTGTAATAAATTTTATTTCTTGTTCAATGTTATCAGTTGCACGATATGACACATCGTATAAGTTTCTTTTTATGTTTTTTAAAAAATAAATTGAACTCGAAATTTATTATATGAAAATAATAATTTAAAAATGAAGATTTAAATATAATAATTTTAAAGGGAGATTCTATGAAATAAAAAGATACAGAATGCAACAGAATATATTAATTATTGCACAATTTTTGTAATTGATTTACAATTATCATATTATCTTTTTATCTATCATCATTTATCACATTTATGCATATTCTACGATTCAATTGGCAAAAGATTGCCTCATTAAAGTGAAATATGACATCGCTGTACTGAGTACCTGTAATAAAAATATATCCAATTTTAATATCTATAGATAATTCAATTCTCATTGACATTCATACATTTTTCAAATTATACGTCTGTTTATCAATTGTATTCTTGAAAACATCTTTGGAAACCAAATTTCCAAAGTTACAATTTTTCTTTCGAAGAGCTTTTGGAATAGATGTCTCCAAAGATGTCTCAAGATCAACATTACAATTCAATCTAAATTATTTTTATTAATTTTCTCTCTCTCTCCTATATAATTGCAACTACTTAACGAAATCAAATATTCTTTTCCTTTTCTTTTCTTTATTCGAACAAGTTACTAACCGTGGTACAAGTTTCCAGGGAGACGGGGAAGAATCTGCTGGCGGTCAAACAGCAAGGCTTTCTCGATCTTATTATGACCATTGTCAGATCTCTTCTCAGCGTTCTGCCGATCCTGTTCATTGGCAGGCATATCCAAGGGCCAGAGTATACAGCACTCCCGATATTTGTGCTTTCTTGTATCAGAGAATCGCAGCTGTACGTGAACAGCAACAATTGACACAGGCTGCCCGTTATGTGAAACACGAAAATGAGACGCCTCGTTGGTGGTGAATTTGCCTATTAACCATATCTTTTCTCATGAACAGAATTCTTTACCCTTTTAATGACAATTTTTCAGGATTTTTTTATTTATGTAATATTTCTGATATTAATAGGGGGAGAGAAAGATACATTAATTTTACCCAATATGGATAAAAATAAAGAAGAGAAAAAAAATGAAATAAATTAACGAAAGAAGAATTTTTGAATTTTTGATTTTTTTATCTATATAATATTTCTGATCTTAATAGGGGGGAGAGAAAAACACGCGAATGTTATTAATTTGAAATGTTATTAATTTGGAAGAAAAAATAAAGAAGAGACAAAATGAAGTAAATTAACGAAAGAAGAATTTTTAAATTTTTGATTTTTTTATCTATATAATATTTCTGATCTTAATAGAGGGGAGAGAAAAACACGCGAATGTTATTTAATTTGGAAGAAAAAAATAAAGAAGAAAAAAAAGTGAAGTAAATTAACAAAAGAATAATTTTTAAATTTTTGATTTTTTTATCTATATAATATTCTTGGTCTTAATAGGGGAAGAGAAAAGCACGTTAATTTTACCCGATATGGAAGAAAAAATAAAGAAGAGAGAAAAGTGAAATAAATTAACAAAAGAATAATTTTTAAATTTTTGATTTTTTTATCTATATAATATTCTTGGCACGTTAATTTTATTCGATATGGAAGAAAAAAATAAAGAAAAGAGAAAAGATTCGATTGAAAGATTAATTTAAAAGAAAAGAGATACACACCATAAGTACCTGAAAACCGACCAGACACATCAACAAGCTAAAGACAAGTATATGGCCAAGCACTATGATCGTAAATATATCGTTCAGCCTTTGGCAATAAGTGATTCGATCCTGATGCTGTTTGACACACAATTTGAACGTCTCGTAACAATTTTCCATGCAACTTGACCATCTCGTTTCTCTATCCATCTTGTTGAACCGCTTTGTATCCCATCCGCTACCCAGATTCGATAATCTGTGTTGTAAAATACGAAATTGGGTGGCTGCGTGCAGATTCATCAGGCACAACAGGTTGTCGAAGCAAATGTAACATACACCGACGTGATACAAAGAAAGTACCTAGGAGAAATTTCACATGATTTTTTTTTTCATTATACGTTCAGAATATTCGTCTGTTTTATTTTTTTTTCTATTAAATTTTTTATTAGATAAAAGATAAAGACAAAAGATTCATCTTTCTTCGATTTAAATTTAAAGAAAATAAGGGTCGATTCCTTTAAATTTTTTTAAAAAATTTTTTTAAAGAATTATTTTTAAAAAATAATTTATATACTTGGATATAAATATTATTGTTATTATTTTTTAATTGATCGAATTTGTAAAAGCTCGTTCGCTTTTTATATAGAAAGTGCGTATTTACGTATGTACCTGAAGCACGAATAATATTTCATAGTACGGTGATACAAATAGCGTAGGTAGGTCAACCCACATATTAAATGGAAGAACTCTATCTGAATGGTTTCTTCCGATATTTTCTAAAATACAAATACGCGATTCTGTGTATTAATCATTTCATCACTCGTTAAATTTTACTATACTATTTATTTTCTTTCTCTTTTTGTAATTCGAAAATATCTAATATTCAATAATCACCTCTCCTTTTTTTTTTTTTTATTAAATTTTCTATTACGAATATTTACGCGATCGTAACAACGAACGAAACGTAAATATTCGTAAATGAAAGATTAAAATGTCTATGTTGTTATTTAGAATAATTTGAAAAAAGAAAAAAGAAAAGAAAGAGAAACTTACCCACAATAGGGGTTAACACGTAGCTGACGATCGTGCCTTGAGCGCAGACGTTGATCAAAGTGATGCACAACATACAAATTCTCTTGCAATTTTGTAGCAATAACAGCTCGTTATGCGTATAATTGGTGTGCCAAAAATTTTCGTGCGTGTACACGAGAAGATCGATGAACTCTTTTCTATGCACAAACAGGACGAACAACTTTAATAACACCATGATCAGGCACAGAATGTTGCAAGCTGTATAAGCACAGTTCTATAGTTAAAAAAGAAATAATATTGATGTGTATATATTTTTTTTCTTTTCAAAAATTCGATCAAAATTAAATCTACTAAAAAATTGTAGAGTTCGTAGAATTTATTATTCTTTTTTTAGAAATTTAAAACATACGTTCAAAACTTTTTTTGACGATTTTAAATTTTTATAATTTTACATTATCATTATATAATAAATCGAAGGAACAATTTATTACGATTAACTACAAACTTAAATCAAATAAACTATCAACATTACCATAAATTTCGAAATTTTTACAAATTTAAAAAATATTACTTACACCGAAGTTGGGCCACGAATAATAAAAGTCCCTAAACTGGACCCAAACGCCGAACAAAATCGCGATCACCGTGTACATCAACGTTAAATGGCGTTTACGTTGTTCCTGCTTGTTTTTGGCCAACCAGAGACCAACGATTTTCATTAAAAATGCCGTCATCGACAAAGCGAAATCTTTGCCACGCGGCGAGTCTTTCGAATGCGTCACGACTTTCGCGACAATTTTCGTCCCTTTCGAAATTTCCCCCATTTCCCTCTTCCCTTTCCTTCCTCGAGAAAGTGTTACTTCGTAATGCGAGACGTTACTTGTCGATTGACGTTGACAACTATTCATCGCTTTCTTTTTTTTTTTAAGTTTCTTTGTCTCGAATTGGATATGGATTGGGTGATATTGAGTGTTACGTGATAAGGGAAATAAAGGTTTGTTCGAGGGATGGGATGCATAATTAAACGAATGACACCGACGCGTGACACCGACTTGGAGCGAAACGAGATCAGTCGATGCGATACGCTTCAACAAGTGACGTGTGAACGTATCACGCGATTAGAATTATATTTGTATCGATTTTATTAGCTTTTAATAATGTTTGATATTTATTTATTATCGTGAACATTATTTCATACGATCGTTTCGAATAAATTTATAATATAGATAGAACTGAGAGAAGAAGTATCTAAAAGATTGAAAAATATTATAGGTTACAAATGTAATAGGAGAAAAATTTAAAAATTCTTAAATTATTTTACATTTTGGTAAGAAATGATCTTCTCTTAATTGTTTTCTTTTGCGTTATAAGTTTTTCGATTACTATTTTATTTAATGTCACTGGATATAAAGAACCTGTTAAATCAAGCATTATTTCTATTCCATGTAATTAATTTTTATGCAAATATTAATATTTATTTATAAAGATTAAAATATATATATTATTATTCAATAAATCAATGTACGTATTACGTGTATGGTGAGTTATTTATCCTTGGATGATTCCCTCATGAGGGTGAAATACGACAATGTAGAGCTCATAAGCTGCAACAAGAATTTAATAAATCATTTTAATTTAATATTTTACAATTTTTTGATTTTGCATATAAAAGAAATTTACATTTCTTCCATATATATAATAATAAATAATTAATATAAATAATTAATATTAATTTATCGTCCTTCTTTCTTAATTGAATTCTTGTTTTAAAATAAAATAAAATGCCATAAGAATTGGTCAAAAGTCACCCATTTACTAATAAATAATACGATAATATGTTACAAGATATGATATGTGCAAACTTATTAACAATTTTAATAACAATTTTCACGATAAAATATAAAATCTCAGATCTCGAGTGCCAATTTTTAAAAAAAAAAATTTTAATCCAAATGTTGAATAATATTTTGAAAAAAAATATAATATTTGCAGGAAATTGAATGTTGGTTACCGCGGTGGATGTCTCCAAGGATACAGGAAAGAAACCACCAGCGGACAGATAGCACGGTCGTATGGACTTCATTATCATCACCTTCACATCCTCCCGCAGCATTCTTCCGGTTTCGTCCATTGGCAGCACTGTCCACCATCCCGAATACGTTGCCAACCCGATATTCGAACTCTCCTCTATCAATCCGCCGCAAATATACGTGAAGAAAATTATATGGATGAAACTACCGACCATGTGGAAAAAGAAAATGAGACGCATCGAAATAGGTACGTTTGCCTGTGTGCATAGTACATAACATTATTATTATTTAAAAATATATAATATATAATTATAAAATATTAATAAAAATATTAATAAAATAAAAATAAAAATATATAATATATAATTATAAAAAAATTATAATATATAATTATAAAAATTATAATATATAATATATAAAATATATAATATAAAATTATTATTATTTAACGTGATTAACGTAATTATTCGTGTTTATTGTTTCGACGAATAAATTTCGAAGATACGATATTTGTAATCAAAATTTAAGAAACAAGAAACGAAGAAATGTGACATTGGAACGAAATTGATAACAAAATTGTTACATTCGATTAATTAAACAACAAGAGAGAAATATTAATTTCAATATATATTATTCTTTTGATTGTGAAAAATCACATTCAATCGTGCATGCTCTATTCTAAAATTGAACGAATTATATAATTCATATAATTATCAATTAGAAGATTACATAATGCTATCAATTGTCAAAATTTGATATTTCGATATAATAAAAACAAATCTATATTGTTGATACGTACCAGAAATATCTCGTACGTGTCGAAGCACATTAGCAAACTAAACACCACAACATGGCCGAAGATAGGTAATGTATAGACGTATTCGAGCTTGTCACAGAATTCGATCAACGATTGATGCTGTCGTATGCACTCTTTCAACGCTTCGTAACACTTGCTCGCGTAATTGATTTTATCCGTTCGCTCGTCAATTATCGACCACAGTTTCGATAATCTGTGTTGCAGTATACGAAATTGGCAGACCACGTGCATGTTCAACACGCATAAGAAGTTGTCGTTGCACGTGTAAGCGATACCTATTTGTTGCACTGTAAGTAACTAACGGAAATATTACGCGTTTTAAAGATCTTTCTTTTTCTTTTTTTTTTTTTTAAATTGGTCACAATTTATAAGATATTTTTTATCCATTCATTTTTTATCCATTCAGCGTTTCAAAGTCGATGTAAATCCAATCGAACTTTATACATTTATTTAATTACTCGAACAAAGAATTTTGAATATTTTTGATTTACCATAAAATTATGTTCATCAAATTATATTGATAATCTGTCTATTTTTATCTTTTAATATCTTGCAAAGGTAATGATTATTATAAAAAAAGTATATATATATTTATATATTATATTTAAATTAAAATTTTATTCTCGAATTTGAAGGATCTTTGGTCGATGAATGTTTTAAGTATTTAAAAAATTGGAGGATTAATTGTGTATTTAAAAATTCCGTCACTAATATGAAAAATATGTTCATCCATAGATGATCGATATTAAATTGCATTTCGAAGTAATTTTTCCATAAATTTAAATTACTTTGAAAAGAATATGAAATACCTGGATGACGAACATTATTTCGTAATATGGCGTCTCACTTAATGGGAAATCGATCCACATTTTGAACGGAAGTATCCTGTCTGATTTGTTTTTCCCGATATTCGCTGAAAAACGCGGGAATTTTGAAACACTTTTTTCTAATTTTTCTATTCGATCAATTAATTTTTATCCATTTCAAAATCGATGTAAATTCAATTGAACTTTATACATTTATTTAATTACTCGAATGAAGAATCTTGAATATTTTTAATTGACCATTTGGATAAAATGTAAATATATTGTTTCATTGATAAATTTGCACACTTACCGCATATTGGCGTGATTATATAGAAAGTCAAAGAGGCTTGAGTGAACGAGAACGCGGTTAAGGTCCACAACGTGCAAAATTTCCGGCACTTCGTGAAAAGTATCCTCTCGTTATGATCGTGGTAGTTGAAGTGCCAAAAATTCTGCCGGGCGAACAAAATTAAATTCTTGAATTCCGTTCTACGGATGAACAATATCAAACACTTGAACATCGCCAGCACGATGCACAACGTATTACAAGTCAAGAAGATACAATGCTGAAAAGAATTTAATCAATTATCATATCATTCCATCATCTGTATCTTTATTTACTTTAATTCATCCCTCTGGAAAAACTAAAATATAATATAAAACCACTTTGCGGAAGATTGGAAAGGAAACAATTATTATATAACAAGAAAAGAAGAAATCGTAGAAATCATTTTATAAAATTCGTTCAATCCGTTGCTTTTCAAAATTCTATAATTCTATAATTTTTAATTTCCTTTCCCCCTCCTCCCCCCCCCCCCCAATACGTACGCTTAAATCGTCCCAACTGTGATAAATGTCACCGATATTCAGATACAAGCCGTAAACCTGGATGACGAAGGTGTACGCCATAGCGATCCTCCTCCGACGTTTCTCACCGTCGTTCACCGTCATCCATACACCCGTGAGTTTCAATAGAAACTGCGACAAATCGATGGAAACATCCGAGTACGGTGTCGCGTGCATAATAATAACAATAATAATAATCCTTTCCTTCCTTTTTTCCTTCCCCTTCTCGATCTCGAATCCCCTTTTCTTCTTTTTCTTTCCTTTTTTTTTTTCAAGTCACGCGACGACCGACAGATTCGACGAATCTTTCGAAAAGTTGTGGGCGAGCGTGATTTGAAGTGACATCACTTTGATGTTGCGGGACACTCCGTCATTAGATGTTGTCATTGGACACGTTGGTGAAATGTATATACGTGGCAGGGGGGAGGATACGAAAATCGTTTCGTATCGATTTGTTTATGCATGATTCAAAAGGGAGGCGTGATTGTCGCGCCTCGTTTGCCAATATAGTGGCCGCCGGTCACTGTTCTTATCGATTATTCCTGCTCGTCGATGGCAAAAATTGAAATACAGCTTCATTCCGCGAATGACTCGCTTCGAGAGGTATATGTGTGTATGTGTATACGTGTAATTCTCTGATCTCGGTGGAAAATGTCGTAATGCAAATTTCGAGCAGTTTGATCCAATTGGTCTGTGTGTGTATAACAAGGTAAATGTATATAATATGTTTAATTAATATTTGAACAATTCCAAGATATCTTTTTAAATTGTTTTCGCAAATCAACAGTTGATCGTTAACCATTTTTCTATTTATTTATTTTCTCGTGTAATATCAACGAAAAGTGTAAAGGAAAATCTTTATGAGTTTCGAACCAGATGAAACGTATGAATCTTCTTCGTTATTTCTTTGAATTTTGAAATTGAATTTATTAAAGTGGAACACTCTATATTATTGCATAACATTTTTATATTTAATCATTATGTAAAATATATCATTGTCAATGTATTGAGATGAGAAAGAAACTTCTTTTATTTCGTTCAGGCATAACAACGATCTTTCGATTTATTTACATATCTATCGTTGTTTGCTCCGCACGATTTCTCAGCAACGTGAAGTACGATATAGCTGTACTTAGAATCTAAGACAAATCAATTTATTATCAAATTAATCTTATATTAACTTTTGTGTAAAATTTTGAAGGAATGAAACTTACGCTGGTGTACGTCTCGAGCGAGACAGGGAAGAATCCCAAAGCGGTGAGGTAGCACGGTGATTTCGACCTCATGATAACAAGTATCAAGTCTTTTCGCAACATTTTCCCGTATTTATCCATCGGCATGAACGACCATAAACTGTTGTACGTAGCGTTAGCTATGTTCGTACTGTCTCGTATCAAACAGTCGCAACTGTAGGTGAACATTAGTAGTTGACACATGCAAGTTATTAAATGAAACGTGAAAATTAGACGACCCATAAGAGAGGTGTCTTCCTATTAGAAATTACATTATAAATATCATGGTTAAGACGTAATAAAAAGTAGAAGCAAATGTGATTGAAATTATGTATTTCCATTTTCGAGTATTTTATATATAATTACAAAAAAAAAAAAGAAAAAAAATAAGGAAGATAAAATTGGAAAATCGATATAAATATCTATCAAGTGTCAAAGAAAATTATGTATAAATTTGAATGAAATATAAATAATACTGACCATAAGTATTAAATATCCGTCGAGGCATATTAACAAGCTGAAAAGCAACACTTGTCCAAATATTATGAAATTCGATACTATTTCCAGTTTTTTGCAATATTCGATAAGCGTTTGATGTTGTCGAATGTAAGTTTTGAGCTTAGTGTATTTACATATACTATAGGGTGATTTTTCCGAAAATTGGTAACACTTTTCGCATATTTCATTGCACACGTTTGAAAATCGATGTTGCAATATGCGAAACTGGCCGGCAATGTGTAGATTTATAATACACATAAAATTGTCGAAATAGAGATAGCATACGCCAACGTGATACAAAGACAATATCTATTGGGTAAAAAAGAAATATATATATAATAATTGGATAAATATATAAAATTTAATATTTTCAATATTATATTCATATGGATTTTCTTTTTTAATTGGATTATATATTAATAAATTATTTTTGTATAATTAATTTAATTATTAATTATTAGAACAATATTATAACTGTGTCATATTCTTTTCGTTTTTATAATATTAGCGTATAAAAGAAGATTATATTAAATTTAGAGAAAAAATTATAAAATAATATCTTAATACCTCTATAATAAACACCATTTCAAAATAAGGTGTCATGTACCATGATTCACTGAGCCACAAATTAAATGGATGTATTCTCTCCGTTTCATTTTTCCCTACATTTTCTAAAAGATAAATTAATATATATATATATATTTTTCCCCTTACTTTTGTACTGTGTATCATATGTAACTGCAACAATTTGATAAAATTACTCATAACTTACTTAAGTTAGAATTATTTTATTTTTTTTATTATAATCAGAGCAGAAATTAAAATTTATTATTATTTTATATTATTAATATTAAATTGTCTTACCTTTAAGTGCTCTTATTACAAAAGAGAAGACTGTCCCCTGAGAGAATAATGTGAAAGTGCAAACGAAGAAAGTGGAGTAACGTTTGCACGTATTTATAATTATTTGCTCGTGCAAGTCGTACTTTAAATTCCAAAAATTCGTTTTCGCGTATTGTATCATCTTGAGCAACTTCTTTTTGTACATTAACGAGATGGAAATCTTGACTAAAACCAGAATTATCGTTACAAGATTACATATGATCAGAATGCTATCCTGTAACCAAACAATAACACGTACTCGATTAATTCAAATAATTCAAATAAATATTCTTTGGATATTTTTTACTTATAGAAGAAAATTCTAAGCAACTTGTTCTTATATATTAATTCAAATAATTCAAATAAACATTCTTTGGATACTTTTTACTTATAAAAGTTAAATTCTAAGCAACTTGTTTTTATACATTAATCCAAATAATTCAAATAGACGTCCTTTGGATATTTTTTACTTATAGAAGAAAATTTTAAGCAACTTGTTCTTATATATTAATTCAAATAATTCAAATAGACATCCTGTAGATATTTTTTACTTATAAAAGAAAATTTTAAGCAACTTGTTCTTATATATTAATTTAATTCAAATAGATGTCTTTTGGATATTTTTTATTTATAGAAGAAAATTCTAAGCAACTTGTTCTTATATATTAATTTAATTAATTCAAATAAACATTCTTTGAATATTTTTTACTTATAAAAGTTAAATTCTAAGCAATTTGTTCTTATATATTAATTCAAATAATTCAAATAAACATTCTTTGAATATTTTTTACTTATAAAAGTTAAATTTTAAGCAACTTGTTCTTATATATTAATTCAAATAATTCAAATAGACATCCTGTAGATATTTTTTACTTATAGAAGAAAATTCTAAGCAAATTCTAAGCAAATTCTAAACTTGTTCTTATATATTAATTCAATTAATTCAAATAGACATCCTTTGGATATTTTTTACTTATAAAAGAAAATTCTAAGCAACTTGTTCTTATATATTAATTCAAATAATTCAAATAAACATTCTTTGAATATTTTTTACTTATAGAAGAAAATTCTAGCAACTTGTTCTTATATATTAATTCAAATAATTCAAATAGACGTCCTTTGGATATTTTTTTACTAGTAGAAAAAAATTCTAAATTATCAAAAAAAAAAAAAAATATCGCATTATTTAAAAATTCGACTCACGCTAAAATTTCCCCAGGTGAAGTACAGATCTCTGGTCTCGGTCGCCACTGCGAAGAAAACAGCGAAGAACGTATAACTTAGAGTCAAATTTCTTCGACGTTCCTCCACGCAATTGCTCGCTATCCAAAATCCAACGATCTTCATGTAAAAAGTCATGACGGTGATCGAGAGATCTTCACCAATCTTCTTCGAAGTCATTCTGAATCTTCAATGACGGGGCTTGTTCGTGGTCGACGAGGATCGATCGATCGAAACGTCACGTTTATCACTGCTATATAACACTGTCTCTCTTGACAACTTTCGTTTCGTATCAATCAGTCATCTTATCCAGACAATTGGCTGTTCTATACGTCATTGTGATTGCCACTCTCGCACGCGAGGAGAAGCGAGAAGATCGATGAATTATGCACGATTCTAGGGGAAGTGTGCGGTTATACGAGTGTAACTCTTGTTGTATCCGTTGGTTCAGTAATTCAGTTTGCTGCTTGGGATCGCTCGAAGAATACGTACACGCGTAATTCAACTTGTGATTGTTGTGGACAAACGATGACAATGGAATTTGTACAAGAATTTGAGTGAGTTTTTTAAAAATTTAAAAATACACACACATATACACACACACACGAGAGAGAAATTTGAGGAGGATTTCTTTTTATTTAAAAATTATTTCTCATCTTTTTTCAATTTTTCAACTATTGTTCTTCAAATGTACAAAATGAGATATTAATAATAATAATAATAATAATAATAATTTTGGATAATAATTATTTTTTATCGACGATTGAAGAGAAAAAGAAACTATTTAGAGAGAAGTATTAGTATAATATTATTATACTATCAGTCTTGATATGTCGGCTGCGAAAATGGAATTCCAATTTTTTTTGTTTCTTTCCTTCATTCATTTCTCTTTGACCGTATTTTTAATTTTTCAAGTTCACAAAATCTCGTTCGATCCAGGGAAAGATCTCTAAAGTTCCTTCATGAAATTTTCTTCGTTACTTTGGAAATCCTTTTATTATTACACTCCGTGGTATTTACGTGGTGTTTTCCATCTTTAGGGACGACTGTTTCAACAGCGTGAAGTACGACATTGCCGTACTGAGTACCTGATTAACAAAGAAAATTAATCATCGAATCTCAAGGGATGCAACGTTGTTACTGTCTAAAAATATTTTTGAACAATAAAAATCTGGAAATATGGCCGTGATTACCGCGGTAGAGGTTTCGAGGGAAACGGGGAAAAATTTGCCGGCCGTCAAACAGCAAACTCTATGCGATCTCGTCACGACAATTATCAGATTTTTTCGCAGAACTCGTCCAACGTTGTCCATCGGCAACCCCGCCCAGGGGCCCGAGAATATAGCGTTGCCCACTTTCACGCTCTCTCTTATCAAATCGTCGCAACTGTACGTGAACATTAAAAGTTGGCAGAGAGTACCGATAAAATTCAACGTTAAACTGACTTTTCTCGAGGCAGGTGTATCCATCTGTTCGAATGATATAAAATTGATTTATTTTGTCATATCGATAGTAACATCTTTGTTGAATGAAAATAAACAGTGTTGCCAAAATTCAAGAATTTCAATTAATTTAATTTTGATAAAAAATACATGTTTATGATTAAAAATTGTAAATTTTTTCGTTGATTCATAAAGTTATGTATCGAATAGCTACTTCTCTTTTATTGAAATTTTCCACGACTATTTTGCGAAAAAGAAAAAAGTATAACGGCGTTAAATCACACTTTTGGATCTGGCCGGCCAATTTTGATCAAAAATGAGAAATTAAATGACTCGTGCAGTAATTGAATTGTTTCTCGGTATGGTCTGTCGTCCCATATCTTGTGATTTAGGCACGAAAAACTGGCTTATTATGTGACACGTTGTGGATGCATTTGTTTCTCAACGATCACTCGCGGATTTTCTGAACCCCAATCATCGTTGAAGACTATTTTTTTCGAGAAACTTTCGTTATTTTTAAAATATTGAACTGAACAATAAAAATTGTTGTAGCGCTCCATTTTCTTTCGCACAAATGGCGCAAAATTTAAATTTGAATTTTGGGACACCATTTATTTACAAACCGAATAAAAATTTCGTTGAGAAAAATATCAGTTATACAATTCTGATTAAATGAATAAAAGAAATTGTCTTTTTATTATTCGATAAATCCAACGAATTAATTCATTGAATTTGAATTCAAGTTAGATATCCATTTTGCGTTCCAATCGATGATCGATATACACCAGTTGCATACCAACCAGAAATAATTGAAATCCCACGAGGCATATCACAAGAGCGAGGAATAGAACTTGGCCGAGCACGATTATCGTGAATATATCTTCCAACTGTTTGCAATATTTTGTCAACGTTTGATGATGAATCACGCAGTTCTTCAACTTTGCGTAACAAACGTTTGCGCGACAAGATTCGCCTGTTACGGTGACGTTCAAATTTCTCAGTCGGTATTGCAGTATGCGAAATTGACTGGCCACGTGAAGATTCACGATGCACAGTAAATTGTCGAAACAGATGTAACACACGCCGACGTGGTACACGCAAAGTATCTGCATGCGAATGATATTACATAATAAAATTAGAGAGAAAATTAAATTAAATTATTATATTAAATAAATTAATTAAAATAATTATTATATTAAATTATTATACAAAATTAAATTATTATATTTTCCAAAATTCGAATATTATACGATATTATACGATAAAATTAGAGAGAAAATTATTATATTTTCCAAAATTCGAATATTATTTTATAATTGGAAGAATTAAAGAAGAAGAAGAAGAAAAATTACGGATGAATTCTCACCTGTATGACGAAAAGGATCTCGAAGTAAGGCGACAATCCTACAGGGAAATCGACCCACAGGTTGAACGGCAATTCTCTGTTAGATTCGTTCTTTCCTATATTTGCTTGAAAAATAAGACTAATGTTGTCTTTGTGTAAAAATTGTATAATTTTATTTTTTTTTTTTTTTTGAAAGTTGAAAATTGAAAATACCTATTATCGGAGTGATCATGTAACCGGTGCAAGTGCCTTGAGCACAAAAGCTAATAACAACGACGAAAATGGTGCAAATCCTCTTGCACTCGGCCAATATTAATTTCTCTTCTGGGTCGCGATACGGGCGCCAGAAATTCTTCTGAGTGAATGTGACCAGATCGAAAAACTGCATTTTGTGAGCGTACAACACACCGACCTTGAGCACGACGATCATCAGGTACAAATTGTTGCAAGAGATATAAACGCTGTCCTATTATTCACCATTGATTTTCATTACATTCTTCTCGTCAATTAACATAAACGTAAACACTCGTTCTAACGGGGAAAAGAAACTTTACTCACGCTAAAGTTTCCCCAAGTGAAGTAAATATCCCTGAAACCGATGCACACGATAATGAAAAGCGCCCCAACTGTGTAAACCAATGCGAAATCCCTTCGACGTTGTTCATCCCGATCGGTGGCCAACCACAATCCAACTATTTTCATGAGAAAACTCGTCCAAATTATCGAGATGTCTCTGCCTTGAGTCGATCGCATGGCCGAGGAAAAAGAATGACTTTTACTTCAATGCGAATAATAAGTTCACGCTTGATCACGATGACGCCTTTGATCCTCGTCACACGCTTTGATCTGTCAATCTTTTTGAAAATGCCAATCACGATCGTTGCATTGCTTACGATCCTTTTTAAAGGATCTTTACGTAATCTCGCGTGAAACGTGGTCGTTGCAACGTAACGGGGGTAAATTATTCATGATTCGACGAGGGAATGGAACACAATTGGCATGATAATGGGGGGAGAGAAGGTGGGATTGATGCGAGGGGTAGATATAGTATTGCGTCTACCTTGGTTGATTAAGCGCTTATGCTTGTGCAGAGGATTGTAGAAGTGGTATAGAATCATAGAATAATGGTAAGATTATGGTGATTATAATCAAGATTTATTTTTGGAGATTTGTTCAAGTGATTTTTTTATATAGATTTTTATAGTGGAATACTACAATAGGGTGGAATGACAAAATTAGAATTGTACAATTATCTTTTTTAATTGTGTTAAAAATTTATCTTCTTTAATCCTTCAGATTAGAGAAAACTTTTGTACATTGTTCGTTAGATAAAGTTTGTGTGCATTGTGTATTAATAATTGATTAAAAATATTACACTGATATATACTTATTATTAATTGATTAATTTTATAGATGTATGTAAAGATAAAAATTAATTTTTTTTTTCTTTAATTACTTGAACACAAAGATTGAACAAATCTGTGTAAATTATATTATTTCATAGATTCCCTCAAGAGAGTAAAATACGACACGGTAGAGCTTATAAGCTGCAACAAAAATTTTAGCATCATTAATAACAATCTTTTTTCTAAAAAATTTCTACGTAGTAAAATATTCATTGTTTGAAAATTTATTTATTATTGTTATTATTTGATTAACAATATGTTATTTTTTATCGTTTAATAAATGGGAGATTGCTTACACTAGTAGACGTTTCCAAGGAAACAGGAAAAAATCCTCCAGCGGAGAGGTAACATGGCCGCATGCATTTCATCATTATCATCCTTATATCTTTTCGCAGCATTTTTCCAGTCTTGTTCATTGGCAATGTCGTCCACCAGCCTGAATACATCGCCAACCCGACATTTCCACTTTCTTCTATCAATTTGTCACAAATATACGTGAAAAAAAGGATGTGAACAAAAATACCAATCCCAGAGAAAATGAAAATGAAGCGCGTCGTTAGAGGTACGTCTGCCTGTATACATTATTTTTAATATAAAAATTTAATACAATTGAAATATATTTTGCGATCTTTATATTTTTATTATAAAATATACAGATACGTTTAAAAAACTTGATTCTAGAAAACATACAGAAAAGTTGGTACGCAAAATATCGATTGAGAATAATTTATTTATTATTATTATGTAAATTTGTTTTATTCTTCAAATAGCATTATATTTATTTTGTATCTTTTTTGTATGTTATCTAGATATTTTGTACATTTAAAATTTATTATATAAACGTAATTATATAAACAATTGAAAATTGTCTTACAAATTAATATTTGGAAATTCTTGTTGAAATTTTGTTAATTGGATCGTTCATGAGATTATTATTAAATAAGAAAATCCATTGAAATGTGTATATACATTTTTTGTAAAGAGAAATTATACGTACTATAAGTATTTCGTAGAAGGCGATACACATTATCAAGCTAAACACAATCACGTGATTCAAAATCATCAACGTGTAAACATAATCGAGTTTCTCGCAATATTTGAGCAACGACTGATGCTGTTTTATGCATTTCTTTAAAGCTTTGTAATATTTGTCCGTGTAAGAGATGATATCCTTCTGTTCCTTCATGTTCGACCATATGGTGAGCATTCGATGTTGCAATATGCGGAACTGGTAATTCACATGCATGCTTAATACGCATAAGTAGTTATCGTTACTCAAATAAGTCAGACCTATTTGTTGTAGAGCTATTAACTGTACGAATTAATAATTTTCCATTAGATCATCGATAGAAAATCGTCAAAATCCTCTTATAATATTAACTGGATTCACAACGATCCTAGAACAGCAGTTCTCATATTATACGAATACAAATTGGGAAATTCTATTGGCAACAATTACGCCACGATTTATTTAAGGGCGAAAATTGCATTGAAAATTATTTTCAAGAGTAATTCTTAAATGTTTCTCTCTTAAAATTCGTAGTTACGTTCTATATATATATATTTATTATAATATTGATATTGATCAATAATAATTAATATAGTTATCGCTAGGCGGCTATGATCATGATTCAACCACGATCTTAATATTGACTCGTAATACCGATTACGCCGCTAGGCGGTTCCTGTTTCTCACTAGTATTATTTATCGCTATTAGGTATAACTATTAATCCAAATAAGGGGATGTCATCCGTAAGTAATGTGTGTAATTGTTAGTGTATAGTGTCTCTTTTTCTATATTCCTATGGTCCTTGCAGTCTATTATCTATCTGTCCGTCATCCAACGACATTTGTAACTTTTGTGGATTATAAGGTAATAATCCATATCTCATTTTACTTTTTGAATTTTTTGGTCAATTTGAAATTTTGATGTAATAAAAATATTGTACTTATTGAGACTAAAATTGGTTTCAATTTTTCCTAATTGCCTCGAATTTTGAAAATTAATTAAGCTTCGGTACCAATGTTTCTTTCTCATTATCGAATCAATATTATTATCACAATATAAGAATTTAAAATAAAAGAACACATTTGATGTTTCGAATTCTCGAGAAATTTTTTGCTATTTATTATTTGGAATTCTTAAAGTCCTATGTAAAAAATAATTTATATAAATATAATATGAATTTAAGTAATAGTAGTCCAATATATAATTTTTAAGTAATAGTAGTCCAATTGAATTTGAATTTTAAATTTTAATTTTTTTTTTTAAGAGTTTTAAGATCTTGCAATGTTTCGTATTCGAATTTCACGAATTTAGAAATTAGATTTCGATATTCTATATTTAATTTAAGATATATATAGGGTTGTTATTTTTTTGAAATTTGAAAAAATTTTTTAGAGTATAAATTATCCATATATTATCTAATTCTGTATTTCGTATACCAGATAAGAGAATCACTGTTCTAGAAATCTAATTATGTGTTAATCATTTTCAAATATAAATGGATGTTGTCGCATTTCGCATCATATAAATAAAGATGTATAGTACCTGCGAGGCGAACAATAATTCGTAATATGGTGTTGTGCTTAACGGTATATCGATCCACATTCTGACCGGAAGTGTTCTTTCTGATTTGTTCTTTCCATGATTCACTAAAAAAACATTCATTTCTGTAACATTGTTTCTTTTAAAATTAATATCGATTTATATTTTTTTAATATTAAAATCTTACGATATTCAGAGAGATTTCTGAAATTTGTGCATTAAGACTGCAACGGGATTGATTTAAGGTTTATTAAGTATATATAAAGTTATTTTAATTGATAAAAAAATTTCTTAGAAAGATTATTAAAATGCATAGAATTTTTGTTCAGTGATTTACTCACCGTAAAATGGTGTAATTATATAGAAAAAAATAGAGCTTTGTACAAAGAAGTATGCGATTATGGTCCACAAGTTGCAAAACTTTTGACACTTCGTGAAAAGTAATTTTTCGTAATTTTCATATTTGAAATGCCAAAAATTCTTCTGAGCATATATTATTATTTTCACAAATTCTCTTCTGCGAAAGCTTAATATTATAAACTTAGAAAGCGATAGTATGACTATTAGTAAGTTAGATATTATGAACATACAATACTGCAAAAATAAATTCAAGATTTGATTAATATTTGTGCAATGTACATATCTTAAATATATATAATAATATATATAATAATAAGAACTAAAATATCGAAATTAGGTGTTAATAATTTAATTTTGACATTTTTGATACGAATTTTTTTAATAATTATTTATGACATGTTTGATATCCATCGAATGTTCCATGTTATAATTTTTCAGATACAACTTTCAGATATTTTTGAAAAAAATTCTATTCTTTTGGAAAAAAATCGATCAACAATCTTTCTCTAAAACTAATTTTCTTGAAAATTAATTGCATCGTTTTCAATTTTTCTTCATTTTGACGACCGAAAAAAACCATTAATGTCAAAACAACGTACTTCATCTTAACTTAAAATTCTGTGATGAATCCATAGTATAATATTTCTTTATATATTCGTATAAAACTAAGAGATGTAACAATTTTTGGAAAATAATTTCGTACTTACGTTAAAATCCCCCCAACTGTGATAAATATCGGTGATATTAATATATAAAGCATATATATGCGAGGCGACAGTGTACAACATATTGATTCTTCTTTGACGTTCTTCTGCTTTGTTGAGCGTTATCCAACTACCCACGGCTTTCAATAAAAATTGTGACAATTTGAGAGAGATATCTGAGAAGTTTCGTTTCGTATTCATGACAATCTTTTCATTGTCGATCTATAAATCACGGGAAAATTAATAGATTCAATAAAAATTTCGCTTTTTGCGAAAATGAGTGACATTACTTTGATGTATACTCTTTTCTCCATTCCAATGATGGAAATAAATACAATCCTTTTTATCGATATCTTGTAACATATGTTTGAAGGAAAACACGATTATTTTTCTCCTCCTGGGAATACACAACCAGTTGTTCGACACGTGTTGATTATTTTATCACGCATGGTGGTTCGATGAATAGGTGCAGTTAAGGGAAGTATATTCTACTCGTTATTTTGTTCCCTACCTCGTTCTGAGGTTGATCACATCAAGGCAAGTAATCCGTATTTGCATTTTTGGATAATTATCTGTCTTATGTATTTAAAGTGTTTTAATAGGAAGTTAAAGTAATTTGGAAATATTTCAGTAACTTATCATGATTATTTTGAGGTACGTTTTACATCACCTTATTTATAAACTTGGAACAAAGTTATACTAAATCAATGGATCATTATTTAAATTATTTTTTTATTATTTAAATGTTTTTTAAATTTCATCGTTTGCTATAATCATTGAGGGAATCTATAATTCATCAAATATTGGTTAAATGTAGCTTAAATTTGGCAATTAAATAAAAAATTAATATATTCTTGTTTTGTTCTGTTGATGCAAAGTGAAAGAAGATAGAAAGGTAAAAATTCAATTACTTTTTATTGCATTTGTGAGTAAGAATGTAATTGTATATTTGCAATTTGTATAAAAAGCAGAATATTATTTGTTTTTGTTTAAATAATATTAAATAGAATTATTTAAATTTGTAATTAAATAAAATATTTATTTCTGGAGGAATATTGATTTAAAATATACTCTTTGATCGAAATAAAAAATTCATTTTTATTCATTTCACTGATTTTGAATGTTCCAATATTTTGTATTTATATTTTTTATATATATAAAAAAAATATGTATTTACATAGAAATACACATACGATTCAATAATGATTATTTATTAAAATGACCAATGTAACAATGTTATCCATTATTTCATATAAATTATCCACCTTCACTTTATTCTTTTTTTTTTTAATGGAAAATGTACAACGTTCGATCCGAGATATTTTATTAACGAGTTTTTAGTAATTTATGAGTCATTCGCGTTTTCCACGCGATTATTCAGCAATGTGAAATACGATACCGCTGTGCTCAAAATCTGTAAAATGTAAATGAATAATTTAAACGAAAAAATTTACTACAATGTTTCACGATTCTAATGATTTTTAAACTACAATTGCACTTCTTAAACTACAATTTTGTTTTAATAAGGATTAATAACCGACATCTTTAAATATTTTTTTTTCAAATTTAAATTTTTGTTCAATATCATTATGAAAAATATAGCATAAATATATTATTCATTTTGTATCATGTAATCACAATAAATATTCCAAAAAATTAATACAATTCAAAAAAAATTTTTAACATGAAAAATATTCTAATTTAAAAATTATTGTTCTTAATGTATTTATGGTGAATTTGTTTTCGATTTTATGATACAAAAAAAAAAGGAAGTTGTGATTATACCTACCTTGGTATAAGTTTCCAACGATACAGGGAAAAATCCATTCGCAGTCAGACAACAAACTCGTCTGGATCGCTTAATCACCATTATCAAATCGTTTCGAAGCATTTTCCCAAATTTGTCCATCGGCAAAATTGTCCACAGTGCTGAGTAAGCTCCTACAGCGACATTATCACTGTGTTCCATCACATCGTTGCAGCTGTAGGTAAACATGAATAATAAAAACATCGAGCCACTTAACAGGAATACGAAAATGAAGCGTCTCGCTGTAGAAGCAGTAGCCTAGAAGAGAAGAAAAAAATATGTTTTCATTTATATGTAGAATATAAAATTGTGCAAGTGTAATTCAAAGATTTGAAGTATTTATTAAACAATTATTAATTACATATTATTAATAATTATACAACATTACGAATATAATATTTCCTTTTCTTTTGTTCAAAATGAGCTCTTTAATTTAAATTCAAATTAGTTAAATTTTAAATTATCAATTGTTCTTTATATAAAGTTTTATATTTATATAAAACGAAATATAAATGCTACAATAATGTTAATTTAATGTAAATTTTATCACATTTTTTTTATTTACATTTTACAATATATTATATAATTATTTTGGATTCCTTCTATCCTAATTATTTTAAAAAATTATGGAATATTTGATAAAAATAAATTAACTAACCACGAACACTTGATATCCGAATAGGCAAATTAATACACTGAATACCAACACTTGTCCAAGCGTAATTATGGTGTACACGTTCTCAAGGTTTTGATGGTAATCGATCAATGCTTGATGATATCGGACGCATTTCTTAAATTGCTCGTAAAATTTGTACATCTGTTTTGCTAATGTCGATTGCGAGTCCTTTTCGCGTATATCGTGCTCCGTGTCACACAATGTCATAAGCCTATATCGAAGTATGCGAAATTGACCGGCCAAGTGTACGGCCATGATGCAGAAAATATTGTCGAAACAAAAATAGGAGATTCCAATATAATATAACGATACCGCCTGTAAAAAAAAAAAAAAAAAAAAAAAGAAGAAAGAAAGAAAGATGAAAAACGACACGTATTTCTTTTCCTTTATTATGAAAATGAAGAAATATTTATTGAATATTATTATTTAAATTATTTATATTTTCATTTTGAACAAAAGTGGATATTTATTATTCATTTATTAAAAAAGAAATTTGATAAATTTAATAAAAGAAAGTTATAACTCCATTTAATATAATTCAGAATTTTTTGGAAATTTATTCGATCGTTAAAAAAGAATAATATAATGTAAATTTAAATTACTTGGACAAAAAATATTATCTCGTAATATGGCGTCCTTGTTAGCGGCAAATTTATCCATATATTGAACGGAAACATTCTCTCGGATTCATTACTTCCATTTTGTGCTGTAACAAATGTGCAAACTTTTTGCTTTTTTTTTTCTATAGGATAGGATATTTTTGGAAATTTCATAAAACAAATATAAAAATTTGTAGTACATAAGAATTTCAAATTTTATGAGGATAATTTATTAAATTGTATATACAATTCAAATTTTTTAAGTTAAATTAAGTTTATGAAATAATTTATGAAATAGAGATAGAGATTGTGCATTTTGACAATTTAGTCAATCGAGTAAGAGTTTTAAATAGTGTTTTAGATAATTTTAATCAAATATTTAAACCCACTAATGACCGGTGTCGTTAGATAGGACATCACGGTGCACATGCCAATGGTGGTGACGCAGGAGATGAAAAAAATGCATGTTTTTCTGCAATCGTCCAAAATTTCTTTTTCACGATAATCGTAATTAACGTTCCAGAAATTTTGTTGCATGTACACAATTAGATTTAAAAATTTCCCTTTATACATCAGTATGATGCATATTTTGATTAAAGCCATTATCGTAGTTATGGTATTCGTCATAGCGTAAAGAATATCCTGAAACGAGTCGTTTTGAGAAAATGAATAATAATGACAAAAGAAAAAAGCAAAAATTATGAAATAACACAAGTATCATATGTTATAAACCATTCAAATATTATATTTTCTTATATCCATCCTTGTCAAATTGTTCTAAAAGAAAATATTAATCATTATTATTAATCAAAATTAATAAATTTTTACAAAATTTTTCTCTTTTAAAAATCACAAAAATCACAAAAAAAAACCACTTCAATTATATATTGTTCAGATAATCCAATCCTTCAGTTTTTAAATTTTTAAAAATCACGCGATAATCTTAAATTTTATCCGTGTAAAAGATACGAAACAATTGAACATACTCACGCCGTTGTACAGCAACGTGAAATACAAATCTCTCGTACTGATTATCGTGCCGCAAAACAACATCCAAATCGTGTAGATGAATAACATTTTCATCCTGCGTTGTTCATCAGAATTATCAGACATCCATACGCCCACGTTCTTCAAGAAAAATGTCGACAAGCTTATCGATATGTCCAATTGGTTATCCGTTTGCATGGTGATTGATCAACGTGTATCGTCGCCTCGTGTATCGTCTCACGCGCAACTTCCATTGAGTATATATCACGATAATAATTAATAGGCGTTTGATAGTTCGTCGATTTCTTCTCATCCCTTCTTCTTTTCTTTTCCTCGACGGGAATATTACAAGTGAAGTAGTCAAGAAAAAAATGATTGTCACCCTTTCTATTGTATTATTAAGGATAGAACGTGTATTATGTATTATAGTAGGGTGTATAGAACTCTTGGATCGATTCGAATTTATGCGTGCAGTCGATGAGATGTTTCGACTTTTTTTCAGATTTTAAGAAGGAAGGTGGAATGGAATATTGTTGGAATCGATGGAAGAAGATAGAAACAGTAAATTTGGATATTTAATTCTGTTTGATAGTAATGAGAACTGTGAGTAAGAGTTATTGTAATTAATAATTTAGATATATTTGTATTTTATATAAAAAATTAATCCTAATCAATTGACGTATTAATTAAATAAATAAGTTTAATAATTAGATAAGTAAATATGTTTATTTCTGGAAAAATATTGATTTAAAAAGTTTTATGATTGAAATTAATTGGATCTTTATTTAATCGATTGATTCGGATTGATTTTGCAGCATTTTTCATCTTTCTTTCTGTTTTGTAATTTTTGGACGTTTGAAGCATTATCGAAAATTTAATCTTTTATAATTTTAAAAAGAATGTATTCGCGTACAAATCCAGTTTAATAGTGGTTATTCATTATTTTATTTATAATTATAATATTAATGATTAATAATACAATGTCATTATATTATTTCGAAAAAATTATACACCTTCGTTACATTCCTTTGTCTAATGGATTTGAATGTGCAATGATTGATCTGAGATATTTTGTATTATTGAAAAGTTGTTATTAATTACGTGTCATTTGCGGTTTCCACGCGATTACTCAGCAATGTGAAATACGATAGAGCTGTACTTAAAATCTGTAAAAATGTAAAAATAAATATTTTAATCATCATCCAAGGAAGAAAATTTACTTTTTGAATATTGCACTTACATTGATTGTAAAATTAATATTCTATGACAATGATTCTCAAATTTGTGCTTTGTATAATTTTAGACAGAATTAAGAATCGAGATCTTAAAGTATTTTTTTAAATTCAAATTTTTATATCACAAAAAATATAGTACAAATATTATGCAATTTCCATTAATTTTTCATTAATAATAATAAATTTCTAGTATTTTGGATTATGTAGTTGCGATAAATATTTCAAGAAATTAATAGTTATGAATTCAAAAATGTGATAAATATATCATTAAATTTACAAATTTTAAGAATCATTTTATTTTATATTGAATTTATGAATCTATCAGGATTATAATTTTGATATTATTGACAATTGACTGCCACCATTTTTAAATGTTTATTTTGTACATAGATTAGGATTATACCTACTTTAGTATAAGATTCTAATGACACAGGGAAAAATCCATTCGCGGTCAGACAACAAACTCGCCTAGATCTCCTAATCACCATTATCAAATCTTTTCGAAGCATTTTTCCAAATTTGTCTATTGGCATAATCGTCCACAGTGCTGAGTAAGCTCCTATAGCAACGTTATCACTGTGCTCTATCACACCGTTGCAGCTGTAGGTGACCATAAATAATAAAAACGTCGAGCCACTTAACAGGAATACGAAAATGAAACGTCTGGCAAAAGAAGCGGTAGCCTAAAAGAAGAAAATATTTAAAAAAACATATTTTTATGTAAAATATAATTATGGAAAATATAAAAAAGTATATAAAATCTAAAGATATTTATTGCATAGAGAAAAAAGTCAAATAAGGATATTACAAATATAGTATAATACATTTTCAAAAATTTTCTTTTTTTCTAAATTTTTTAATATAAACTTAAATTAATCTGTTAAGTTTAATCTGATTGTTGTTTATACATATTTAATGGAACGAAATAATATTTTCCACGAATCTTTAGAAACAATTCAATTGCATATAAAATATAATATATTAAACATTTTAAATATTTTCTTAAATTTTACATAAATTTAATTATTTATGTCTTTTCTATCGATAATTATTAAAGAATTTTCGAATATTTGATGAAAATGAAATAATCTTAGAATACTAACCACTAAAACTTGATATCCAAATAAGCAGATTAATATACTATATACCAACATTTCTCCAAACGCAATCCTGGTATACACGTTCTCAAGGTTTTGGTAGAAATCGATCAATGCTTGATGATGTTTTACGCATTTCCTAAATTTCTCGTAAAATTCGGGCATTCGATTTGTCAATATCGAATCCTTTTTATATATCTCACATTCTATGTCACATAATTTCGTAAGCCTATACTGAAGTATGCGAAATTGTCCTGCCAAGTGTACGGCCATGATGCAGAAAATATTGTCGAAACAAAAACTGGCGATTCCAATGTAATATACACACATTGCCTTGTAAAAAAAAAAAATGAAAATTATTTTCTCTGTGTTACAAGAATGAAAAAAGAAAATTGATACAGATATTTATTTAACACTATTCGAAATATTATAAACTATTGATAGGATCATAATTTCATCGAAAATTTATTATTTGAAAGAGATATAAAGAAGATTTAAATTTATTATTAATGAAAAAAAATATTTTAGAAATTACTTAATTATTTATTTGATCACTAAACGAGAAATAAAAATATATAATTTTAAATTACTTGTATAAGAAACATTATTTCGTAATAAGGAGTCTTTGATAATGGTAAATTTATCCACATATTGAACGGAAGCATTCTCTCGGATTCATTGTTTCCACTTTGTGCTGTAACAAATTTATAAACCGTTTGCTTTTTTCTGTAGGATGGGAAAATCAATTCTAGAGGCTAAAGAAAATTACAAATCAAAAGTATATATAAATTTTGTTAAAAAGACTTATTTACTAATTTATAATCAATTTATGTTTCTATTAATTAAAGTAAAATAGAAATAGAGTGAGATAGCGTGACAGAGACAGAGCAATGTTGTTCCACTTCCGTCTCGTTTCGTATAACGTAGGGCACTGACGCATGACACTCTCTCTATTCCTCGGTTCTCCTCTATTCTGAACATTATTCATACTTATTCTAAGACTTTCAATTCAAAATAAATAAGTTTCGATCGACATTTTTGGATATCAACTTTGATATTTGTTTTTATTTCTTAAATCGATCTTCCAATGGTGTCCCATGAATGTATTATTATTCTGTATATTAATTGTTCATAAAAATTAAATCTATATTAAGTGTAGATAAAAACTTTATTCAAAATTAATTAAATTATCTAAAAATAAGGAAAAAAATTTTTCCAATATACTTTTAAATTTTTAAATTATTTTTTATTATCAAATTTTTTTTAGGATAATTAAATATTTTAAAAATAATAATTAAAAACTTATTTATTTTTATTATATATAACAAAAATTAATAAATTTTATAATATCGCATTATATATTGCATTATTTTTTAAATTAATAAAATTTATTTGATAAAGTGATATAATAATTTGCTATTTATTTTTTTCGGGGAATATATAAAATTTATTAATTTTAATTATTTAACCTACCAATGAATGGTATTATTAGATAAGATATCATAGCGCATATGACCATGGTGGTAAGAGATGAGACGAAGAAAATGCATGTTTTTCTGCAATCGTCCAAAATTTCTTTTTCACGATAATCGTAGTTGATGCTCCAGAAATTTTGTTGCATGTACACAATTAGATTTAAAAATTTTCCTTTATATATTAATATGATGCATATTTTTATTAAAGCCATTATCATAGTTATGTTATTCGTTATAGAATAAAGAATATCCTAAAAATGAATTGTTTTTAAATGAATAATTATATAAATAAATTATAAAATAGCTGATACACTGATATTATAATATAAATTATTAATTATTCAAACGATTTAAATATTTTTTCTTATTCTTTTATTAAATTCTTTGTAAAATGCTAATTATTATTATTAATTCAAAATTCATTAATAACTTTTTTATAAATTCTCTTTTTAAAATTTTTCTTACTTAAAAATAAAAAAAAAAGAAAAAGATTTCCTTCTAAGATCCTTTTCAGTATCAATTTTCTATTCTTACATTTTAAAAAATTAAAATTTTTTATACAATAATCTAAAATTTTTCAAATTTTGTTCATTTTATCCATCACATTTTATCCAAAAAATTGAATATACTCACGCCGTCGTACAACAATGTAAAATACAAATCTCTACCATTGATGACTATACCAGACAACAAGATCCAAGTTGTATTGATAAGCAACATCTTGATCTGACGTTGTTCACTAGGATTATCAGACATCCATACTCCAACATTCTTTAAGAAAAATGTCGACAAGTTCATCGATATATCCTGGCTTTCCGTTTGCATGATGACTGATCAACGTACTTTTCATATATCGTCCCACGCGGAACATTAAACGAGTATAAACCACGATAATAATTAATAATTTAATAGGGATTGATAACACGTCAATTCCTTTCATTTTCATCGTTCTTGAATGTACGGTTTGTATTTGCCTCATTTCTTGTTCCTTTCTTTTCGACGAAAACATCCCAAATGATACGAAGTCAAGAGAAATGATTGTCACACTTTATGTTGTATTATTAATAAGACACGTAACATGAATTATAGCGCTGTGGAAGTTGAAACCTTTTGATTGTGAGTTACGTGAGTAGCTACGGTAGTAAGATATTAGATATTGTTCGGATTTTATAGAAAGATAATGATGAAGTGAAATATTATTGGAATTTTTGTTGCAAGGTGGAAGAAGATAGAAAAAGTAAATGTGAAAATTATTATTTCGTATCTGTTGGAAAAGAATTGTAAGTAAGAGTTTATTAGATAAATTGGATAATTGTATTTTTGTATTTTATTGAACAATAATATGAAATATATGTTTTCTTTTAGTTGTTAAATATAATTATCTATTTAAATGTATAGTCGTAATGATATTTAATTAAGTTAGTAAATTATTAATTAAATAAATAAAAATTTAATAGTTAATAAGTAAATTTGTTTCTTTCTGGAAAATTATTGATTATTGATTATTTGATTAGTACATATTTTTCTATTACTAACATTAATCATACTTAACATTATTTATTTATATCTTTTATTTAAAAAAAATATGTACTTTCATACAAATCCGCAGTTTAATAATGATTATGTTATTTACCATTTCAAAAAATTATCCTACTATCTTTACTCTTTTTTTAATGGTCCTCAATATGAAACATTTAATCTGAAGTTTAATATTTAGATTAATAAAGTAATTTGAAGAATAGTTTGTTAATGAATCGTTGAAAATTTATGAGTTATTTGCATTTTCTACGCGATTACTCAGTAATGTGAAATATGATAGTGCTGTACTTAAAATCTGTAAAATATAAAAAAAAGATAAAAATTTATTAATATTTTAAAATTTCGCTTTGATCAAAGATAATCCATGTTCAGTGATTCTTAAACTTATGTTTTATATAATTTTGGAGATTTAATGACAATTAATAACCCAAATTTTTAAATGTTTTTTTAAATACAAATTTTTTTCTATTGTTATTATAACGAATATAATACAAATATTATACATTCTTAATAATTTTTTTTTATAAATAATAAATAAATTAATATAATAAATTAATATAATAATAATTTTTATAAATAATAAATAATAAATTGTTAATATTTTGCATTATATTACTGCAATAAATATTTCAATAAATTAATATACAAATTCAAAAAAAAAATATATATTGTGAAAAATATATACGAATTTTTGAAGTTTAAGAATCATTTTATTTTACATTGAATTTAAATTTTATAAATTGATATATAGGATTATAATTATCATTCATATAATTATCATTAATTGACTATTATTTTAAATTATTATTTGATATATATCAATTATACCACTTGAGATAATGAATTGAGACCTTTGATGATGCAAAAATGCATATAATACTATATATAGACTAAAATTATACCTACTTTAGTATATGTTTCTAACGATACAGGAAAAAATCCATTCGCGGTCAGACAACAAACTCTTCTAGATCGCTTTATTACAATCATCAGATCCTTTCGAAATATTTTTCCAAATTTATCCATTGGCATAATCGTCCACAGTACTGAATAAGCTCCTATAGCAACGTTATCACTGTGCTCTATCACACCGTTGCAGCTGTAGGTGACCATAAACAATAAAAATATCGAGCCATTTAATAGAAAGACAAAAATGAAGCGTCTGGCAAAAGAAGCAGTAGCCTAAAATATTAAATAGAAAATATTAAATAGAAAAACGTGTTTTTATTTGTAAATAAATTTAATGCATTTTTATGTATTTCTCAATAATTTAATAGAAATAAAAACAATTATTTGTATCTTTTCTTTTATTTTAATTATTTAAAGAATTATTTAAAGAATATTTGATAAAAATAAAGTAATGTTAAAGTACTAACCACTAACACTTGATATCCGAACAGACAAATTAATACACTGAATACTAACACTTGTTCAAGCGTAATTGTGGTATACACGTTCTCAAGATTTTGATAGAAGTCGATTAGTGTTTGATGATGTTGAACACATTTTTTAAATTTCTCGTAAAATTTGTGCATCTGTTTTGATAATATCGATTGTGAATTCTCATATTCTATGTCACATAGTTTCGTAAACCTGTATCGAAGTATGCGAAATTGACCAGCCAAATGTATGGCCATGATGCAGAAAATATTATCGAAACAAAAAGTAGAGATTCCAACATAATACACACACATTGCCTAAAAAATGACAATTAATTTCTTTTATTATATAAAAAAAACAAAATCAATATAGATAGATTTATTTAATATTATTCAAAAATTACTTATATAAAATATTGATAATATTGATTAAGAAATAAATCATAGTTATTTTTATTAAATAAAAGAATGATTTATTATTTACTTTTTAAAAAAGAAATATACTAGGTTTTTTAATAGAAAAAATTTTATTTATTTATGTATAAAAATTTATAGTAAAATTTAAAATATTTATTTTTTTATTATAGAAGAAAATATTATAGAAATTTTAATTATTTTTTTTTAATTTTCTTTTTAATTTTAATTGAAATTTATTGATAATTAAAACAGTAATAATATAAATTTAAATTACTTGTATAAGAAATATTATTTCGTAATAAGGCGTCTTTGATACTGGTAAATTTATCCACATATTGAACGGAAGCATTCTTTCGGATTCATTTTTTCCATTTTGTACTGTAACAAATATAAAAACTATTTGCTTTTTTTTGTAGGATGGAAAAATCAATTCTAGAGACTAAAACAAATATAAAAGTTGATTTATAAAAAATTTCTAAATTTGAGACTTATTTATTATATTGTAAGTAATTTAAATTTCTATTGATTTAAAATGAAAAAAAAAGAGCAAGATATTGACGACAAAGATAGAGGAGATTAATTTTAATGTCTGCTTTGTTACAAGTTTTAATTTCTTATAATAATAAATGAGCATCAATCGGTGTTTTTGGATATCAATTTTTATATTTGTTTTGATCTCTAGGATCTATCTTGCAAAGATGTCCCTTGAATATAATATTCTATATATATTAAATGTAAAATATATAAAAATTAAAGTATATTAAGCGTATATAAGTATATAAGTATATTAAAGTATATTAATATTTAATTAAATAAATTTTAATTAAAAATAACTATAAAGAATTTTCAAATTTTTTTAAATTTGCTATTATTTTCTGTTGTCAAATTTCATACAATTTTAAAATATATAATTTTTAGTTTATCATAATAATAACAATATAATAAATTTATTTTATTTGTATAGTAAAGATTAGTAAATTTTGCAATTTTGTTTTTTAATTTATTTGTTTTTTAATTTAATAAAAATTGTTTAATAAAAAAAATATAATGATAAATATACTATATTTATGCTTGTCTATTTTGGAATATATAAAATTTATTAATCAAGTCAATATTTAATAATTTTAGTTAATTATTTAACTTACCAATGAATGGTATCATTAGATAACATATCATGGCACATATAGCCATAGTGGTAACAGAAGAGATGAAAAAAGTGCAAGTTTTTCTGCAATCATCTAAAATTTTTTTCTCACGATAATCGTAGTTAAGATTCCAAAAGTTTTGTTGCATGTACACAATTAGATTTAAAAACTTTTTTTTATACATTAATATGATGCATATTTTGGCCAAACCCATTATCATAGTTATATTATTCGTTGTGGCATAAAGAATGTCCTAGAATGAGTTGGTTTTAAATAAGTAAATAATATAAAATAATATAAATTATAAAATATGTTTAAAATAAATTATTTAAACAATTTAAATATTTCTTTTTTTATTCATACTCATATTTTCGTTAAATTCTTCTTAAAATAATAATCATTACTATTATTCAAAATCCATTAATAATTTTTTAACAAAATTTCATTTCCAAATCTTTGATATTTAAAAACTAAAAACGAAAGATTTGGTTTAAGATTCTAATAAATTCCAATCATTTCTTCATTCTTAAGTTTTTAAAAAATTAAAATTCTTTACATAATAATCTAAAATTTCTCAAATTTCGTCCATTTAAAAGTTATGAACATACTCACGCCGTTGTACAACAATGTGAAATACAAATCTCTGCCATTAATGATTATACCAGACAATAAGATCCAAGTTGTGTAGCCGAGCAACATCTTCATCCAACGTTGTTCACTAGGATTATCAGATATCCAGACTCCAACATTCTTTAAGAAAAATGTCGACAAATTCATCGATATATCTAACTGCCTTTCTGTTTGCATGATGACTGATCAACGTACTTTTCATATATCGTCCCACGCGGAACATTAAACGAGTATAAACCACGATAATAATTAATAATTTAATAGGGATTGGTGACTTGTCTATTCCTTTTATTTTCATCGTTCTTGCATGCACGGTTTTGTATTTGCCTCAATTCTTGTTCCTTTCTTTTCGACGAAAACATCCAAAATAATATGGAGTCAAGAAAACTGATTGTCACACTTTATGTTGTATTATTAATGGGACACGTAACATGAATTATAGCGTTGTAGATTATAGTTGAAATCTTTTGATTGTCAACTATGTATATGATAGTAAGACGCTAGATATTGTTCGGATTTTATAAAAAGATAATGTAAGTGAAATGTAGTATTGTTGTTTCAAAGTGGAAGAAGATACAAAGAGGATAGAAAGAGTAAATGTAGAAATTATTATTTCGTATCTGGTGGAAAAGAATCGTAAGTAAAAGTCTGGATAATTATATTTTTGTATTTTATTGAAGAAGCAATATGAAATATTTGTTTTTTTATTGTATTAAATATAATTATCTATTTAAATTTATATTCGTAATGATTTGATTTTTATTGATATTTAATTAAATAAAATAAATAAAAGTTTAATAGTTAATAAATAAATTTTGTTTCTTTCTGAAAGAATATTGATTTATTAAAAAGTTCTTTGATTGAAATAAATTGGATTTATCTCTAATTTAAATAAATTTAAATAATTTAAATAAATAAATTTATCTCTAATTGATTCATTGACTAATTATAGATATTTTTTTTTGGTATTTCTTGGATACTTAACATAATAGAACATTTTTTATTTATTTATTCTTTATTTAAAAAAAATATATATTTACATACAATTCTACAATTTAATAATGATTATGTTATTTATTATTTCAAAAATTATCCTTTTATCTTTATTCCTTTATTAATAGGATATGTAATATTTAATCTGAGACTGTTTATTAATGAATCGTTGGAAATTTATGAGTTATTTTCTATACGATTACTCAGTAATGTGAAATACGATAATGCTGTACTCAAAATCTGTAATATGTAAAAAAAAAAAAAAAAAAAAAAATAATTTAAATACTTTAGGATGAAAATTCATTAATATTCTAAAATTTCGCATTGATCAAAGATAATCCACGATGTTCAGTGATTCTTAAACTTATGTTTTGTATAATTTTGGGATTTTAATTATGGATTAATAAATCAAAATCCTTAACATTTTTAAACAAATTTTTGTTTACTATTAATTGTTTACTATACTTTAAACAATCTTAATTAATCTTTTTTTAATAAATTGCTAATATTTTGCATTATGCAATAAATATTAATAGTTATGAATTTAAAAGAAAAATATACATAATTTGAAAAATACCTTCGAATTCACAAAGTTTAAGAATCACTTTGTTTCATATTGAATCGATCAAGATTATAATTTTGATATCATTGATAATTGATTCAAAATTTTAAATTATCATTTTAAATTATCATTTAATACACCAATAATCACCAATAATTACTTGAGATTACTTTTTGATGCAAAAATATATTTAACATATATCTATTCTAGAGATACATTATACCTACTTTAGTATATGTTTCTAACGATACAGGAAAAAATCCATTCGCAGTCAGACAACAAACTCGTCTAGATCGCCTAATCACAATTATCAGATCCTTTCGAAATATTTTTCCAAATTTGTCCATTGGCATGATCGTCCACAGTGCTGAGTAAGCTCCTATAGCAACGTTATCACTATGCTCTATTACACCATTGCAACTATAGGTGACCATAAACAATAAAAACATCGAACCATTTAACATGAAGACAAAAATGAAGCGTCTTGCAAAAGAAATAGTAGCCTAAAAGAAAAAAAGAATATTAAACAAGAAAATAATTTTGTTTTTATTTGTATATAAATATAATAATGCTTTTTTATATTCCTTAAAAATAGAGATAAAAATAATTATTTAGTATTATTAATATCTTTTCTATAAGTATTTAAGATATTATTGAATTTCGATAAAAATGTATAAAATAAATTTATGATACTAACCACTAACACTTGATATCCGAATAAGCAAATTAATACACTGAATACCAACACTTGTCCAAGCGTAATCATGGTATACACGTTCTCAAGATTTTGGTAGAAATCGATCAATGCCTGATGATGTTGGACGCATTTTCTAAATTTCTCGTAAAATTTATGCATCTGTTTTGACAATATCGATTGTGAATTCTCATATTCTATGTCACATAGTTTCGTAAACCTGTATCGAAGTATGCGAAATTGACCAGCCAAATGTATGGCCATGATGCAGAAAATATTGTCGAAACAAAAATAGGAGATTCCAACATAATACACACATGTTGCCTAAAAAAAAAAAAAAAAAAAAAATAGCAATTATTTTCTTTGTTATGTAAAAAAAATAAAATCAGTATAGATATTTATTTAATATTATTTAAAAATTATTTATATAAAATATTGATACATTAAAAAATAAATTATAGTCATTTTCATTAAACAAAAAAAAAAGATTTACTACTTATTTTTTAAAAAAGAAATATATTGGGTTTTTTAATAAAAACAAATTTCATTTATTTAATGTATAAAAATTTAAATGATTTATTTTTTTATTATAGAAGAAAGTATTTTAGAAATTTTAATTATTTTCTTTTTTAATTTTAATCGTAATTTATTGATCACCAAAAAATTATAACGTAAATTGTTAAATTACTTGTATAAAAAATGTTATTTCATAATAAGGCGTCTTTGATACCGGTAAATTTATCCACATATTGAATGGAAGCATTCTCTCAGATTCATTGTTTCCACTTTGTGCTGCAACAAATATACAAACTGTTTGCTTTCTGGATAGAACATCTTTGGAGAGTCAATTCTGAAGGTCAAAAAAATTATAAATCAGAAGTATATAAAAATTTTGTTAAAAAAGACTTATTTATTAATTTATAATCAATTTACTTTTCTGTTAGTTAAAGTAAAATAGAAATGGAGCGAGATGGCGTTATGATAGAGACAGAGCAATTTTGTTCTACTTCTGTCTCGCTTCGTATAACATAGGGCATTGATGTATGAAACTGTCTCTCTCTCTCCTCGGTTTTTTTCACTATTCTGAATGTTATCCATACTTATTCTAACTTTCAATTCAAAATAAATAAGCTTCGATCGATATTTTTTGATCTCAACTTTGATATTTATTTTGATTTCTATCTTGCAAAGATGTCCCTTGAATATATTAATGTTCTGTATATTAAAATATAAAGTAGAAAAATTAAATGTACAATGAGTGTAAATAAATTTTATTAAAAAAATATTAATAGAAAATTAAAAAAAATTTACAAATTTTTTCAAATTTGCTATTATTTTTTGTTGTCAAATTTCGTAAAATTTTAAAATATATAATTTTTAGTTTATGATAAAGATAATATAATAAATATATTAATATGTAAATAATATAATAAATTTATATTATTTATATAGTTAAATTTTACAATTTTGCTGTATTGTTTTTTAATTTAATAAAATTTAATTTAATAAAAATTATTTAATAAAAAAAATATAATGATAAATATGCCATTTACTCTTTTATTTTGGAGTGTAAAATTTATTAATTTAACCAATATCTAATAATTTTAATCAATTATTTAACCTACCAATGAATGGTATCATTATATAACATATCATGGCACATATGGCCATGGTGGTAACAGAAGAGACGAAAAATATACAAGTTTTTCTGCAATCATCTAAAATTTTTTTCTCACGATGATCATAGTTAACATTCCAAAAATTTTGTTGCATGTACACAATTAGATTTAAAAACTTTTTCTTATATATTAATATAATGCATATTTTGGCCATACCCATTATCATAGTTATATTATTCGTCGTGGCATAAAGAATATCCTAGAATGAATTTTAATGAGTAAATAATATAAACAAATTGTGAAATATGTTTAAAATAAATCACTTAAACAATTTAAATATTCCTTTTTTTATTCATACTCATATTTTCATTAAATTCTTCTTAAAATAATAATTATTACTATTATTCAAAATCCATTAATAATTTTTTAACAAAATTTTGTTTTTAACAAATTTTTGAAAAACTTAAAAACTAAATATACGAAAAAATTCGGTCTCTAAGATTCTAATAGATTCTAAATCAATTCTTCGTTCCTAAATCTTTAAAAAATTAAAATTCTTTGATTTAATAATTTAAAAAAATTTCTCAAATTTTGTTCATTTTAGAAATACGAAACAATTGAATACTCACGCCGTCGTACAACAATGTGAAATACAAATCTCTGCTATTGACAACTGTACTAAACAACAAATTCCACATCGTATATAAGAATAACATTTTTATCCGACGTTGTTCACTAGGATTATCAGACATCCATACCCCAACGTTCTTCAAGAAAAACGTCGACAAGTTAATCGATATATCCAACTGGCTTTCCGTTTGCATCGTGATTGATCAACGTGTCACTCGTGTATCGTCTCACGCGCAATTTCCATCGAGTATATATCACGATAATAATTAATAGGCGTTGTTGATAGCTTGTCGATTCCTTTTGTCTCGTTTTTGCACGCACATTTCTTCTCTCATCGCATTTTCTTTTCTTTTTCGACGGGAATATTACAACGAAGTCAAAATTATTGTCACCCTTTCTATTGTATTATTGAAGATGGAATGTGTATTATTAATTATATATACAGAGGGGGTGTAAAGCTGTAAGCTAGAAAACTTATGCGTACAGTCTTAAGATGTTCGACAATTGTTGTTGTTCAGACTTTAAGGAAGGTTGACGATAGAATGGAATATTGTTGGAGTTTTGTATTGGTGTAAATGGTGGAAGAAGATGGTAAGAATAAATTTGGAAATATTTTTTTTGGATTTGTAAAAGAATTATGAGTAAGAATTTATTAATAATTTGGATAATTAATAATTAAATAAATAAATTTAATAATAAATTAAATTAATATGTTTATTTTTGGAAGAAATGTTGGTTTAAAAATTGTCCATTAATATATAATAAATAAATTTGATCTTTATTTAATTGATTGATTAAAATTAGGTTTTTGTTCCATATTTTTTTGACATATGAATATTTTTAATAGTGCTTATTATTTTAGTGATTATTAAATGATTAAAATGATCAATGAAACAATGTTATTTATCATTTTCAAAAAAATTATCCATCTTTATTTCATTCTTTCGTTTAATGGACCTGAATGTGCAACATTTGATTCGAGACATTTTGTGTTAATGAGAATGTTGTTAAAAACGAGTTGTTATTAATTATAATCCATTTTCTATGCGATTATTTAGTAATGTGAAATACGATACAGCTGTGCTCAAAATCTAAAATATAAATAAGAAACTTAAATACTTAACAAAAAAAATCAATATCTTAATATTCTTTAATGTTCATAAATATGCATTAATGTTCATAAATATAATCATGTTCTATACAAGTGATTCTTATTCGTGTGCTTTATTTTAAGATTAGAGAATTAATAATCAGTTTAATTGTTCTTAAATTAAAATTTTTGATTAACAGCATAAAAGAATTTAGTACAAATAACATTTAATTTCCATTATTCTTTTATCACAATAAATTGTTATGTGTTTTATATTATTACAAGAAATTAATAATTATGGATCCAAAAAAAAAAAATACATAATAAGAGAAGTATCCTCTAATTCATAAAATTTAAAAATCACTGTTCTGTTTTGAATCCACATTTTATAAATCATGATTATAATTTTGATATGATCTATAATCGATTGTCATTTTAAATTATCATTAAATGATAAAATTATATGAGATAATGGATTCTCTCTTCGATTATTCACACAAAATGCATTCTATAGACAATGCATTCTGTAGACTTGGATTATACTTACTTTAGTATATGTTTCTAATGATACGGGGAAAAATCCATTCGCAGTCAGATAACAAACACGTCTAGATCGCTCGATCACCATTATCAAATCTTTTCGAAACATTTTCCCAAATTTGTCCATCGGCATGATCGTCCACAGTGCTGAGTAAGCTCCTATAGCAACTTTATCACTATGCTCTATCACACCATTGCAACTATAGGTGACCATAAACAATAAAAACATCGAGCCACTTAACAAAAATACAAAAATCGAGCGTCTGGCAAAAGACGCAGTAGCCTAAAAGAAAAAAAAAAATATTAAACAAGAAAATGTGTTTTTATTTATATATAAATACAATGCTTTTCTAACACGTTTCTCCATAATATTTTAATAAAAACGATTATTTGTATTTTTTTTATTCTAATTATTTAAAGAATTATTAAATATTTGATAAAAATAAATGTAAATTACTAACCACTAATACTTGATATCCAAATAGGCAAATTAATACACTGAATACCAACACTTGTCCAAGCGTAATCATGGTGTACACGTTCTCAAGATTTTGATAGTAATTGATCAATGCCTGATGATGTCGAACGCATTCCTTAAATTGCTCGTAAAATTTATGCATCTGTTTTGTTAATGTCGATTGCGAATCCTTTTCGCGTATCTCGTGCTTCGCGTCACACAATTTCGTAAGCCTGTACTGAAGTATGCGAAATTGTCCTGCCAAGTGTACGGCCATGATGCAGAAAATATTGTCGAAACAAAAACTGGAGATTCCAATGTAATACAAACATATTGCCTGTAAATGAAGTGACAATTATTTTTTCTTTGCTAGGAAAAATAAGAAATAAAATCGAAAATTTTTCACATTTAACCATATTTATGTAAAATATTGATAAACTTTGGTTAAAGAAATGCATTACGTTTCCATTGAATAAGGTTAATCAAAAGATTGCATATTTATTTTATTAAAGAAATAAAGAATAATAATTTTATTAAAGAAATAAAGAATATCCTATAAGTAATTGTTTATACGATCATTACATAAATTATTCAAACGATTTAAATATTATTTTCTTTCTTTTTAACCATATTATTGCTGAATTCTTAAAATATTAATTATTAAAGAAAATAATAATCTTTCTTTTTAACCATCCTTGTTGAATTCTTAAAATATTAATTATTGAAGAAAGAAATATTTTAGAAATTTTAATATATAAGAAACTTATATATTCGTTTAATAAAATTCTAGAAAATTTATTTTTATTTATATATGAAACAAAGTACTTTAGAATGATGAGTTTAAATTACTTGGATTAAAAATATAATTTCGTAATAAGGTGTCCTTGTTAGTGGCAAATTTATCCATATATTGAACGGAAACATTCTCTCCGATTCATTGCTTCCACTTTGCGCTGCAACAAATGTATAAATTGTTTTTCTTCTGTAAGATGAAATATCAAGATCAAAGCAAATACAAAAATTGATACATAAAAATTTCGATTGTGACTCATTTATTAAATTAAAAGCAATTTTAATTTCTGCGAAATGGTGGAGTGACGGAGATAGAAAAGTCTGATTCTAGTTCTGTCTGTTTTATTTAATGCGAATTTCAATTTCTTATAATTTTAAATGAGTCTTAATTGATATTTTTGTATACTCTTATATTTATTTTGAAAGATGCTTTAAAAATATCTCATAATTATATTAATATACTGTATATTAAATAATCATTAAATATATAAAAGTTTACTAAATTTTAAATTTTATATTAAAAGTACAAAATCAAATTTTGCAGGACTTAAAATTAAAAAATTTTCAATTTAAAATATAATAATACAATAAACTTTATTTTTCATAATGTAAAAATTAATAAATTTTACAATATTCTTATTTATTTTAAATTAATAAGAAGTGTTTAACAAAATATTTTCATATCTAATTGTTTATTTTGTTATAAAATAAAATATTGTAAAATTTATTAATCAAACATAAATAATTTTAATTAGTAGTTAATTATTCAACCTACCAATGAACGGTGTCATTAGATAGGATATTATGGCGCATATGGCAATAGTGGTAACAGAGAAGATGAAAAAAATGCAAATTTTCTTGCAATCATCCAAAATTTCTTTTTCGTGATAATCGTAGTTAACGTTCCAAAAATTTTCTTGCATGTTCATGATTAAATTTAAAAATTTTCCTTTATATATTATTATATTGCATATCTTGACTAAACTTATTATCAAAGTTATGTTATTAGTCACAACATAAAGAATATCCTATAACGAATTGTTTACACGATTATTACATTAAATTATTCAAACGATTTAAATATTATTTTCTTTCTTTTTAACCATTCTTATTGAATTCTTATTAAAATATTAATTATTAATATTATTCAAAATCACTAATAATTTTTTTTTCTTACAAATTTTCTCTTTCTAAAATTATTTTCTAAAATTATTCGAAATATTAGCAAATATTAATTCTATTCGTTCCTCGAATTCTTATAGAATTAAAAATTAAGTAATAATCCCTCGAATTTTATCATGTATTAATTGGTTCAATTTTCTTATTTGTATTATTATTTCGAATAATAAAAATTCAATTTTCAAATATACATAATATTAATTTTGAATTAGCAATTTGATATTGACATTTTGTTGATTATTTCTATACACGTTTATTTATTTATTAATTTAATAATAATAATAAAAATTATTAATTATTATTATTATTAATTTTATAAATTAATATAATATATTTTAATAATAATAATAATATAATGATAATAATAATTATATAATATTAAATATAAATAAAATTTATATTTAAAATATTTAAATATAAATTTATTTATTATATTTTTTTTAAACGAAAATGCAATTGAACATACTCACGCCGTTGTACAACATTGTGAAGTACAAATCTCTAGTATTGATCACTATACCAAGCAACAACATCCAAACCGTGCAGATGAGCAACATTCTCATCCGACGTTGTTCACTGGGATCATGAGATATCCATACCCCAACGTTCTTCAAGAAAAATGTCGACAAATTAATCGATATATCCATCTGGTATTCCGCTTGCATGGTGACTAATCAACGTGTGAGGGTATCACTCGTATATCAAGCGTATACTTCCAATCGTATATAAGTCGCGATAATAAATTAATAAGTTTTGCTGATAACTTGTCGATTCCTTTTGTCTCCATCGTTTTGTCGTATATTCGTTTTTTGTATTTTCATTATTTCCCTATTCTTCCCTCTTTTACGATAACATCCCAAATGATACGAAGTCAAGAAAAATGATTGTCACCTTTTCTGATATATTATTAACATGACACTTACGTAACTCTGTAATGTGTGCAATAACTATTGGTGTGATTTTTCGATCGCGAATCTATAATCTATCAGTCTACGATGACATCGTTCAGATTTTAGGGAAGGAATGGAATATCGTTGGTCTCTGTATTAATGCGAAGTGGGAGGATATAATGGTTGAAAATTTAATTATTTCTTCGTGTCTGTTGTGGAAGAAGCGTGAGTAATATTTTGTTAATAATTTATATAATATGTTTGTTGTATTTATATAATATGTAGTTATGTAAGAATTGATTTGGCTGAAGATAATATTTTGTAGTGTGAAAGAACAATATGAAATATTTGAAAATGGAATAAAGATAATAGTTGTAATCAATTGATATATTTAATTATTAGTTAAATAAATAAATTTAATAATTGTTAAATCAATATGTTTATTTCTGGAAAAATAAAAAAATTTGATTGAAATAAAATTAGAAGACACAAAAAAGATTGATTCAAATTGATTAATTTAGCATGTTTCCTGTAATGTTCCTGTAATTTTATGTATTTGCATACAAATTCATGGTTTAATAGTAAATATTCATTATTTTATTATAATGGTCGATATAATAATGTTGTTCGTTATTTCGAAAAAATTATCCATCTTTATTTTATTTACTTTTAATAGATTTGAATATACACTCGATATTTTGTACGAATTCTTGAAAATGAGTTGTTTTCAATTATGTTATGCATTATCTACGTGATTGTTTAATAATGTGAAATACGATACCGAAGTACTTAAGATCTGTAAAATATATAATTTATTTTTAGGTTTGAATATTTATTAAACTTTGGATAAAGAAAGTATTATTAATGTGCCAAGATAATATATTCTTGTTTCAATATTCTCTTACCATTAATATCGATTAAAAATAATTTAAAATGTTTTGTACCAACGATTTTTAAACTGTGATTCTTTGAGAGTTAATATACACAAATCTGTAAATAAGTTTTTTAAAATTTGACTTTTTATTTAAATCAACTATAGAATATAATAAATATCATGTAATTCCAATTAATTTTTCTTAATAAATATTAAAAGAAATTAATTAGAGTTAGAGATCCAAAAAAATATAAGTAATTATAAAAGGCTTTCTCATAAAGCTTAAGAATGCTAATGAATCCATATTCTATTTTTATTAATATAATTATTACAATCAAATATACATCATGTGATAACGAAATGACTATGTTGCTTTATGTGATACAAAAATGTATTGGATGACACGTCGTTCACAATTATATCTACCTTTGTGTAAATTTCCAAAGATATAAAGAAAAATCCATTCGCTGTCAGACAACTCGTCTGGATCGCATAATTACCATTATTAGATCTTTTCGAAACATTTTCACAAATTTGTCCATCGGTATAATTGTTCATAATGCCAAGTATACAGCGACGTTGTCACTTTGTTTTATCACACCGTTGCAACTGAACGTGAACATAAACAATAAAAACATGGCGCCCATTAAAAGAAAGATAAAAATGTCTCGTTTGAGAAGCGGTAGCCTAAGAGAAAAAAATATTGGACAAGAGGATAAATTTTTGTTTTATTATTAAAAATATGATCGTAGATAGAAAACATAAAATCTGAAATCTAAATCTTTAAAAGAAAATTCGAATGTGAATATTAGATGTACATTCTTTATTATTTCGATTTTTTTTCTAATTTTTTAATTTTTTACAAGAATCTTTACAAGTATAATTTCTATGGATATAATATAATTAAATTTTTTTCTTTTTTATCATATATTTGTTATATAGTATATAATTGTTTATATCTCTTCTTTTGCAATTATTCAATTAATCGAATATTTGGTAAAAATGTATCATAAATTTATGATACTAACCAATAATATTTGATATCCAAATAGGCAAATTAGTATATTGAATAATAATACTTGACCAAGCATAATTATAGTATACACATTCTCAAGTTTTTGATGATAATCGATCAGTATCTGATGATGCCGAACGTATTTTTTAAATTTCTCATGAAATTTATGCATTTATCCTTCCAATATCGATTGCAAATTCTTTTTGTATATCTCATTATCTATATCACAGAGTTTCATAAATCTGTATTGAAGTATGCGAAACTGATTAGCTAAATGTATGGCCATGATGCAGAAAACAGTGTCGAAACAAAAATTGGAAATTCCAATGTAATAGACACATTGCCTGTAAAAAATTATCTCCTTTGTTCTATGAAAATAAAGCAAGAAATATCCGTCTGGATATTTATTTAACAATAGTTTCATTGCAGATTGTAAATATTTATTTTATTAAAAAATCTTAGCAGTATTTTAGAAAAATTTTAATGAAAAAAACCTATGCCTATCTCATTTTGAATAAAATTTACAAGATTTTTATTTTTATTTTTTTACAAAGAAATAAAATATCTTGAAAATTTTAATTATCGAAATTTATTCAATCGTAAAAAGAATAACATTAAATTTAAATTACTTGTAAGAAATGTTATTTCGTAATAAGGCGTCCTTGATAATGGCATATTTAGCCACATATTGAACGGAAGCATTCGGATTCATTGTTCCCACTTCGTACTGTAACAAATATATAAATCGTTTCCTTTCTTCTGCAAAATGAGATATTTTTGGAACTCAAAACAATTAAAAGTATATAACAAATTTCGTTTTGACTTATTTATTAATTTATAAACAATATAATAAGTTTCTGTTATCTAAAGTAAAATAGATATTGTTTAAACTCTCTCATTCAATTTTTGTTGAAGAAGAGACTATATATATATATGTATTTATTCATAATCACATAAACAAAGTGAGAAAAGAAATATGGAAAGATTAGGAATGGAGGAACTTGCTATAATTGAGTTTCATGAAGTGGAAAGAAATTTTGCAGGTTTGATTTAAATTTAATTGCTTTATAATTTAATAAATAAATTTTAATCAATATTTTTGCGTTAACTTTTAATTTGTAAAATATATCTGTTTTAATCTCTAAAATGTATTAAATGTTTAATTTGCATAAAAGTTATTTGTCTTTATATTTGTGTCATTAAATTTCGAATTTTTTATTATATTTGCAGTTGTATTATATGATTAGGAAAATATTAGTATCGATATATTTTATTATTTTAAATTGTAAAATCAAATTTCGAAAGATTTAGAACGATATTTTTAATATATAATAAAAATATAAATAATGAAATTATTTTTATCGAATAATATAATATAAAAAAAAAAGTTATAATATCGTCTCTTTAAAATTAATAAAAATCAACGAAATATTTCGCTTATATTACTCGTTTTATTTTGGTGCATGAGAAAATTTATTAATCGAACATAATTTCAATTATTATTTTATTATTTTACTTACTTGCGAATGGTGTCATTAGATAGAATAGCATGGCGCATATACTAATGATAGTAAGAGAGAAACGAAAAAAATGCAAATTTTTCTGCAATCATCCAAAATTTCTTTTTGGATCGTGATAATCATAGTTAACGTTCCAAAAATTTTGTTGCATGTATACAATTAGATTTAAAAATTTTTCTTTATACAATAATATGATATATATTTTGATTAAACCCATTATCATGGTTACATTATTCGCCAAAGCGTAAAGAATATCCTAAAATGAATCATTCAAATAACTTAATTTTTTAAATATTATTTTCTTCTAATATTATTTTAAAATAAGAAAATTATTAATATTATTCAAAATCTATTAAGGATTTTTTTTTAATTCTCCCTTTCAAAAAAATCTTGTTAACCTTGTTATTTATTATTCTGTTTTAAAGTTCTAATAAATCATCAATTTTTCTTTCTTAAAATTCTTAGAAAAATCAAAATTCTTCGTAAATAAAATAATCTAGAATTTATCAATAATTTTATCCATAAAAAAAAAATACGAAGCAACATACTCACGCCTTATACAAAAATGTGAAATATAAATCTCTGCCATTGTTGATCATACCAAGCAACAATATCCAAACTCTGTAGACGAGCAATATTCTCATCCGACGTTGTTCATCAGGATCGTCAGACATCCATACTCCAATGTTTTTCAAGAAAAATGTCGACAAGCTTATCGATATGTCCAACTGGTTCTCCGATTGCATGGTGACTGATCAACGTGTCATTCGTATCTTACGCGTAGAACTTCCAATAGGTAGAAATACACAATAATAATTAATAACTGTCGATTCCCTTTTGTTTCCATGTTTCTTGTTTCTTGTGTCTCCCTTATCGTTTGTTTCTTTCTTTTCGATTTGAGAATGTTGCAATGATACGAAGTCAAGAGAAATGATTGTCACTCTTTCCGTTTTATTATTAACGTGGCGGTTAATATAAATTATTTTACGAATTTTTAGTGAGATTTTTTCAAGGACAAAGTGTATATGTCAGAGATCAGTTATATCGTACGGATTTTATAGAAAGATGGTGTAAATATGGTGGATATTTTTCTGTTGTAATGCAAAGATAGAAGAATATAATAAGTTTGTAATTTGGAAATTTAATTATTTCTTCGTATCTATGATGGAAGTTAGCAATGTTTTATTGGTAATAATTTGTGTTGATATATGTTTGTAATTTGTATAAGAAGTTGGATGGAAAAGAAAATATTTTGACTGAATTGTTGTAAAAGAATTGTGTTGAATATGTTGTGTGGAATATGAATTGTGTTTATGTAAAATTATTTTATTTTTATGTTTATATATCTACTAATAAAGTTAATAATCATTCAGTTATACCAATTTTCCCGATGTTAATGAAATTTAATCGAATTTTAAAATAAATTGTTTAGTTGATTAATTAAACTTAAAATGTTTTTTTGGAATCTATAATCAAATATTCTATTATATAAAAATATGTGTTATGAAAAATAAAATAATAATATAAAATGTTCATATAAATATATTTATATTATTGGCATATTAAGAAATAAAATATATTATTTTATAATTCATTGAATAAAATGATTTACTATTTATTCATAAAAAGAAGAAATATTTTGGAAATTTTAGATACAAAGAATTTATAATTCCATTCAATAAAATTTAGAAGATTTATCATTCAAGTAAAAATATTTTAATAATTTTAACTTATCAAAATTTATTATTCGTCAAACGAATAATAACATAAATTTAAATTATTTGTATAAGAAATATTATTTCCTAATTTTTGATATCGGTAAATTTATCTATATATTGAACGAAGCATTCATTGTTTCCACTTCGTATTGTAATAAATATACAAATCGTTTACTTTCTTGTAAAACAACATTTTTTAGAGGCCAAAATAATTACAAATACAAAAGTATTTATATAAATTTATATAAATTTTGTTCAATGCTTATTTATTATTTATTACTATCAAACGATTATATAGTTATATATTTATATAATTTATTAAGAAATATATATTAAAATAAAATAGAAATGGAGTTAAATATAGCAGAGACAGAGCAATCTTCTTCCACTTCCGTCTCGCTTCGCATACGTAAGCTATTGAGGCATGGCACTCTCCCTACTCCTCGGTTTTCCCCACTACTTTGAACATTCGCACTTGTTCCAACGCTTTCGATTCAAAATAAATAAAACCTGAATCAATTTTGTGTATCAAATTTTTATATTTATTTTGATTTCTAGGATTAATCTTTCAAAGGCTAATGCATACAAATATAATGCATACGATAATTGCTACAAATTTATATATTAATATTTTACATATTAAATATTTAATTTACATAGAAATATATTGTCCTCATATTTCGTTAAATTTTTAAAAATATTAGTTAGTTATATTTTATTATAAAAGTACAAAATTAAATTTTGAAAAATTTAAAATGATATCATTTTTAATAAAAGTAATTAATTATTGAAATAAATTTCAATAAACGATACAAAGTAATAAATGTTGCAATATTGCTGTCTCTTTTAAATTTTAATAATTGCCATCTATTTATATAAATAGTTTACAGGATTGAAATTTAAAATTTAAATACAAATTTTAGGATAAAATAGTTTCAAAAAATTTTTCACAGAAATATTCGTAGAAGATTTACGCTATCGTTATATCGTTTTCTTCATGATATATTATATCACATACAAATATCGAACAAGAATTTGCGATTTCTTTCTTTAAAATAGAATAATAATTTATATTAATCATAGTTACATTACGATCTCAACCTTCTATTAATCAATTTCTAATGTACTTTGTCTTAATAATGTAAAATATGATACTGCAGTACTTAAAACCTGCAAACAAACCAAACAAATATCTATTTTTTTTGTTATAAATTAAATTAATATAAATAAATGTAATGAATCAATATTAACAATATTAAAAAGTTTCAAATATCAAATCATTCACACTTAATTTCTCTCTCTCTCTCTCTCTCTCTCTCTCTCTCTCTCTCTCTCTCTCGTCAATTAGAGATATAAAATTTTTTGATATCTTTTTTAAAAAAGATTTCACTCACCCTAGTGTACGTTTCCAGAGACACGATGAAGAATCTCCGGGCTGTTAAGCAGCAAGGCACGCCAGACCTCAGAATGACGAGTGTCAAGTCTTTACGCATTGTTCGACCGCTTGCGCTCTCTGACAGAAATGGCCAAGGCCCGCCGTACACCGCCGAAGCTATGCTCGAGCTCTCTTGTATGATGCAGTCGCAGCTGTACGTGAACATCAGTAATTGACATATACACGCTGCCAAATGGAAGCCGAAAATCAACCGCCTTCTAACGGGCGACTCTGGCTGCAAAGGTAATACAAATTGTTATTCTGTAATTTTTTAATATACTTTGAAATTTGTGCGAATAAATAATACAAATATTTAGTACGAATGATATTATATAATCAAGTGATAAATTTATATATAAATAAATATATAAGAAAATTGAATAAATAAAGATGTGATATACTATACATAATTTAGAAATCATTTTATATTAATAGCTCACCAAAAGTATTTGGTAGCCATCGAGGCATATTATCAAACTGAACGTCAACACTTGCCAAAGAATAATCAAACTGAATACTTTTTCGAGCTTCTCGCAGTAAGCTATGAGCGCCTGATGCTCGCGGATGTATTTTTTGAAAGCTACGTAACATTTCTTGGCAAAGTAGGACGAGTTTATAATTTTTTTCTCATTTTTCTCCTCCAACAAATCAGCTATGTTGGTCATTTTGTATTGCAATATTTGAAATTGGCCAGCCACTTGTAAATTCAAAACGCACAACAAGTTGTCGAAACAGAAATAACCAACCCCAATGTGATACAAGGATAAAACCTGTAACATTATATTTTATCAATCTTTTGCAATTTAATCGCATTGGATTCAACGATAAATTAATATTTAATCTTAACTTGAGTGTAACATGAGTGTTAAATAATTATTAATATAATGAATATTTTGATTCTTATATTTCTAAATTCTAAAAATAAAATTAATAAATTAAATATTGACTGATTCCTTCAAGAATATTTTAACAATATATAGTTCCTAAACAATAACGATTTATCCCTTGAAATAAAATATATTAAAAAAATATTATATAATATATAAAAAATAAATAATAAATAATAATATTATAATATCAATTATTATTTATATATTAATATATCTGATAATCATAATTCTTTAATTTTTATATGATATAATTAAAAAGTACTAAGTATTTGTATTATAAATATTATTTCATAATATGGCAATGTCGATTATATATTAATATAATATATCTAATAATATATTTAATAATTAAAATAAAAAATCTGTAAATAAAGTCTGATTAAGTAATTATATCATGAATATTATTTCATAAAATGGCGACGTCAATTATATATTAATATATCTAATAATCATAATTCTTTAATTTTTCTATGATATAATTAAAAAGAAAAATCTGTGAATAAAGTCTGACTAAATATCTGTATAAATACCTGTGAATATTTCATAATATGGTGATGTTATAAATAATAAATATATTAATTTATAATATATATATATAAATATAAATATATAAATATAAAATATTATTATAAATATATAAATATAAATATATAATATATAAATAATATATATAATAAAATATATAATATATAATAATATAATAATATAATATAATATAATAATATAAAATATATAATATATATAAATATAAATATATAAAATATTATATATAAATATATAAATATAAATATAATATATATAAATATATTAATAAATATATTATATATTAATATATTTAATAATCAAAAAGAAAAATCTGCGAATAAAATCTGACTAAGTACCTGAATCATGAATATTATTTCATAATATGGCAATGTCGATTATATATTAATATATCTAATAATCAAAATGAAAAATCTGCAAATAAAGTCTGACTAAATACTTGTATCGTGAACATTATTTCATAATATGGCGACGTCGATTATATATTAATATATCTAATAATCATAATTTTAATCTTTAATTTTTTTATGGTTATGATTAAAAAGAAAAATCTGTGAATAAAGTTTGATTAAATACCTGTATCGTGAACATTATTTCATAATATGGCGACGTCGATAGCGGTAAATTGACCCACATATTGAATGGGAGTACTCTTTCCGATTGATTTTTTCCGATATTTTCTGAAATTGAATAATTTATTAATTGAATTGAAATGAAAGAAATATAATAATTATTATCTTATTGCAAGGTTAAACAAAATTCTAAAGTATTTTGCATTTAAAATTTTTTTTTTTTTCACATTTACCGATCTTCGTTGAAACTTGAGATTAAATAACTCACCGACGAGCGGGCTGACGATGTAACAAACGAGAGTCCCTTTCGTGGAGAACGTAAGGAAGCAAACAAAAATGATACATTGACGTCGACAATTAGTGAAGATTTGCTGCTCGTGCTTGTTGTAATTATCCTTGTAGAAATTTTTTTGCGTATAAAAGATTAGATAGAAAAAATCTTTTTTATTCAAAACTATCACAAATATCTTCAACAATGGCATCGTTATATATATAATGTTACATATATTAAAAAGACACGTCTGCAAGCAAAGGAAATGATTCACATCTATGCACACAAAATGTTAATATATGATAATGCATCCTTGGAAAATTGATTACTCTCTCCTATTTCACATATATACATACATACATATATATATATATATATATATATATATATAATAAAAATATAAATTTAAAAATTTTTCTTATATCTTTTTTAAATAAACCAATCATACAGCACTTGCCATGTAACATGTACCTTAAAAGATTTATCAAGTCAAAGAATTAAAATCACATTCTATTATACATTATGAGAAAGAAGGGAAGTTATTCCACTATACAAAATCAAAATTATCCATTTCACTTCTACAATCTCTCTCTCCAAAAATAATCTCTCTTATCACCACTTACGCTAAAATCGCCGAAGGAATAATAAAAATCCGTAAACTCTATCCACAGGGCGAACAGCATCGCGGCAACAGTGTAAATCAGGGCGAACTTCCTTGCGCGCTGCTCCCGTATGCCGTTCGCCGTCCATAATCCGACGAGTTTCATAAAAGTGGCGGTCATGATCATGGATACGTCGCCGCCGTTCAGAAAGCCGTTCATATTACACCCCTGATGATCGACCGAGGCGGAGCATTGAACCGATATAACAGACAAGCGTGGAATGTTGGAAATATTTCTGCATCAATTATTACGCGGCCGATTCAATATATCTTTGATCCGTCGATTTTTTATTCGCTGCAATCCTCGCAGCGCGTACTTTGTATTTATTTCGTACTTTGCCATTCGTTAAATAGACGGTGGGGCGGATAGGAAACAAGAGGGAGGAAGGAAGGAAGAGGGGGAACGAAGGGAGGGACGCACAAAGGGGATTCTAATATTTCTCGTGGATTGCGGATCGATGCATTATGAATGGATTGGAATGGAAACTCGACGAGAACTTTTAAACCGTAAAATCGAAACGCTTGTTGGGAAAGTCGTTTTAGAAATTATCGAGTAGGTTGTTAAATATGAAACGAGGAAAGGAGGGGGGCTGTAATTGTGGCTTCGATAATTTGCCTCGAGATCTATAGATAGAGAGATGATAGTCTAGATATTGAAGTTGAAGTTTTATTTCGTGAGAATGTGGATTCGTGATTTTTTTTGAAAAATTTTAGAAAATTTTAGAAAAGATTAAGATATAAGGTAATGAGGTAATAATAATAATGTATTATATATTTACATAAGAATTAATTTTTCTTAATATACGTTTGATTCTGCATGATGTTGTGCGTTGAGTAAGTGAATTTTATGAAACGAATAAAAGAATCTTTTGTGTTTTCTAACATTTTTATTAACGAAATTTTATTTTTATTTCTTTTCACACACGAATATAATTCGAAATTAAATGTACATCTCATAATTCAAATTCATTACGATTTTTATATATTCGAAACTAATTAGCATTTAGCCAATTATGTTTTAACTGTATTTTCGGATTGGTTTCTCAGCAATGTGAAGTATGACATCGCGGTACTCAAAATCTGTAAAAATTAAATGCACATTTTTAAATTTCGATGTGTCATGAATAAAATCTGATATAATAATAAGAATAATAACTATCATGTTTTCGTATCCAAAATATTTGCATTAATACAGATATAATATAAAAATAACAAGCAAAAATTTATTTTTTTAACAAATTTGTATTAATAGTACGAGATATTAGTTTATTAATGATAAAATTTTACTTACTACCATTATTCACTGATTCATTGAATATTTTGTACGTTTTATTTATTATAAGTATTTCTAATTTCAAATTTATCGCATTATATATTCAATATAATATCACACAAGATCTATGATTAATTTTAAGATACGATTATTTATTTCATCTATTGATAATTATAAACAAATTTTTGGAAAATCATTTTATAATCCATTTTTAAAAATTGCTTTCATTATTTTTGTGAAAAAAAAAAGAAAGTCATAAATCATATATTAAGAATTATCAGAATTTTCGTCATAGAGAATTGTCACTCTTAAATTTTTTTTCATAACGTTTTAATATGGTAAAGATTGAAATTGCAGTACTCAAAACCTAAGGAAAAAGAAGAAAAAGAAAAACGACAATAACTATTTTCATATTTTCATATTAAAAAGAATTTTATATTATTTTCTCCTTATTATATACAAATTTTAATACAAGTATAAAATTAATATTATTATATCAGATTTAGAAATCCACTTTTAAAATTCTAGTAATTGGAACATTGATTTAATAAATCAAATAAGTAATTGCTCAAATGATGTATATTAATAATATTTTGAATAATTGTAATATGCAACGAGATGAAAATGATAAAAGCAATTCAAAACTGATATATATTGCAAAATTTTAGAAAAATATTTTTAATTCGAAGAAGAGGAAGAGGTTACGTTTGGATGGAACGAAAGATCGCTTACTCTGGTATACGTTTCGAGTGAAACAGCGAAAAATCCGCACGCAGTGAGGCAACACGGTGTTCTCGACCTTGTGATAACGAACATCAGATCTTTCCGTATCATTTTCCCGTATTTATCCATCGGCAAGAACGACCACAAACAATTGTACGCGGCATCAGCTATATCCATACTGTCTCTTATCAAGCAATCGCAACTGTACGTGAACATCAACAGTTGACAAATGCAACCCGTTATGTGAAACGCGAAAGTGACGCGTCTTCCAAAAGGGGTATTTTCCTAGGAGTGAAAATTCATCGATCAACAACAATTGAGAGGATATCCTTTTTTCTCAGAAATTTCGTATAATTTAAGGAGAATAAAAAAAAGTCACAAATGAAATTTCAATCATTTATGAATAAATAAGATATTGGAATATTGGAAATTCGAAATATTGGAATATTGGAATATTTGAAATTGAATATCTGAGTTATGAAGAAATGTATATCGAGAAGGATTGAAGAATAACGAAAGTATAAAAATTAAAATACGAACCATGAGTATCAGGTATCCATCGAGGCACATCAACAAGCTGAAAAGTAACACCTGTCCAAATACTATTGAATTGAACACTTCTTCCAATTTTTTGCAATATTCGATAAGAGCTTGATGCTGTCGAATGTAAGCTTTGAGCTTTGCGTATTCGTAGAAACTGCGTGCCGATTTTTCATCGTAAATTTCATAGCGCTTTTCCCTTTTCTCGTTGCACGTATTGGCAAATCTGTATTGCAAGATACGAAACTGGCTGGCAGTGTGCAAATTTAAAATGCACAAAAGGCTGTCGAAGCAGTGGTAGCACACACAGACGTGATACACGAATACGACCTGATACAAAATATAATCATTTCATTTGTTTTTGAAGTGAAATTTCAATATTTCTGTGATTCCTATTTAATTCAACGTGGACGAAGATGTGTAGATCGATCGAATAAATTGATACCTGTACAACAAACATTACTTCAAAATATGGCGTGATTGACAATGGCAGCTCGAGCCACATATTGAACGGAAGTATTCTGTCCGATTCGTTTTTTCCACGATTCACTGTGAACGTTAACCAATGTTTTATCAACAATTACGATTTTTCGACTTTTCTTAATGCATTTTCATTTTTATTCAACGACGAAATGTATACACACGTGTTTCGTTTACCATCTTACCCAAAATTGGCCTCAATATGAAACCTAAAACCGTCCCCTGGGCGAAGAAAGTAAAGACGAAGACGAGGTAGTTACAAGTACGTTGACACTTGTTCATTATCAATTTTTCACTCGTGTCGTAATTCGAATGCCAAAAATTTGTTTTCGCATAACGAATTATGCCAAGCAGCTCCTCGTTATATATAAACGATGTTAACAGTTTGATCAAAACTAGAGACACAGTTATAATGTTGCATGTGACATAAATCGAATCCTGTAATTCAAAAAATATACAGATTATGCTATTTTATTGAATCAGAAAAAATTGAATATGCTTAATAATTTCTAATAATAATTCTCCTTTACAATTAAGATATTTCATATGAAACAAAGTTTTATGCAGCATCTTTTTATTCTTTATTTCTTAGAATGCATTGTCCAATTTTTTGAATATGCTTAATAATTTCTAATAATAATCCTCCTTTACAATTAAGATATTTCATATGAAATAAAGTTCTATGCAGCATCTTTTTTTTCTTTATTTCTTAGAATGCATTGTACAATTTTCTGAATATGCTTAATAATTTCTAATAATAATTCTCCTTTATAATTAAGATATTTCATATGAAACAAAGTTCTATGCAGCATCTTTTTTTTTCTTTATTTCTTAGAATGAATTGTACAATTTTCTGAATATACTTATTTCTAATAATAATCCTTCTTTACAATTAAGATATTTCATATAAAAAAACTTCTATGCAGCATTTTTTTTTCCCTTTATTTCTTAGAATGCATTGTACAATTTTCTGAACATGTTTAATTTCTAATAATAATCCTCTTTTACAATCCTCTTTTAAGATATTTCATATGAAACAAAGTTCTATGCTGCATTTTGCTTTTCTTTATTTCTTAGAATGCATTGTACAATATTCTGAATATGCTTAATAATTTCTAACAATAATTCTCCTTTACAATTAAGATATTTCATATGAAACAAAGTTTTATGTAGCATCTTTTTATTCTTTATTTCTTAGAATGCATTGTCCAATTTTTTGAATATGCTTAATAATTTCTAATAATAATCCTCCTTTACAATTAAGATATTTCATATGAAATAAAGTTCTATGCAGCATTTTTTTTCCCTTTATTTCTTAGAATGCATTGTATAATTTTCTGAACATGCTTAATTTCTAATAATAATCCTCTTTTACAATCCTCTTTTAAAATATTTCATATGAAACAAAGTTTTATTCTTTTTTTTTTTTTTATTTCTTAGAATGCAAAGAGGTTTGAACAAAGCTATCAAATTGAATGAACTACACGAACAATTTTTTTTCTTACAAAATTTAATATATGTAATTCTTGATTTAAGATGTAAATTCTTGATTTAAGTAAATTTGTATTTGATTTAGAGAAGCATATCAAAACGAATGTTTTTTATTTGCTTTTTTGAGAGATTTCTTGAGCGGAACTCTATATTATTATATTACATAACAAAGCCTAATTAATTTTCTAATAATTTTTCTAATAATATCGTCACAAAGAAGAAATTGATATTTTAACTCACGCTAAAATTTCCCCAAGAGAAGTACAAATCCCTGGCCTCGGTGGTCGCAGCGAACAGTATCGCGAACAACGTGTAACTCATAGTAACGTTCCTTCGTCGTTCCTCCACGTAATTACTCGATGTCCAAAATCCAGCGATTTTCATGTAAAAAGCAGTGACAGTGATTGACAGATCTCTCACTTCCTTCGATTTCATCTCGAATGTTTAATGACAGAGTTCTTCGATCTCTTATTTCAATTCCACAATTCTCTGATCATCATCTATACCAACAGTGATTGACGTTTTATCGATCCAATGATCACTTGCCTTTCATCCATCTCGTAATTTTCTTTCACTTTCACTTTTCCAACGTCATTGTAATTACGATCCTGGCGCGTGAAAAGAAAAGAGAAAGAGAGGAATCGTCGGATCGATGAATTATGCATTACGAATCTAAGGAATATTGAAACGTGGTGACGTTGATAATTCAGTGGATTTCGTTTTCGCTTGGAATCGTTCAAAGAATATTGTGCAGTGTAATTCTCGCGATTATATGCTTGTTGAAGAATGATTTAAAAGTTCGTGGTCAATCCTTAAATTTTACATGCAAATTATGCAATTGAAATTGACGTATAGATATGATAACTTTTTTTAAGAGGATTAGCAAATTATTTTCCATGGATATCCTTGTTGGTTATTCGTTGCTTTAATATCGTGTGAACAATGTTAATACTCTTGATGAATCGAAAAATGCATTAATTGTATGGTGTTTGCTGTTTTTTGGAATATTTTTGCAAATATTTCAAGTGAGTACAGAGTTTCTTATTTTAAATGATACGTACACGTAACTTTTTATTGAATTGAATTGTTTAAAAAAAAGTTATTATTTGGGAATTATTTTTCACTTATTTATTTATTTTACTTTTATTAATTCGATAATCTAGCAATTATTGAAACGAAAAGATATTACATTCGAGGAATATATTTACTGCAATATGAACTTTATTATACTCAGTACTAGTTATAAATATTTGATTGAAATATAACAAACTCAATGTATTACTACTGCTATAAATTATCAGTCTTGCTATCTCAATGAATCGAGTGACCATCAGACATACGTATTGATAAAAAGAATTAAATAAAATGAGAATAAAGATAGTGATAAACGTGTACCAACAATAAAATGATTAAATATAATTATATTATTAAATTATACTCTTTTTCTTATTTTTATTGAATATTGGAATAGCATAAAAAGAAAAATTCAAAGCTTTTCTTTCAATTTTAATAATTTAAAATTATTTTCAATAAGAATCCTGATGACCACTTAATCTGCAATAATTAAATCTCTATAAATTGTTGTTAATATATAATTACACATCAATAATTTCAATATTAGATTTACTTGTGCTATCCAGAAAGAAAGAAACGCAACAGGGGTAGATCAATAATTATACAAATTCTTCTGTTATTAATTACGCAAATTTCATTACATATTTTCTAAGCTCGAGTGCTTTAGCAGGGTAAAATACGACATTGCCGTACTGAGAACCTGTAAAAGATTAAAAATAATTAGAAATTACTAATCGTGTAAAGAAATAAATTGATAATATAACAAGTTTTTCATCTCTTCATTTTATTTTACGAGAAAAATATTTTATGATTAATCAAAAAATGAAAACAAATTTTAAATTACAATATATTTTTGAAAGATTAATTCTAAAGGTTAAATCAAATAGAAAAATTTCGGTTGAGGTTTATTTAAGTTAAGTTTCAATTAGTTGAAGTGAGATGGAGATAGAAGCTAGACGGGCGCGCGACAAAGACGGAACGACCTCATTATATTCCTGTCTTTGTTTCATCCAAAGCAAATTTCGATTGTTTCGATCGTTAGAATCTTTTTTCCAAAGATTTCTACTAAATATGTTAACGTTATTATTTCGTTAATTATCGAGTTAATGTTTACATATTAACAATAATATTTGTACATTACCGCGGTAAAAGTTTCCAGAGAAACGGGGAAAAATTTGCCGGCCGTCAAACAACAAACTTTTTGCGATCTCATTATGACGATTATCAGATTTTTTCGTACGAGAATGCCAGCCTTACTCATTGGCAGATTTACCCAAGGCCCAGAGAATACCGCATTGCCCACGTTCACGCTTTGCCGTATCAAATTGTCGCAACTATACGTGAAGATCAAAAGTTGAAAGAAGGTGCCGCCCAAATTGAGCACTAAACTGGCTTTCTTCGAAGCTGGGGTGTCCGCCTGTATAAATTCGACGTATATAATTATTACCATAAGAGGATGAAAGAAATCTTTTAAATCTTTTGGAAAAGAGATGAATTGAGATATAAAGTAAAATTTATCGACTGATTTTCTTTTTCTTCTATAGAAGTGTGATGTACGATTAGTAGATATTTATTATCATAATAAGAAGATAAGAAGATAAATAATAGGAGATAATATTTATTATTATAATAAGAAGGTGAAAAGATATATTTTATTCTTTTTTGGAAAGGAGATAAATTGAGATATAAAGTAAAATTTATCTGGCTTTGAAGCAGGAATGTCCGCATATAGAAATGTGATGCACGATTAGTGGATATTTTGCTATTATAATAAGAAAATGAAATGATATTTTATTCTTTTGGAAAGGAGATAAATTGAAACATAAAGTAAAATTTATTTGGAAATTTTGATTAATATGTGTGATAAAATCTTGAATCGTTATTACTTAAATGTGAAATAATTATAAAAAAATTATCCTTTTAATGAAATTAAATAATTTTTAATAATTTCTAATTATTTCTTTAAATAATTATACGTTTAAATATAAAAAGAATACTGTGTCAAAATTCATCAAAACTTGAAAATAATAATAAATTCCAAGTCACCGTAAAAAATAATATTCAAAATTGGCATACGAACAAGAAGCAATTGAAATCCGACGAGGCATATCACCACGGCAAGAAACATTACTTGGCCAAGCACCATCACCGTGAATATATTTTCCAATCTTTTGCAATACTCGATGAGCGTCTGGTGTTGCCCCACGCAATCCTTCAACTTTTCGTAGCAATAGTTCTCGTAGTAACGTGATGATAATCTCGATGATTCCCCCTGATTTTCATCCCTGATTGCGTCCTCCAAATTCGTCAATCTGTGTTGCAGTATGCGAAATTGGCCGGCAACGTGAAGATTCACGATGCATAGTAAATTGTCGAAACAGATGTAACACGTGGCCACGTGATACACGCAAAGTATCTGTATAAAAGGTTAAAATCATCCTCGGTTGGTCTAGACAAAATTTTTTAATCATTAATTGATTAAGCAATTGAAAAAATATAGTATATCGTTATTATACAGTTGATATAATTGATATATTTAGTTATTTGAATATATTACACTATTCATAAATATTTATGTAAAGATAAATTGCAAATGAAGATAATGGAATAGAATGTAGATTATATTCGTACTTGTACAATGAAAAGTAGTTCAAAGTAAGGCGACAATCCTACGGGGAAATTGATCCACAAATTGAACGGCAGTGCTCTGTCAGATTCATTTTTCCCTATATTTTCTAGAGAAATAAAAACACCGTTATTGTTATTATCAAGCTATGTAAAAATCGTTTTTCTTCAAGCTATATAAAAATTTACATTTATTAAAATATATTCCAGAGATAGAATAATTGAAATATAAATACCTATAAGCGGAGTGACCATGTAGCCGGCGCAAGTGCCTTGGGCACAGAAGACGATGAGGACGATGGAAAAGTTGCATATTTTCTTGCACCCAGTGATGATCAATACTTCTTGTGGATCGTTGTAAAAACGCCAAAAATTCTTCTGAGTGTATGCGATCAGATCGAAGAACTCTACCTTGTGCGCGTACAAGACGCCGATTTTCAACAGTACGATCGCCACGTATAAAATATTGCAACAGATAAAAACGCTGTTCTGAAATCATATTTCGGATGAAATAAAATCTGAAAACGAATATTTCGAAATAATAATTCTCTTCAGATTTTTATTTTATTTTCACAGAATCGAGGATGTTAATCAATTCACAATACAATACAACAATGAAATTCTATTTGCAAAAGTATTACGTTCCCGTAATTTACAAACTTATTATAAATTGTGCTTTCAACCTTTGTTCCAGCGAACGAATAAAAAAAAAGAGAATCATTTTCACGAAGATATTTTCAACGATACTCTTGAGTTGACTCACGGAAAAATTTCCCCACGAATAATATATGTCCCTGAACGCGATGCATATGCTGATAAATAGCGTTCCAAGGGTGTAAATCAGTGCGAAATCTCTGCATCGTTGCTCGTTCCGATCCGCGGCCAACCACAATCCCACGATTTTCATCAGGAAACTGGTCCAAATTATCGAGACGTCTTTGCCTTGGGATCGTCGCATCGTTTGCGAATCGATCGAAGGATACGTTGCCTTTTACTTTTCCCTTTTGAACCTTGTTCGATTTTTAACGAGACGTCACGCATCCGCGTTTTTTGACGGGTGTCGGTCTTCTTTCCAAGATGCCTATCTAATCACCCGCTTTCTCACACTTTACTTCAACCCTGCCAATTGCGGATGACGACTTGCACGGCTGCATTATTCATGATTCGGGAGGGGAACACTCCCCCTCCGGGCGACGATGAACGCAGGGAGGAATTGCCTTTATTAGTCGTTTATCTTATGTCCCAAGGGATGTGGCGTCTTTTCGAATTTTTAAGGCGATTAATGTTGAAAAGTTTCGAAGGGAGTTTGAGTTTGTGTTTCTTGGAGGAATAATAATAATATAGATTCGATCTTTGTGCTACTTCGACAATTTTTATCATAAAGTTGAGAAATTTTAAATTTGAAAAGTTTTGTGATGTATAATTAAATTTATCGAGAGGGTTTTAACGATTCAATTTTTATCGTCGAAGCGGGGAAATTGTGAAGAATCTTCTCTTTGTTTGATAATCAAATTTATCAAAATTTCGATGAAATTTCGAATCGTGTGAAAAATGTCGAATCATTGTTTTAAGAGGTAAAGGAAAGTTGAAAATTAAGTGTAGATGTATATTGAGTAATAATTATCTCTTTCATTTCTGAATAAAATCTATATCGATTTAAAAGAAGCACAAAGAAAAAAGGAAAAGAAATTTAATAATTTGACGTATTGGACGATTGTCAGTTTATTTGGATTCTTAAAAGGATTTAGAAAAATCGTTGAATCAACATTACCCTTTGCCCCATGTGATATTTGAATCATATTTTATTTTTTCATCTAGGAAATACAAACACTAAAAGTACTAAAAGTACTAAAGTTTCTTATCTAATATTAAAAAATTTTCATTTTATATAAATTTGTGTACGTTTATTCAATTTATTCAGCCCGTTTTCATGGACGATTCCCTCATTAAGGTGAAGTACGACATTGTGGAACTTACAAGCTACAAGAATAAATTTAAATATTATCACAAATTGACGTTATTAGTATAATTACTTGATTAATTTTTATTTAAAAATTATATATATTTATTTTTCTCCGCGTAAAATGCAATGAAAAAAAAATATGCAAAATTCTGAATTTATTAAAAAAATTTCGATTAATATAAAGATATATCTCACACGATCTCTTTCAACCCGCAATGATCCTTCTTTTTCACGAATGAAAAATATTTTTCACGGGCTAAACTCTTACTCTTTAGAAAATATAAAATATCAATTTTCTAAATATAAATCATTTCTATTCGTTATATTTCCAAAATTATTAAAAAAAAATTTCCTAATTTTATATCACATCATATTTAATATTTTTAATATTTTAAACGAGAAAGAAGTGACGTTAAAGGAGATTGCATACCGCAGTAGACGTTTCCAAAGACATCGGAAAGAAACCACCTGCGGAGAGGTAACACGGCCGCATGGACTTCATCATTATCATCTTTATATCTTTTCGCAGCATTCTTCCAGTCTCGTTCATTGGCAACGTCGTCCACCAGCCTGAATACGTGGCCAACCCGACGTTTCCACTTTCTTCTATCAGACCGTGGCAAATATACGTGAAGAAAATTATATGGATGAAACTACCGATCATGTGACAAATGAAGATGAACCTCTTCAACGTAGGTATGTCTGCCTGTAAAATTATTTAAAATTAATATACGAATATTAACGTATTCGTGGGAACATCTTGTGAACAACGAATAATATTAAAAATATATCCATATATAACACGAATAAAAAATTATCTTTGTTGTAAATAAAATTATTTATAATATTTTAAAACGTTTTCTCACGTGAATTACTAAATTATTAAAAATATTAATCACGATCCAAAGAAGATAGAAATATTAGGGTTCAAACGCGTACCAAAAGTATCTCGTACGTATCGAAACACATGAGCAAGCTAAACACCACCACGTGACTGAGGATCGGAAACGTGAAAACCTGCTCGAGTTTATTGCAAAATTCGATCAACGATTGATGCCTTCGAATGCACTTTTTCAAAGCTACGTGGCACCGCCTCGTGTAAGCTGTGATGTTCGTTGTTTGTTCATCGATGCTCGACCAGATCCTCGATAATTCCTGCTGCATCATGCGAAATTGGTAGAGGGCGTGCAGGTTCAGTATGCATAGGAAGAAGTCGCTGCACACGTACGCGATGCCAATTTGTTCTACGGCCAATAACTGTGCGAATATTATTTCTTAACCTGTGTCAAGTGTGCAATAATCCATCGTTGGAACAATTATATATTTGAATATAGAATCTTCATTATTCGAACATTTTGCATATTATATATATTGGCAGCGATGGAAACAGAATTTAACCTTAAATTCTTTCGTCCGATAAAAAAGAGAGTGAAAATCATTTGCATTTCTTCTTTAATAAAAGAAGTTTAAAAATGTGAATGCTATTCATCGAAACATTATTTCGAATTATATTTGATATATATTGGCAGCGATGGAAACAGAATTTAACCTTAAATTCTTTCGTCCGATAAAAAAGAGAGTGAAAATCATTTGCATTTTTTCTTTAATAAAAAAAGTTTAAAAATGTGAATGCTATTCATCGAAACATTATTTCGAATTATATCTGATATATATTGGCAGCGATGGAAACAGAATTTAATTCTTCTGAATGCTATTCATCGAAACATTATTTATCTCATATAAATTAACATATAAATAAATTTAATATTTGTTAATTTTGGAATCCAAAAAAGAAAAAGAAAAAAAATAGGATGATTATTATAATTTAAAATAAAAATATATCTGAAATATTATTTCTGATATAAATTTTATTTTTATGTGAGGAATATGACAATGTAAATAAAGATATACAGTACCTGGATGACGAACATTATTTCATAATACGGTGTCACGCTTAGAGGAAGATCGACCCACATTTTGAACGGAAGTATCCTATCCGATTTATTCTTCCCTATATTTTCTGAAACATAATTTTTCTATTCTGTACTCTTCCATATATTTATTTTTCTTAATTTTTTCTGGAAAATGGATCCTCGATTCACGATACAATTATGAATCGACTTACCATAAATTGGTGTAATTATGTAAAAAGCCAACGAGGATTGAGTAATCATGCTCACAACTATGATCCACAGTCTGCAAAATTTCTGACACTTTCCGAAAAGTATCTTCTCGTCGTAATCGTAATCCAAACGCCAGAAATGTTTCTGGGCGTATGAAACTATATGCGAGAATTCCATTCTGAAAAAGCTTATTACGAAACACTTGAATAATCCCAATAATATGCACATTATGTTAGAAGTCAGAAAGACGCAATGCTGCAAAAAAGTAATTTAATATTTCAATATTTTTATAAACGCACGAGGTTCAAATCTTTAGCGTAATGTAAAAACGACGAATCGTTAAATATTAAAAATTAATTGTAAATAAATTTAATCTATCGAATATTTCTCAAAATTATTCGAAAGAAAAAATGATCTCGTATTTAAGCAATTGAATTATTGAATTAATAACCCATTCGATATTTCAAGTTTATAAATGAACTCGTGTTTCAAACTCACAGCGAAATTATCCAAATTGTGATAAATATCCACTGCATTCACGTATATACCGTAAATCAGGGCAGCGAGTGTGTAGAACACAGCGAACTTCCTCTGACGTTCCTCAGCGTTGTTTCCAATCACCCATATACCAGCCACTTTCAACAGGAACTGCGACACTTTGAGCGACATATCGGTGTACCCTTCCTTGTGCATGATTCGTCTTCTTCGATTTTTATTCTTTATTATTATTTTTTTTCTCCTTTCAACTCTTAAATCACACAACTCTTGGTTGATGGAAGTCGAAAGAAAGAGAGAAAAATTTCCGTGTGGCTGATCGGCTCAAAGTGACATCACTTTGATCTATCGAGACACTCGATCATTTCGCGGATGGATACGTGTCTTCCTTAAAGCGAAACTTTCGCGTGAAATAGAAATGATATGGGTGGACGAAATATAAGATATATCGTTGTGTATTATGCATGGCGCAAAAAAAGGGCCAAAGTGATTGTCACATCCTGAATGTACAACCGGCAATTTTCCACGTATCGATTATTTTTGGCGTATCATTCCGCGAAGATAAAGGCATAGCTCTTTCACTCTCGATGGTGGATACATATATTATATCGAGAAGCAATTCGTGCAAAGATATCTGACGTTTTGTTCTTAAAAATTTTCAGATATAATTTATTATCGTAGTAGAAAATACGTGTAAAATGGAAGAAAGTGTTGTAAATATGTCAACGTGTTGATAATTAAAAATTCTATGATTATTTCAAGGATTTTTATTATTTGATAAATTGTGATTTTTTTTATTCACATAATTATATTATATTATTCGTGCAAAATATTTTATTTCAGGAATATTGTATAGTCTTCAAGATAACTCTAATTGTTGGATTCAAATAGATGAAAAACGACATGAAAATTATGGAAATGAATATTTATAATATTTTAAAGTTTCAATATACGAGAAAGGTACGTAATATTTTTATTAAGATTCATAATTTCATTAGTAAAAAAAAATCTAATTACATTTTACATAAATTAAAATTATTTAATTCTGGATTGGCATGTTAGAATCTTTTATAACATTAACATTAGATTTTCATTTTTGTTGATCTGTCGCAAATATATAAAATTTGCAGTATAAAAAATGCAGTATTGCACTTTTTGAATTATATGTTGAATATAAATATACAAATCAATTTCGATCCCTAATTTCCTTAATAGAATTTCTCAAAGCACTATTTACAACTCGATTAACACAGATATTAAAATAATCTCAAGTACGAAAAATCTCAAAAAAAAAAAAAAAAAAAAATGAAAGAAAAAAAAATTCAAAATAAAAATCAAAATTAGGAGAGGAAAAGATAACACGATATCTTACAGTGGAAGTATTTTATTGTATAGATATATATATGTATATATATCCTTTTTATCATTTTTCATTGAGAAAATACGTATACTTATTCGCAACTCATTATTATTTAATCCTCGCAAGGGGCGCTCGCTCATCGTCCCTGCCACCTCTAATAAATAACTTCTCATAGTTGTGAACAATAGGGATGATGAGATTAGGAGGAAGCAAGTGAAATTTTATTGCTACTTCCACCGTTGAACGAATCGATTATCGGGGGGGGCGATACAGAGATCGAATGAGGAGATCGGCAGAGTCGGTCAAGCGTCGCCCCCTCCAACGATAAATCCGGACGCTGATACTGAAACGTACAACAAACGAAGAAAACCGCGGCCCGCGAACGGTGTTGTGTGTTGTTTATCGTATCGGGGGCTTTACGAATCGTGAAGTGTTTTTTAAATATCGTGAATAAAATGGGGTAGGAGAGGGGGGGGGCGGAGGCGTAGGCATCGATGTCGTTTTAATTTTCTTCTCTCTTTTCTTCTTTTTTTTTTTTCGAGTTTTCTTTTTTTTTTTCTTTTTTTTTTCTTCGCGAGATACATATACACACGCTTCGATACAATATTAAAACACTTATCAATTTCATTTGCAAACATTTCCTTACCTAGTATGTTTCTATTATTTCATTGTTATTCGGATAATGCCGCTTATCCATATAACACGTGTAACCCCATCAAAGCAAAGGAAAAAGGGAACTTAAAAATGCTTGTTCTCTAGATTAGTGGCTCCTTTTCTTTTTTTTTTCTTTTTCTTTTCTTTCTTCGTGATTCATGCGAGCTTAAATCGAAGGATCTACGTTTTTTACTTTTTTTTTTTTTACCATGTGCATAAGATAAGATAAGATAATCTATCCGAGTTTGTCGATTTCGAGAAATAATCTTTGACGAGATATATATATATATATGTGTATATGTAGCACTTAATTGTCTTTTCAATAATTAAAACGAATGTTTATTATGAATTCTGAATTAATATAATATAAATTAATGTATCATCACATATGTGTGTATTTACAATATAATTAGACTGTGGATTTTTGTGCAAATACATATTTTTCATATTGCATGTTCTGTATGTTTATGTTAAATAGATTAAAAATAATCATAATATATGATTTATCATAAAACTCGATTGCATTCTATTAAAATTAGGAAAAATTTGAACCGCTATAACCTCGAAGATAATGATCTCTGATCAATGAATCGAAGATCATTAGAAGTGCGAAATCTTACTCTTTAAAATGCTTTTTGGTTTATCTCTGTACGATTTTTGGTTCTTGAGATATTGGCATGCAAAGAAGATAATTTTTCTGAATTATCGCTAATGTACCTTAGAAATTCAATTAAAATTAAGAAAACTTTAAATCACTATAACTCCAAAGATCTTCGGCCAACGAATCAATAAAAAAAGAATCGTTTTTCTTTTCTTTTTCTTCTTTTTTTTTTCGAGTTTTCTTTTTTTTTTTCGAAGAAACCCTGAATCTTGCCCTTTAAAATGCTTTTTGATTTATCTCGATACGACTTCCAGTTTCCGAGATATCCTCGTGTAAAGAAAAGAATAATTTTTAATCGTTTATTTCCGTCCTTGTCACACACCCGGACTTTGCACAAGTTATTGTTAACATACCTTAGAAATTCGATTAAAATTAGAAAAATTTTAAATCGCTATAATTTCAAAGATAATAATCCTAGGTCAATGAGTGAAAAATCATTAAAAACGAGGATCCTTGTTCTTTAAAATGCTCTTTCATTTATTTCGATATAATTTCCAGTTCCCGAGATATCCTCGTGTAAAGAAAAGGATAATTTTTAATCGTTTACTATTTCTGTCCTTGTCGCACACCCGGACTTTGCACGAGTTATTGCTAACATACCTTAGAAATTCGATTAAAATTAGAAAAATTTTAAATCGCTATAACTTCAAAGATAATAATCCTAGATCAATGAGTGAAAAATCATTAAAAACGGGGATCCTTGCTCTTTAAAATGCTCTTTCATTTATTTCGATATAGTTTTCAGTTCCCGAGATATCGTCGTGTAAAATAAAAAGTAATTTTTTATCGTGTACCGTTCTTGTTGCTTATCCAGAACTCACTCGCATCTTGTCTCACTGATTATATTGTAGAGAAATAAGCAGATTCATAATATCTGTCCTCTGTTAAAACTATGAAGATTTTGAATCATTATACCAACCAACCAAATATTGATTTCAATAGTACGACTTTCTTTATTTCCTATTATATATATATATATCAGGAAATAGAGAAAGGATTTAATAATAAAATTTATAGTTTCTTTTTATTTTTTCCATATGAAAAATCGAAACGAATACGAATATGTATTATTTTCTGTCTATTTGTTTGAACATGTTTTGCATCCACAAAAATCCACAATCTCAGTGATGTAACCAAGATTTTATAATAAGAATAAAAGTAAGTAAAATGGTAATAAAATTATTTCAGTTGTAAGACAATAAAGTGCTAGATTTTTTTTAATTGTAATTTTTTTTTAAAATTAATTTAACATTATCGATCGAAATTACGAAATTATTTCTCTTCTCCTTCGAATCATCACGTGGAAATATCGAGTCATAAACATCGCAACGATAATAATTTTTTCTCTCTCTACATTAATGATAATAATAATAATAATAATAATAATTACAATAACGATAATAATAGTAATAATTCTGAACAAGATGACGCGAGTCATACGCTATGTGCGGATTCGACCATTTTTTTCATTTTCTACAAACTGATCGAGCAAAGCTGTCCAAAAACCAGCCCTTCTTAAACTTAACAATTATCAAAGGATCTCTATAGATATTTTTTTTTCATTTCTTTTTTTTTTCTTTTTTTCCTTTTTTTGTTCGTCTATCAACAAACGGTGTCGTTTAAATCGATCGCTACTTTGCAACAAGTTATCGATAACATCTTTAACATATTTGTATCTCGAAGGGAATTTTCTTGAAAGCAATAATCCACTGTGTTGTCTATATCCGCTAGGAATATGCTTCTATTAATTATACATATACGTAAGCTTGCAACGATTACACGATTATCAACCTAATGAATGTGTAAATGGATTATTTCAGTTCGGAATAAAGCTTAGGGTAAAAAAAAAAAAAAGAAAAAAAATTATAGAGGGATCTTTTCGTTGAAGACAATTTGATGAGAATTTGTGTTCTATTTCGTTTTCATTGTCAGAAGACGCAAAGAAGATGAAATATAAACATCTACTCAATTTTATTATTCATTTTCCTAAGATTAAAAAATTAAAAAAAAATTTATTATCTATTTTACAAGCAGTAAAATTTTAAATAATTCAATTCTGTTTGTTTAATTATTTTCCATATTTATATATCTCAAGAGGCCGAAATTATGGCGTAATTTCAATTAATAAACTCGAACAAATTGCTCCACAATATGTTCCCGCTATAATTATATTTATATTTTACTTTAAGGGGAAAAGGGAATGCTGGAAAATAAGATAATATTTGCTCGTACATTTCCATTTAAATTCGGTGTAGCACGATAAAGCGTAATCTATCATCCAATAAAAGCTCGATTTCGCGTCGAAAACGAAATAATAGCTTTTGTTTTTTTTCTTCCACGTTTAACGAGAAGTCGCATCGACGGAATTCGTGCCCCATTCACAATCGTTATGACGATCCTCCTCTTCGATCGTTCCTCGCTTTGATATCTGAGCGAAAACGAATTGCAAATTCGAGAACACGTTCAAACTTTCTTCCCCGATCTCTGAATAAATATTCTTCCTCGGAGACAATTTCATTGTTGACAATTTCAATCTCACCTTTCTATGTCTACGTCTACTACTGTTTTAAAATAATCTCTCGATGAAACGAAAAGGAAAATCGAAACCATGTATAATTTCGAAGAAAATACATCGGTATAAATATGTATTCTTGTTATTCTCTTCTTGTCCTTTTTCTTCTTCTTCTTCTTCTTTTTCTTTCTCTAGAATTTTATTCCGTAGAGAAACGTTGGAATTATTTATATATATTTTCTTCAAGGACTAGAAATTAAAGATGGGTCGAGACTCGATCCCAAACAATTTCTCGAAACTCTCGAACCTCGAAACTTTATTGAAAATCAAAAGATGGAAGATCGGGAGAAAATTTCGACTTTTTTCGAAAAACTTAATTCGTATCTTTTTTCTTTGGATGGATTATTAGTTAAAAGTTTCGAATCGCAAAAAAGTTTCCAAGTTCGAGAAACTCGAAATTTCTTGGTTCGGTTTCGAAGTTTCTACTGTCCCATCCCTGCTACAAATATTTCGTCGAGGTGATTGTACAAACAATCTTAGCTCACTCTGAAGTTCGCCGCCCCAAGTATTCCATTGTTGTTCCAAGAACTTTTACAACTTGGAGTTACTCGCTTCCTCTTCGTCTTCTTCTTCTTCTTCTTCTTTTTTTGTATTTTTTTTCTTTTTTTCCTTTTTTTTCCATTTTCGTTTCGATGTAAATTTATAGAGAAATATCTTTATATTACCTTAGCCTGTGTAAACATTTTTCATGTAAATCGATAGTAAATAATGTAATAATAATATATAGTAATAATAATATTAATACAATACTCCTCTAAAATTGCCGTTTTATTATTTACACACACACGCCACCACGCTTTTGAAAAATCTAATCGAACCCGTGTAGAAAAATATCCGATGAATTGATAGAGACTCGAGACAATCTGCGGCCATCGTTCACGCTTTAGAAGAAAACTATTTTCTTACGTTTCGCGGGAAAAAACTCTCCAAACAACTTTCTTTCGCTTGCTTCGAAAAATCAATCGTGCATTTTCTGTTTATCTTTTTTTCTTCTTTTTCTTTTTATATTGTACAACAATTTCAAATTCTATTGAAAAGTTTTCAAATTTTTTGCCGCGAACCGCGTACAATTTTGCGCAGATTTTAAAAAACTTTGCAGAAACCGCTTTGGCCCCATAGCGTTAAAATCGAAAGAGAAGAAAGAAGAGGAAAAAGGAAGGAAGGAAGGAAGGAAGAAAGGAGAGAAACGAAAAGTGCAGAGAGATAGATATTTTCTTTCTTGATATAATGAAAGAAGATTCGTGAAGATACTTGAATTCGCTCTTTCCAATTTAAAATTATTAATTTTTTTTTTCTTTACCTGTTTGGTTTATAATTTATGCATGGCCTAAAGATTATCTTTATGTAATAGTTATCATGTCAAAAATTGAAGTTAAATACAATTTTATTAAAGAAAATCGAAATTATCCAACGTAGGTTTTAAAAGTGAAAAGAAAATTGGAAATAAAATAAAAAAAAATTCATAATCGAAATTCATCGAATCCTATTAGAATTAATATCGATTTCTAACGAAAATGTTTTTAAAAATTGAAAATTCCACGTAGAAAGACATAGAGGGTCTCTGATACTCTTTCAATAATATAACAAACAATAATTACACATACTGATAAAAATTTCCATATTGATAAAAATTTCGCTCGAACATAAATTTCGATTTCTCTGAATCCCAATTAAATGCAAATAAAATGCACTAAAACTCTAATCATAAAAATCTTCCTTTCATTCGAATCATCCTTTCAACCAATCCCAAATTTAAAAGATAAACATCCCTCGGCTCTCTTCAAACGAACCAATAAACCATTGTGTTATATCTTCGTAATATTCATAGATCACTAATGATTCGGATTACGCGAATGCCGATTTACCCGCGGTTCCTCGATCCACCATCAATCCGCCGTATGAAATAAGGAACAAGGATAGAAAACCACCTCTAGTGGCAAAGCGATTCGTCGCCGCGCAAAGGAAAACTTTCATTCAGCAGTATTATCCGTTTTATACGTGTCATTTATTTTCGCTTTCGTGAACGATAAGCATAGGAACGGATCCGGAGGTTGCTTTTCGTCTTTTTTTTTTCCCCTTTTTTCTTTTTTTCCTTTTTTTTTTTTTTTTTGTTTTTTTTTTTGTTTGAGAATCGATTTAGCTTCGTTTGCAAACGAAATCGTCGCACCAGCGAGATATCAGGCTTGACGGTTACTAACTGGCCAGCTGATGTTTCGTGTTATGAGGTTTTAGTATGAATTATTGTTGGAACATTAATTTTTTTTTTTTTTTTTTTTATAGATCCATTGTGATTTTTACGTTATATGCGTAATATTAGTCGAAGAGGATCTTAGAACAGGTGGTCGAGGTTGAGAACGTTGTTAAAGAGCATAATTCAATAAAATTAATGCGTTCGAAATGTGATCGAAGATATTAAATGGAATAAAGTTGAAAATTGTGCGATAGTATAAAGTAGTATAAAGTAGAATAAAATTTGTATTATTATGGAAAGTCAATGAAGTTGGTGAAATTGAAATTTTAAAATTAGTAATACGAATAATAATGTAATATAATACAAATTTTTGCATTCGAAGTTGGCAAAGTCGAAGAAATTATATTTAAAAATTCTCAATGTTAGTACAAAGAGAAACTTTTTTTTTAACACGATAAATTTTGGAATCATCTTGATCATAAATTCGAAATTGTGATATAAATTCCAAAAATTTTCATCTTTTTCAACAGATTATTTTAGGCAAACGATTTTTTGTATTAAATTATTCTATTTGTTTAATTCAATCAATTTTTTAGATTCTATAAAATATAATTTAAGTATTTTCAAACTGTCTGTCAATAGTTCATCAAAGCATTATTTAATTATTAATTTAATCATCCAGATAAATTAAATTTTATTACAAATATTTAACGTTTGTTATCATTTATAAAGAATTTTAAAAAATTGAACTTCTTTCTCTTATATATATCGATGACAATCGATTTTTATTGAAAAAATATAATTTTGAAAAAATCATAGACAGATTATATTTAACGTTCTCATAGACGTTTCACAATTCTACCTTCGATAATTTATTATTCTCCTCGATTGCCATGCGTCGATATATTATCCTCAATGCCACATTTATTTCTTTCCGCTGCACATTCTTTCACTATCGAGATCTACAGATTACGTAGCACTGCAGTTAAATGGAAAAAAATGTTAAATACCGATAAAAAAAACACACCATAAAATACTAAATGTAAATAGTTACTTGTATAAACCAATTCTCAAATTTACAATTACAGCAATTATACTAATCGATATAGCCAATATAATTCTTCAAGTACTATGAAAATACATTTAATTATTTCCAATAATAACAATAAGTATATTCACAACCATTCTAAGTATCGAAAATTTATTAATAATCGATCGAAAAACAAAAGTATCCTTCATTCGTTCGATTAGAATTTATTATACGTGTCAAACGTTTGATCGTCTCGTTTCGTACACCGTATATATCCATACGAAAATAAAAATCATGCAATTTTTGAAATTGCAAGCTTATACTTATTATTACTACTACTATTATTATTATAGAACGTGTTATAATAATCTTAAAAAAAAAAAAAAGAAAAACAATCGAAACACCTGCCGGCCAGCTTTTAACGCCACGCGGATTTCCCGATACGTACAGTCAATCGATCACATTCTCCTCTGTTTCGTTTCTCCACCTCCTCATCATCGCTTTATAAGGACGTAGCGAATGATCATCGTCGTTTTATTTTATAAAAAATAGTATCAATAGTACTAGTAGTGTGTGTACGTAAAATACGAAAATACACGAAAATACCAACAACAATGTACAGCGTGTACAGCGTTTCGATAGATAGACTCGAGTCGATCGAGCTGTATATTATTTTTTAAAAGTATACCTAACAAGTGTCATTTACATTGTGGACGCTCCAAATATCAAAATAGTTCGGGGGAAGGGAGGGGCAAGGGATTAACAATCGATATCAATCAAATCTAAATTGCGTTGGAACAAGTGGATGCACGATATATATATATATATATGTATATATAGGGTGTTCAAATATCGCGAACGATGCCTATGTACAATTCGAAACGAACGAGTTTGATTCGAGAAAACGAGTTTTTGTTTTTAGACGATATAAATAATACAACGATATAAGACTCCTTCTTTTTTCTTTTTTTTCTTTTTCTTTTTTTTTCTTTTGGGAACAACAGCAAGAAGTCTGTTTTTTCTTTGACTGTGCGCACATGAAACGACGGGGTATCTCATGAAACGAACGACGAGCAACGAACGTTTTCGTTCGCTCTCCGATTAAGAACAAATCTCGATGAGACGAGTGGTGGATCGTTTACAGACGCTTGTCCGAGGATATTTTCGTGAACAACACGTATAGATCGTTTTGAAGGGGGCAAGGAGAAAGAGAAAAAAAAATCGTAAAATGAAATATTGGATATTTTAGTCTATTGATACAAAAAAAAAAAAAAAATAATATTTAAAAGATTATCGTTAAATTTTCAACGATTTTCTAATCTCTAGTGTTGGAAATTGTTTGTTTCTCTTTCTCTTGTAATTCGATAAGTCTATATAGTTCGAGACGCCATCGACAGAATGCGCTGTATACAAAGAAAAAGAGAAATATTAAATAAAACTGGATATTATTTTCTATACTTTCGAATTACCCTTCATTTAATTCGTTAACAATCGATCGTTATTATTATCCGTAAAACAAACATCCACAGACAATTATCTGCAATTATAAACGAGCCTTAAGGTATCCTCTCGGATGAGAGAGAGGGAGACAACGAATAAGAACGAAGGTAACAGCGGTGTATATAGTAACAACATAGCAACGATATACATACTTACAGTAATATTATAAGTTATATTATTTACATAGAGATAGCCGATAGACGTTTAGTTCCACGTATATACATATATATAATATATATAATATATATGTATACGCTATTTATATAAATATCATATCCTTACAATAGATCGTTAACTTACAAGATGCTTACGTATACAGTCGCTTCTCGAGAAATTGCAATAATAATTTTTTTTTATTTCCACGACACGTGTGCCCTCCGTTATTTCTTCTTTTTTTTCTCTGTGTGTGTGTGTGCTTTTTTTTCATTTTTTACAATTATTTCTGTTTTTTTTCTTCGCTTCATTTCTTCATCCTTATATAACGATTTCTTTTTTTTTTATTTTTGTTTTTTTTATATATACTTTTTTATATATACTTCTTACTTTCTAGAGAACGTCACGCGACTTCGTCGACATCGTTTTATATAGTCTACGATATAGATATGAATAAATTTATTTCCTCGCACGACCGCCTATTACAATTATATATACCTCGCATACGGCATTTCGTTACATCTATTATAGATCCTGTCTTCGCCACGTATAAAAACCTTACGAAAATAGTTGCTCTATCATAAAATCCCGCAGCACTTTTTTTTTTTTTTTACGTTATACCGTCTTACATATCAAGTATTACAAAGAGTCAAGTTATTATATATAATTCTCAAGTCGGTAGCATTTGAATACACGCGACCACTGTGAAATCTGCCCTCCATTTTTTCGTTGGAGGATCTCTCTTTTAACGGTGAACGTTGGATAAATGGCCATTTTGTGAAGCAATTCTCTTTGCACATAATTTGCTCAAACGTACAAGAAAATGGAATTGAAAATTAATCTCGATACGAGTGTTCAAGTGTTCTTTTGCGATTGTCAAAAATAGAAAGAGAGAAAAGCGAAGAATATGGAAAATAAATATAATATATATATATATATATATGAATTTTATGAGAAGAAAAAAATAGCAAGAGTGGGAATTTATCCAATGTTTACCGTATTCGTGGGATACTTTGCACAGGAAAAACAATTCACAGTCGATCGAGATATCCTGGCATCGAGGAAGGATGTGCTACATAAATGCCCGATAAAAGTCTCGTAGAAGAACAACGAAACACTCGTTGGTAATCGTCAGAGTGGAACAAACTAGAAGACTGGATATGAAAGAGGCTACGTTGTAGAAAAAATAAAATTTTCTAAAGTTATTATTTTCAATCAAATTTCAATTATCGATAGAAGAGATCTTATCTTATTTCAAAGTGTTTCGAATGGAAAGGACAATATTTGTTTATAGAGTTTGCAGCCTTCTTTTATGCCCAGTTTTTAAACGATATTTGCAATGAACGTCAATTTATAGTTGTTCGAATTGAACTTCTTCAGCTCCTCACTGACGAGTTAGAACGAGATGTGGCTAATGGACAATTGTGCATATACAGGATGTCTCAATTGTATCCAATCAAATTTTGGTAATGAATAGTGTTATATAAACATAGATCGATCGAAGAGTTATAATAACAAACAAATTTCTTATTCTACGTATATGTACATGAATGTACGTAATGGCTTCGAAATCGAACGATAAATATTTCGAAATTAAACATCGATCTACTCTTGCTTTCTACCAAGTCTCGAGCAACCTATGTTTACACAATATATTCTACACAATATGCACAATACACAAATTTTGACGTGGATAAAACTGACGCACCCTGTATAATTATTCTATATTACGATTTGGAAAGATCGAGCTCTAAAAAAATACGAATACGTGCCACCAGCAAATCATCAAAGACGATAAAACCTCTTCCATTGATCCCAATACGATACGTTAGATAACCAAGAAAATTCTTTTTCGTTCGATAACATAAAATTCTGTGCAAAAGTCGTCTCAAAATTTACTCGATGAAAAAGACTTTTTCTTCGAAGTACATTTTTCGTTAATAATACTCGCTTATAATAATACTTATTTCAACGAAATAAAAATAACTTTCTTTCTTTCAGCCATACACAAGGGAAAACGACAAAATCTTTTTGGTTACCCAACAATAGTACGTAGATCCAGCGAAAGAGGCGCTGTCGTCGCGGACAATTCGCCGCGCGCACGTAAGCATGGTCTCTGAACTAGTCGGTAACAGGAGCTGCCCTCCTGCAGCGTAAAAGATCGTTTTATTGTCGCCAGTAACCGCGTTAATTCGTCGCGCACGTGATCGATCGGGGATAATTCGAGACGAAAAAAAAAAAACGGGAAAGTCGGTCGCTTCCGCCTTTCTCTGGGTCGGATCAAGTTCGTGTTGGGACATAAGCGAGGTTAGGTGGGAGGGCGAGTGTGTCGAGTGTGTGGGTGCGGTGGGCCAGGCTTGGCTCAGATGAGACGGAAGGAGCGAGGCAACGTTGATAACGCGGCGGCGGCGGCGACGGACGAGAGCATCGTTGATCCTTGATCGATCAATCGTTCGATCGTTTCGATCCCAACGATTAATCGTCGCGCGCACACAGGCGCGTCATTATTTTATCGTAGCGTAATGGCACCGTAAGAAGTCACCAAAAAAACGACTAGATCGTCTAACGTTCCGATAAGAAAATATATATATGTATATATATATTATGTACGTACGTGTATATGTATTTTATTACTTGTTGGAGCCGATCGTGCTACGAATAATAAGTACAAGTAGTGTATATAATACGTAATAGTAATTCTGCTTTGCTCTCTGCATGCGGAGGTAGTGTTCGATCGAAATTCTCGAAACATTCTCATTCTGATCTCGCTCAATATGCGTTCACTACTTTTCGCTCCTTTACAGTTATCGCTCTATCTCGTTTCCATCTTCATCGCTCGCGTACACGCTATGCCAGTATAATGTGTGTATAAGGTAACGTTAGGTGTTATGCAATTAGGTGTCTTGACTTGAGTCGCAGCATGCAATGCACGGATAAATTTCTGTATTTTATTTCGCTAAGGACTTATTACGAGTAAATCGTCAATGGCTGACGGTGCGCAGTTCCTCTCACTTCCGCCCTTCCTCCACGCGACAATTTACAATATTACAAATGGACCATCGGTTCTAGAAAGATCGTTCAATTGACCAACACGCGACGCAGGATCACGACTCGCACGATCGTAAACGCTGTATCGTGCGACGGATCGTCTTTTCTTTTCTTTTTGCGATCGATCGACGATCGTTTTCAACGACTGCTTAGGTAGAACTCCACTTATTACGAAATTGTTATCGTTCACACGTCATTCGATCGAGAAAGTTTAGCTTTAAAAATCGAACTTGCTATCCAACAACACGCAAAAATTTCGAATCGATTCTCAAAATGTTCAGACAAGTGGAGTTCCAATTGAAAGCTCGGTCCCTTTTATTTCTTCTTTAAAAATTTAGAAAGGCTTGCTCGTGAAAAAGGCGAGATCCAGGATCTCATCTCTCCATTTTCTCTCTCGATCCAACGAGCCTCGAAGAAGCTGCGGGAGGAAAGGGATCCAGGCTCGCTTCAAAAAAACCAGGCACGCTATTACTTTTCGCATTTCCTTTTTCTTCGCTCCCGACCAAGGACTCGCGAGGATGGGGAAACGAGGATTGCTTCCCCGCGTCGGCAAAAGAAAACGAGACGGCAATTTTCGTATCGCGCGTTTCGATCGCGATTAGAAACCGAGGAAAAGGCGAGGGAACAGAGGAGAAGAAGGGAGGGGGTGGAAGAAGCGAGTCGGTGAATAACGTGCTTCCATATTTGGTAATCGGCGACGGGCCCGATCCGAGTGACAATCGGTTGCGATCACGGGTGACCCATATTAACCTCGGACCGGCTCACTGTGAAGAAGCCCTTATCCGGGCAGCCAGCCTCCAGGAATATACATGAAATCTCATCAAATCTGTGTCGTGATCAGACGATTTTAGACGCCGGTGTGGTTGAATATGTACGAGACGTTGCTCTCCTGGTGGACAGGGGGTCCGTGGAAGGTCCTTCTTGTCGACGAGTTGTTGTTGTTGTTGTTGTTGTTGTTCACGTAGTACGAGGACTTCCTCATGCTCGTGGACGAGGACATCATCGCCACTGTCTCGTAGTACCTGATCTTGCCGCAGCAGCGGCCGCTCTTCAGAATTGCAACGAAGCCCCGCCGATACTTTTTGTTGAAGAAGGCGTACAGGATCGGATTGATGCACGAGTTGCTCGCACCCAGCCACTGGGCGATCGGCGTCGCTATGGGGACGATCTCGTCCTCCCTTTGCTCGTCGCCCAGCTTGATCACAGTGAAGATCACGTAGAGGGGTAGCCACGAGAGGACGAACAGTATGACGACCACGACCAACATTTTCACCACCTTCACCTTCGATTTCTGCTGTATCCTCTCCATTTGGGCGTCCTTCGTGTCCGAGGGTATGTGCCTCCGCCACACTTTGATCCAGATCAGGATGTAGCAGAGGGAGATGAGGATCGTGGGAAGTACGTAGCACAACGTCAGATTGCCGATCAGGAAGAAGAGGGTTTCGTCCTTCGGGTGTGGCCACACCTCTAGGCAGAGCCTCAGGTCTGGATCGTCTTTGTAAATGGCGACCAGGTCGAAGAAGAGGAGCCACGGGGAGGTTGTTGTGAGGGCGATGAACCAGATCACCACTATTATCATTCGGGCCCTCCTCTTCGTTATTTGACACTTTAGGGGCCACCAGATTGCCAGGAACCTGCGGATAAACGAGTTTCCCAGTTAGTCATGGTTTGGAATAAATTGAATTTCGTTGTTGATACGTTTTCTGAGGAGGACTCTATGTGTGTTTAATACACGTGATGCTCTTTGGTTTATTGCTTTTTTACTTTTAGTACCCAAACGCGATGTTGCACAATATCGTTTATTGACAATGGCGATTAATAGAGAACGATAAAGCTAGTTAATTCTCTTCGGATTCTTCGTATCGATTGGACAAGTCATATTAGTTAGAAATTGATAGGAAGCTATTAATGTTGCTTCTCAATAGCAAATTGGATTTATTTCATTTCTCTGATAATCGAAAAACTGTCAAAAGAGTCATCAAGTATTTTTTGAAGGAAGTTACTCATTATCATATTGTAATTAAGATAACATTTACATTTTCAAATTTAAATATTACAAATGAGGTTAAAATCCAAAAAAGGCAACTTCTACTTTCTATACAATAAAACAAGTATAACCTTTCTCTGACTAAAATCTCAAATTTTTAAAACGAGTTAATAAACTAGTTTCTCGACTAACCAGATTAAACTTTATTATACAAAGGAAATGATAAGATCAACTTTTATATACAGGGTGTCTTACTCATTTCCCCATTATTATTCACAACAAAAATTGATTTTGGAAGTCGAATAACATATTTTCTTTTTTAAATACATTTTAATATAACTCTATATTTTCATCATAAAACCAAAAACTAAATGCTATATAAATACTTTGTCATTCAAGTTCCATTAAAAAAATACGAATAAAAAATTTCAAAATCGTGAAAATATATTTAAAATTTTCATCGAGAAATTTTTAGAAATAATAATAAAATGCCAAAAAAAAAAGAAAAAAAAAAGGATGATAATTTCACACGATTGTAAAAACGATTGATCTTACGACGCTGAGATATTACACCCACGCTGAGAATTACGGCACAAAGCGTAACCGTTCATTTTTTATGCCTGCCTTAATGTAAATCTATATGTATATATATTCTATTCGCGATTTCGAAATCGACGCTCGACTCGGTTACGCTTCGACGATCACGAGCGGTGCGTAAGAATGGATACGTAATGGCAATGCGCCTTTTATACGACGCAATGGCGATCCAACGTTCCCGTATCGGGGCCTGCGAAACGAGCCTTACCCAGATAAGGTGCCGTTCCGCGAGAATTTATTAAGCAACCGTGATCGAACTTTTGCGGCTCGCGATAAGGAATTTCACCCCGGAAATTACGTCGTCGAGGCGAGGAGCGCCTCTTCCGCCCTTTATCGCTGTGCCGTAACATCAACATTTCGGTATGAGAATACAAATCTGTTCGAGAGTGAAATTATAGAGAGCGAAAATTTATGAAAAATATCCTCGAGATATCCATTCCGTTTCACAGTAACATTTGATGGATATATCTTTAAAGTAATTTAATAATTTATAATAATTACATAAAATTGGTTGATTTGGAACAAATATATATTGATACTGTTCCATATCAATAATATAATCATGTTACGGTGTTAATAATTTTCAATTGAAAACGATTGAATCACGAGACAAGATATTTCTAGTTCATTGGAAATTCGAAAAAAATGATGGATAATTCTTTTGGAATATATTTTCGATTGAACGAGTTTTCCATTCTCTCGGCAAACTCGTTCATCCATCAAACACACATCCACGAAACACTCATTACCAATCATCCCAAGACCCTCCAAAATTCCACCCCAGTTTCTCTCACGAATATATATATACACACTGTGTTTCCTTTCACAGCAAAGGAATCCACCAGAGTGATCAAAGAAACTCTCGCAAGACTCTTCCTCGTCCCTTAATTGAACGGTGCTCGCTCATCCTTGCACACCTCTGTCCAACTCCAATCTGACCCGATCCAGAAACGTCTCGAGTCCATTAACGGAATATGGGTTGGAACAGAGGATCTCGCCTTTTAATCAGAGAGCTTCTCGCGTCCTTCGACTCGCGTCCCTCGCTGTCCACGTTCAAGAGTCCTTCCATAAATCAGCGACTACCCGATACCGATCTACCAACCAACCATCGCCACTTCCGAGTCGCGTGTCTCTCGTGTTTATAATTAGCGATGGAGTTGAACGCGTCGCGAATGAACAACAGATTAAGATTCTGCGTTCTTAGAAAAGCGTAGTGTAGTCGAGAATCGATAAATGCATTCGTAGAATTCGAAGGAAAAGTTTGAAGAAAAATTTTTGGGAAATTTGAAAATTTTCTCCAAGTTTTTGGCTAAAGAATTTTTCTAGGAACGAATTAATTCCGTCACTCGTTGAATTTTCAAATTTCGTGTTCCATTTCGAAGGAAAAATTTGAAGAATTTTTAGGAAATTTGAAAATTTTCTCCAAGTTTTTGGCTAAAGAATTTCTTTTCTAGGAACGAATTATTTCACTCGCCGAATTTTCAAATTTCGTGTTCCATTTCGAAGGAAAAGTTTGAAGAAGAATTTTTGGGAAATTTGAAAATTTTTTCCAAAATTTTGGCTAAAGAATTTTTTTTCTAGGAACGAATTATTTCACTCGCCGAATTTTCAAATTTCGTGTTCCATTTCGAAGGAAAAGTTTGAAAAAGAATTTTTGGGAAATTTGAAAATTTTTTGGCTAAAGAATTTCTTTTCTAGGAACGAATTAATTCCGTCACTCGCTGAATTTTCAAATTTCGTGTTTCATTTCGAAGGAAAAGTTTGAAGAAGAATTTTTGGGAAATTTGAAAATTTTTTCCAAGGTTTTGGCTAAAGAATTTTTTTTCTAGGAACGAATTAATTCACTCGCCAAATTTTCAAATTTCGTGTTCCATTTCGAAGGAAAAATTTGAAGAAGAATTTTTGGAAAATTTGAAAATTTTCTCCAAATTTTTGGCTAAAGAATTTTTCTAGGAACGAATTAATTCCGTCACTCGCCGAATTTTCAAATTTCGTGTTCCACGAAAATACTAAGAGAGATCTTATATTTTTTATCCTTAAAGTTTAATTTTTTAATTTTTAAATTTTGAAAACTTAGATTTTGGAAAGGAAGTTTTACAGTTAAAAATTTCTTTCAATTCCAAATACAAATACACAAATAATTTTTCTCTACTTGTTTTGTTCCATTGTTTATCGAGCTCGATGCCATCGCTATTTATTTATGCAAAAGTTGTTATGCCTATTGCCGTTATGTTGCACCGAGGAGAAGGACGAAAGAGAAGAAAAAAAAAATCGTTCGATTCGCGGATACGGGATTATCGGGAACGATCAAGGCCTCAGGGAGTCGGGGTGGGGGTGAACAATGAAGATGACACAGCTTTCGGCACGTGTATATAAAGAGTTCGATTTCCGTAGAGCCAACAGCAGTATCGATCCGTGTCCATTTCGTGTTTGCGAACGGGAAAGCCGATAAAACGTTTAACATGTTCAAACTGGCAAGTATATCCATCATATATCCTATACGCGATTACTTAGTAACCGTACTAAGGGAGGATGGGGGGTAAGAGCACGAGACATTCGCTCGAGGATGCTTGATCTTGTGATTTTTGTTGTGGAACATCGAAGGATAGATAGGTTGAACGAAGAAATTGAATTATTGTAATTTTTAAAAAATTTTAAAAAAATTGAATCGAGAAATTAATTTCTTTTCACTTATCGATTATTAAAATGTTATTCGTTGATAAGATAGAATTTGCAATTAGCTTATTTTTATATATATGTAGAGGATGCTCCTGTTTTGATGATTTAAAAAAATTAATCAAACAGTTTTATATTAGATGTAAGAGAACTGTGAATTCATTTGTATAATGCAGTTATGTAAAATGTATCTGTTACCATTCTTGGATATTGACATTCATTTTATGGAAAATTATGGTAATTTTGTTTTTCAGTGGTATAAGAAACAAGATTACCAACACTTCATGAATGTCCTATATCGATGCAGCGCTCTAGTTATTATTTTATTTTTTTTTATTTTACAAATGAAGGTAGATTCTGATGAACAGAATATTCCATAGGTCAAAATTCTTATCTAATTCTTTTTTTATAAAAGAACTAATTAATTAATCTATATATGTATATATATTCACGAAGATGAATACATTTTAATTTTTATTTAATTTCGAATGTGTTATTAATATTTGAAATAGTTTTGCCTTAATTTCGAAAAATTTCTCGAGAGAGAAAATTATATGAGAAAATTATATATTATGAGAAAATTATAACGAACAAAGTATATAGATACAAGTGATGAAGAAGAAGATACGAGGAAGCAAGTGAAAGTGGATCGTTTAATGTCAGACATGATGTCGATCAATATAGAAACACTTGACATACATTTTTACAAATTTAATAAATATTTATATACGCTTAATTGAAAATATAATAATTGATTCGACATTCTCGAAATAATTTTCAATTTTCAAAAGTTCTTCTCAAGTTTTTTTTAAACGAGATAAAATCTTTTTCCTGTCAAAATGGAAGCCCAATTAAATTATATCGCGAGAACATTTCATTTCGAATTTTCACAATTAGCAGGTAATTAGATTTGCATAGAATTTGAATTGCGATTGACGCGGAATCGTTTTCAACGATCGGTTGCATTGGAAAGCAAACAACTGTGCTCGATATTCCGTATGTGTGGATAGAATAATTAATGAGATATGTAACTGGATATAATCACGTTAAAGTATACTATAATCGTGTTACGTTCTATTACTTCGTGAGAAGTTTTATGCTTGAAATTGGTATATAATTTGAAAGAATCTGAAACTCTATAAAGTATTTTTTTTTTAAAAAGATGTAGAATATTTCTTGCTATATTTTTTTAATTTTTTCGGCAAATAATTTGAATCATTTGATTAATTTTAATATATTATATTTGTTTAGAATTATAAGTAAGTTGCTTGTATCAATCTTTTTTTCTGAAATGAATTATTCAAGTTTATTTATCATTTGTCAATTAGAAACTTTTAAACTGTACCTTTTCAATGATATATGGTCAAAATCTTCAAATTTAGCAAATTATCTATCCAAATAATTTCTCCAATATAATTAATATAGCATTTATCTTCATAAATAAATTTAATCTTTTGAATAAATTAGTCAATTATTGGTATTTTTACCTCTGCAAACGAGTCCAATAATTTATCTTTCTCATAAAATAAAGTTATTTACTTACTTCGTTTGTGCTTTACACTTTCATTGAATGGTGAACATTAGGAATGCAAATAGCAGATCATTTAACGCAACTACTTCTACAAGTCTCCCACTAACCAGACCATTATTAATGGAATAATCAATAACTAGGTATCAATCGTATAACGATGCTTGAATAGCTAACTTTGAACAAACTGAAAACTTTATTAGAGACACAAAGTACGTTTAGTGTTACGCGTCATCGATTCCTGATATGTTTACAAAATGGTAAAATACATCATTTCTTTTTCCCTTTTTTCAAGTCCAATCTATTACAAGATATTGATGTTTTAGGACATCAAAAAACTGGAAACTTCTTCTCATTTTTAATAATAATAAATAATTAAATATTTCAGAATTATTCAGTTCAAAGTGTAAACGCTGAAAAAGAATCAAGAATCATGGATACAAAGAAATATCAAAAATTTTTTCCGTCACAATTTTACTAACAACCATACAATCAATCTACTCGACAGATTTTTTTGCTGGCAATGGTCATCGTGGCAGCACACGCCGCACCAGCACCAGTGCCGCCTATATTAGCACCCCCATTGGTCTATCCTCCAGCCTACTTCAAGGTGCTACCTCTGCACACCGCGACTCTGCCTCTCTCCTACCCTGCCCACGGCTACAAATGGTACTACCCAGGCTCCATTTACCTCCATTGACCGGCCATCATTTAGGACCAAGGACCACAAACTTCCAAACTTCTTCTTCTTCTTCTTCTTCTACATAAAAGGCGACAAGGGCGGGATGAAGTAATTTTGTACAGACTCGAAGAATAAACGTTCAAAGTGGAACAAAACTATTGCGCTCGAACTCGTCCTTTGCCTTCGGACCAATTTTTCGAATTACCATTTCTCGTCGCCTTTTATACCGGCAGTAAAATCCTCGAGGCGAGGCGAACGTTGTGCGTGCACGATTCGACCCTTTTTGTCTTGAGAATTTTCCGACAACAATTTCCGGGAAGGGTGGTCGTAAAACAGGATGTGGACGATACTCGAAGGCCAAGATTCGATGGAGACATTCGGTGGAAGCTGGTTACGCTCATCTGCATGTAACGAGGGTGTTTTTTTCGTGTAGCCTTCATCCCTCGTGGGGTGAACGCTCGCATACTTTTTTACTCTGATTGCTTTTGTTTAATTGTTTAATCCTGGCAATTCGAGTTCCGTTCGAGGAGGAGAGAGAAGCTTTCGAGAAAGGCTTTTCCTAGAGAAAGGTTAAGTTAAGATTCATCTTCTAAAGCTAAATTTCAGCGAATCTCGTCTGTCCTTTTCCTCTTCACATTCTCAACTTCGTTGAAAACTCTTCCTCGAGATCAAGGATTTCTATGAGGGGTTTGACACAAGAAGAAGCTCCGTCTTCGGTATTTTTTTTAAATAAAATTTTATTAAAATTCCATATGACCAAAGGGGGGTTGGGGGAGGGGAGTTCTGGATGATTGATGCGGTAATGATCGAGATGCGGAATTTGCCCGAAGAGCTTAGACCAATGATGATGCCAAGAAGATGCCGCCGGAAGGGAAGGAGGCCGGCCGGTTCACGCCGCCATTTTCGATTCTCCAGCCCGCGGATGCGCGAGAAAAAGGAAGAATAAGAACCGGGCGCTTCTTCTAATCCGGGAATTAGCGAAGATCAACCTCCAAGTTCTGTTCTTCGTTCTCCTCGTTCTTCCCTAGCTAGTTCCATCCTCGAGCAGCTCAACCGATCGATCTTCCCTTCCCTTCGCTTTTCCATTTCCAATTTATCATCCTTCCTTTTTTTTTTCTTCTCTTTTCTCCATATATATATGTACACGTACATATATATATATATATATATTTTTTTTTTTTTGGAGGGGACGATTTACGAGGAATTAGAGGTTTTGGGGGAGGGGGCGGGGCAGGAGAGGAGCCTGCAATGCTCCGCTCGTGCGCGCGTGTGTATTATGTCTACTTGTCTTCCAGGGAGGGTGAGGTGGGGGGCTGTCTCGTCGTGACTTGGTGGTTGGTAGTGACGTTAACAACGTCTAATGCAACGGGCCATGGCCGGCAAGGAGGGGCAGGGGGGCGGCGGTCAGCACGGATTTGGTGACGATGGGCGCGGTGCGGATGACGGGTGCCACGGGCTGGGCGATCACGTGGGCGGCGGCCAGAGGCGCAGCGTGGCTGAGAACCAGGGGAGCGGTGATCGGCCCAACTGCATGGTCGGCGATAATACCGGTCAGACCGCCGGGAGCGGCGGTGGCGACGGCCAGGATGGCGGCGAGAACAGCCTGCGGGAAAAACACCTCTTACATTCGCTCTTCCCTCATCGATCCTTTCATAGATCGCTTCTTCTTCGATCGAACTCTCCTCTCCTCCGATCTAAACCGATTCTCAACTAACGTCTATTCTTGTCCTCGATTCTTTTTTTAAAAAGTTCTTCCACTTTGTCGATTTAAAAGTTCAGTGTATATTTCGAATTTCTTCGATCCTGGATCGTCGGGGTCTAATTCGAGTTGAGGGAGACAATGTCGATCCATACAGTCTTCTTATCTTCTTTGCTAAGCTAATCGTCGTGGAAAACGGTTAGGGGGATGATAGCGTCTCTGTCCACGCCGTCTCGCGAGATTTTCCCACGGAGGAGGAGGCGTTAATCTCTTACTGAGATTAGGAAGGAGGAGGAAACGTCTGATCGCGTTTAATGCGGATTCGTATTCGTTTACCTTGGAAGGAGTCAGCTTGGGCTCCGTTCGAGGATATACTTTGAGCAATGCTCTTAGAATGCGGATATTTGATACGCTTTTAACGGACGGTGTTTTGAGAGTAAGGCGTTACTTTACTTGCAAATCCACCTTTTTTTTTGTAAGAGAGAAGACAGTGTTTTTCTTTTTCAGGATACGAGAAAAGCGAATTCAATTTTCGAAAACAATTCTCCAATTATCCGCAAATATATATATTTACAATCAACAAATATTAATATTAATTAAAATTCTAACTAAATCAAAGATATTTCGAAATCAAAGAATTTTCCTCTACCTTCGTCGTGGAAACGATTCAGAAAAAGAAAAAAAAAATAAATAAAAAAAAAGAAAAAATGGAAACAACTCAATCCGAGGCGCGTGACGTGTAAAGCAAGTGTCGCGAGAGAGCGAGATCGGCACGCGACCGAGGCGAGCACGCGAGATGGAGGAGGGGGGAGGGGGGAGGCGAGTGCCCGACATTCCATTTTTGCTTTTCGAGCGGAGTTGGTTGGCTAACACAATATGCATGCTCGAGTGATTTCTCGCTCGCCGATTTTTGTGACCAGAAAACGGAAACTTCGATGTGTTCCGTTGGAAAGGAACGCTCGTGGAAAGGTCAGGGCTCGATCAATGGGACTGGAGGAGGCCGATCCTTTTATATATCGATCAATGAAGAGCGGAGTGAATGGAAAGAATTTTGCTCGAACCGATCGATCCTTCGTGATCGCGAAACGAGGTTCACATGCAAATTGAAAAAAATGATTCATCAGAGAGGGGAGGGAGAAATTTCAACGCGTGATTGGAAAAGTAGTGAACGAGTGTGAGGAGAAGATACGAAAAATTTGAGAAAATTAACGAGAACGATTCCTTTGTAATTGAAAATTGTAATCACGCGTTTATTTATCTTTTACTCGGGAAATATTCTAATTTACGAAAGATTGAATGAGTCAGAATTGTTCTAATTTTATGAAAAGGGACTTATGGGTTGCATTTATAGATTTGATTAAATTGATGGTAATAAAGGTTTGAAGGAAAATTCAAGGCTAAATTCGAGAATACTTTCGAATATACCAACTCACTTGTTGAAATTTTAATTCAATTCGAGTTAACATCCCGAGAAACGATTATTCGATTTATCCCTTATCAAAGAAACAAGAAAATACGTTGAATAAATAATTTAAAAACAGTCCACGTAACGAAAAAGTCGTGTCCGAACTCAATAAAATCGTCTCAAAGGAGAAGCTTCCCTTTTGCAAGGGAAAATAAGATAATTATAAAATACAATTATAAAAATTCGTCTTACCAACTTGAACATGTTGATTGGGTTGGGAGTGAGTAGCTCGTTTACTTCTCGAAAGTAGATAAGCTTATGCTGGATGTATCGGGCGACGGCCCTTTTATACAAAAGCCGATTTTAAAAAATCGCTATAAATTTGATCACGTGGCCCGCCGTTCGACAGTCTGACGTTATGTGGCGGCCTGTTGAGTCAGCCGGGTCCGAACGGGCGGAGTGGGGTGGCGTTCGGCCAATCGGGCCGCGTTATCGGCTCTAAACGGCAACGCGCCGGCCAATCGGACGCTTTCAACCCCTCGCGATCGGTTGCAGGGAATTGGGTTAAGACAGTTTGCACTTGGAAACGGCTCGATCGGCCGTGTAAATGATGCGAAGGTGTGGGTGACGCACACGCACACACAACCGGCGGTCGGGGTGAGTGGTAAGAGCGTGAAAAACGTTAAGGCGCTTGTACGCTCTAAATGCAAACTTATTTCGTAGAAAAAAAAGAAAAAAAGTTCCAAGGTTCTTCTTTCTGAATCGCTTATCCAGAAACTCTTTGTTCGAGGAATAGAGATTTTGATTTTTCTCTTTTTTTTTTTCGTCTGCATATAATTGGAATGAAAATTCGACGAACTTTGTTTCGTGTGTAATTTCTCTTCAAGATTCTCTTTGAAAAATTCTTTATTCTATTCTTATGTGTGTTACGGTTTGTACAAACGCGCTGGACAAGTTCTGCGCCAAGAGAAGAAAAAAAAGTTGATGAATAAATATATTAAAATGAAAAAATTAATTCGATCTAGATTTTCAACCTCGTTTCCAAATGTCTTTCACAAGATTGAACTTTGCCAATGTTAAATTAAATTGTTTTTGGAACATTTGAGAATTTTTGTCTTTTTCTGAAAAATTGGAGAAAAAATTATATCGATAACATTTTTACTTTTGTGAAAATTGTATAAAAATTTTATGGAAGCGAAACGAAAGATTTATGAAAACGAGGTGCAAATATTTGTACAAAAATATTGGTGGAAAATATACCACTAATTGATCGTCTACAGAGATATTGGTTTTATTTTTATCTAATTTACGTACATTTTGAAGGAAGAAGAAAATTGTATTACTTAAGAAATGATTTAAAGCACTTGACTGTCGTTGAAAAAAATACTCAGATATTTACTGTCTCTCACAACGTGTAATTTAAACGTAAATTACGGATGAAACTATCTGTAATGGTTTTATCCTTCGTTATTACTACGTGTGTAGTTAGTAGAACATATAAATTATTTTTCAAGAGTTATAAAGTTGGTATTTGTAATCGTTGAAGTATATGGAATTATTTTGTTGAATGACTCTTTTTATCTTTAGAATTTTTTTTTAAACTTATATTAAATATTTCAACGATATTTATTTATGAATATCAATTTAATTGTAAATTTGATTAAATTGTAAAAAATAAAGGACAAAGTATATATTGTTTAATGAATAATTCAAATTTTTTTTAGTTTGATAATAAATACTGTCTTTAATTATTATTCAATGAAAGCCATATATTAAATGCCAAGTCGATTATTTTTTTCTATTCATTGATATTCATCTATATATATGTACTAGTTGTTTAAGATGATTTGTAATCATATAACTTATTGAGAAAAATGAAAAGTATATTTAATGATCAAAGTAAAATGTATCCTGTAAATGAAAAAATAAAGAAGTTTGTTTTTTCCTTTCATTTTAATAAAATCTACAGGTGGATATATTACGTTTAAAGTTTCTAACTGGTTCCACAAAAAGAAATTCAAACTGATTCTTTTACTTATATTCAACAAGTTGCGAAGAAAGGAAGTCTTGAACATTGATAAACTCAAGAGTAAATTTTACATCAAAGAGATTGATTTCAAAATTTCTATTGATCAAACATCTCTTACTTTCTTTAGTAAGAAAAATAAGTCTTACACTTATCACTTCAACAAATTTAAAAATTGTTGTTTTATAATATTATTATAAAACATATTTAAAACTACAATCAAAGATTCAAACTAAGGTGAGTTTAAATATCTATTATATTTTCTGTTTAGCATTTTGAAGTTATCTTTTTTATAATCTCTTAAATCTTTTAAAAAATCTTGAAATTTTTTAATAACAAACTCAAATATGCGCATAATGAAAATGAAATTCTATCAAAAGTATTGCTTCATTTTAAAAGTATTCATTTGACGATAAAAATTCTTGAGAATTATTTTTTTGCTTATATATTGATTGTTCAACAATAATATTTCTTTATTCTCAATGTATTTGCAGAACAACTCTCAAATATATTTGCCCTCCAAAATCATTTTTTTAGTTTTAACAATGCATCAAGATAAAAATCGAACAAAATCCGAGCTCGTGAATGATTGTAACCATTTGATAGGATCATTTGATAGAATCGGAGGGAAAAGTAGAGGATTTTTTTACCTTTCTTCTCCATTGTTTCGATGGTGGCTCATGGAGGGCGTTATGAGTCATATGCTTACAAGTACAGCAACGTGCAAAAGTTTAATCCGACGAATTTCTCGATTAAATTATATTAATTTAATTATTTAATTTAATTAAATAATTTATATTTAATAATATAATTTAATTTAATTAATAAATTATTACATACTTTACGTTAACGAGTGATAAGATAAAAATATACGATAAATTATTAAGATACCAAGATCCAAAAAAAAAATAAAAAAAAACAAAAAAACAAATGATTTAATTTTTTAACGTATGACACAATGAATAATAAAATACAAAAGTGCACCAGATCTATCTCCCTTCCTCCTACATAAAAATTAGAGATACCTTCACGAATTGAGATAAACGAAGAAAAACCTCGATTCTACGTGACAAGACACCTTGCATTCGAGATAAGAAACCCTATGGATAGTTACACGGGATTGCTTAATCATCAGAACGGTCGTTTGCAAAAACCGACCTTTCACGGTCACTTAGAGCCACGAAGTCGGTTAATTCGTAATATAATTTTATAACGAGTAGCATAGAACGTATTACTTAATGGATAGGAGGCAAGGTCTGAGTCTCTTGATCGAACGAAAGTATTTCCGATTAAAACGTATCGCGTTCCAATTTCCATTTTCTTTTTTTCCTCTTCTCGATTTAATAAAGATACGTGATTAAATTTCAACAAGTATTTTCACTTTTGTCGTTTGCCAATCTTGATCGTGGCAATTTTATTATTGGAAAAAGAAACAATAAACCCAATCCTCTATCCCTGCTAATCTTCTATCTATCCATAGAATGGTAACCATTTTAGAATTGGGTATTATTAGATAGTCATTACGTTGATTGCTCATCCATTCTTGCTCATAAGTACAGTATAATAATAATAACAAGTTCTATTAGTTATTATTATTACTCTTCTCTTATTTTTGCCATAATCTTTTCGAAAGAGTCTCGAATAAGAAATACAAATTTGTACAATTCTTTTCTTAATTTATGACACCTCAATCTCGATACCAAAAAAAAAAAAAAAGAAATATAAAATAATAGATTTCTTTTTTACATAATTTTCCAAAATTTCATCGATAACATTCGATTGGTTAACCATAAAGGATATTCGAAAAATTCGAATCAAAATCAATTCCGATCTGCGTTATAATCTCAACGTTATACACCTCTTGTTACGTGTCATAACCACGCACCGTAATCCGGATTATTCGTTCTCTTTAAGATCAGATTCACTGCACGTGTAACAAGTGTAACGAGAGGTATCGTGTGTCAACCACACGGAAGTCTGATGGACACGAAATATTCTCGATTATATTGGTTACCAATAAAGTCGAACAGAGAGAATCTCTCCCTCGTTTGTTGACATTACACGAATGATAAAAGTATCCAAAATATTCCTTCGTATTCATCGAACTCTTGGATGCAAAGAAAGAATAGAAATTACAATACGAATTACGTTTGTGAATTACATTCGTTGGGAAACTGAGAGAGAGAGAGAGAGAGAGAGAGAGAGAGAGAGAGAGAGAGAGAGAGAGAGAGAGTCGAGTTTATTTTCGAAAGGGGAAAAGGACGGTTTAAGAGGGAGGAAATGGTTGGCAGAGACGACACCAGGATTCGCGAACGATGCCAAACGTTTTCCGTTTTCGAGACGCGAGGGGGAGGGCCTCGAGCGTTGAAAACAGAATTCTATTCTTCGCGAGATGCCTGCCGTTCCTTTTGTCTACGATATCGGTGCTGGCAACAGGCCATTTCGAGGATCGTCGAGACCGATACGAATATACCGAGGTAAGGGTTATAGGTGGATTTTATTTAATTGAGAAAGATTGAGAATCGTGAAAATGGAGTAGATGGGAATTGTAGATGGATGATTTAAAATGGAACGTGTTTCGATTTCATCGCGTTAACTTTATGAAAAATATGGGAGAAGTTGAGAGAAAGAGTAAAAAAAGTAAGAGCGTGGAAATCTTTAGCTGTTCGATTGATCACGATTTGTATTCGTGATTGTAATGGTTTCGGTTGAATAGATTGAAGAACGATCGATGTAAATTAATTTCAATGTGAGAAATATAGGATAGAATAGAATATTTTTAAACAGAGAATAGCATAATTGAAGATCATATTTAATAATTTTTATCTGATATGTTTTTGATAATTAATTTGCTCGATGCAATGATAATTTGCATAAATTTCAAATAAATCTTGAGTATAATGTAATGAATCGTGTAATAATAAAATTAGATGCGATGTATAAAATGATTGTCTGATCATTAAATATCAATAATTTATCATTATGATGGTCGTTGAAGATTTTACAACATGATAAACGTTTTTCTATCAAATCTTATCGGATCATCGAGTAATTAGACGATTAACGATGAAAGATCGAGTAAAAAGAGGTTAAATCAGATACTGAATTTTTATGAAACGATGCACACACGTGTTTACATCATAATAGGTAATTTTATAAAGTGTTGTGAAATTGTTTAAGGCTTAGAATTCCATTAATATTTTCTCATATAGGTGAAAGGTATTTATACTCTTTCATTTTTGCAATTATTATCTCATTACTTGCTTCTATAATCTATTTTTTATTACTGTCTTCTCATATCTGTCACATAGTAATTATTCTTCTTTTTCTCAGCTCTTTTCATATATGAAAATCCACCATTTTCTCCATGTTTATCATTCCTTTTTTGCCACTCAACATCAATCTGATTTTATTAATCTGAGTACAAGAATAATCTCTTATTATTTGTATATTTGATAAATTACAATTTAAAAAATTAACTCAGAGAGTTTATGTACATCATTCTTAATACATTTTACAATTTCTATTTTGTATAAATTTTAAACTCTTCAAATCTCTCAAGAAATGATATCTGTTACTCTAATTTATACAAGAAATTTGAACTTTCTTCAAAAATATTACAAAAATGAAAATCCCACTATAAATTATTGACAATTTGAAACTTTTTCTAAAAAATTTTTAAATGAGAAAACTGGACTTTTAGAACGAAATAATTTAATGCCAAAACTCTCTGTTAATTAAATAAACAAAATCAAGATTTCACTTTCTTAGCAAATATCATTCATGCGGTACACTTTTCCACGCAAATTCTTATTATTATGCTAATGAAAATACCGTTTACGAGCAGTTGGAATGCCACGACGACGATGTTGGTACGTGTAATAGCAGCTACATACTATGCTATGTAGGTGAGGAATAAATGTGTCAGGGAAGAATATGCACTTAATGTGACGTGTCGTGAGCGGCTCTTTGATTTCGCAATACACGCATAATAATATTTCATATTCGTCTCGTTTCTCGTTTTTCTTTCTCAGCTGCAAACGTGTCTCGAACAATCGATATATACAAATGATTAACATTTCCTCTCAATGCCCCCTAGAAAGAGACAGGTGAGTTTAATTTGTCCCATAATTGTATATAATTGTAATAATAATTTGATTTAATTATATTTATTGAGTTAATTTTTATAAAATCTTCCATTGATCTTCTTCTTTAAATTTTTATCCCAGAGTTTTCATTACAAAGTTTTTTTATAAACGTTCGAATAAAATTTCGTATCCTTTCTCAATTTCATTTTGGAAATGGAAGTAGCGAAAATCTTGCGAATTATTTTGATTTGTCATCGCGTAAACTGTAATAAACAACAAATGATTCTTATTTATTTCCTTGCCATCGCGATAAATCACGAACAACCCCTAAGTTATTCCGATTCCTTAAAGATAAGATGAGGCGAGAAGCAGAGGGGCGTTAAAAGGGATGAAACACTCCTTAGTATTTTCTGGAAATCAGTTTTGCTTATCAAAATATATTGAAATAACTGTCTCACTTAAATAATTCTTTCATTCTCTTATTGTATTCTCATGCATGATAAACTTACAATGACTACACGTTCATTTCATAAAAAATAATTAGAAATTTCTCTCATCTCCTTAAAACGTAAAAAAAAAAAAAAAAAAATATTAATTTTTAACAAGTTTGAAAAATTAAAATAAAATTATATATTTTAAATCTTATAAAATATAAATTTATGTATAAATTAATGTATTCGATTTACGTTCGTAATCGTGTCGAACCCATCACTAGTTACTATAAAATAAAACAGCAATTAGGAAGCAATTTCTGGAATGACTGTGCACGTTCTATTTGGAATTGTCGAGTGTCTGGGCGAACATTGATGAAATCATTCTTTGAGAAGTTCATGTACCACATACCTGTCCAGGGAAACCGCAACAAGGCTGTAGACAGAGGCCGCCACGGATACGCCCTGTATATAAGCGACAGCTTTACACATGAACCATCCCAGCAACCATGCTAAAACATACAAGTTCACTGTTTAACGTTTTGAAGTCAGACGATGAGGTGGATGTTGCATTTGACTCTATTCTTTTCCAATTGCCTTCTTATTCAAATATTAATCTTTAACGTGAATAAAATACGAAGGGATCGATATATTTAATTTATTTATATCTTTTTATATCTTTTTATATCTTTATTATATCTTAATTTCGTGCTACGGATGTAAAATTGTTTTTTTCTTTTTTTTTTTTCTAGACATTGGATTCAAGAAATTTGAGAAATTTATACGATATAGAAAAGTATATAAATATTCATGAATATCGAAAGATATTAATACCTTAAGGATTATTGTTTCATATAAATTTGTTATATAATGGTGCGATCGTTAGGGGAAAATAAAAATAGAAAAACTGGAAAAATAATTATCATATCAACGATCGTGAAGAAATTATGAAAAGGGTTTATTAATTAACAGTGGAATTTTTAATTTATGTTTGTAAGATTCGAGAAGAAACTGTTCTCCCTTTCTCCTCTTTTTCCATAATGAAATGAAAAGAGGAACTTAAGAGGAAGTTCTCGAAATAATATTGTGCAATTATTAGACACGATAGTGCACTGTTCAGCACATGGATAAATACTCGTATTCATTATTATTATTATGCAAGTGTTTCAGTTGATCTGCATTTAAAAACCAGTTTCCTCGAGCAATTAACATTAAACGGACAGATCTAATGTTGCTGACTCACATTTCGAATTTGCAAATCCTATTTTATAAAAATTGCTTGGAAAATGGAAAATTATTGCAAGAAAGAATAGGACAAAAATCTAAGCCTCGTTTGAGATAATTCCACAGTCTTTACAAAACATTGACAATAATGACATTGGACGAGATTTCTGCCATTCTTTGTTATTTCTAAAAAAAAAGAAAAAAACTCATACAACAGATCCCACCGATATTTGTAAATTACTTTGCAATAGTATATTCAATGATTTGTACACCGAATAATTTTTTTATAATAATAAATATATATTTTAATTTTATTCAAGAAACTTTGAATAAAGTTCACAACCATTTCATTTTCATCATGAAATCTTCAATTTTTATATCTCTCCACTCAATCTCTTAATCTCAGATCTTCGATATTCCATAATTTCGAAGGATTCATCATCCAAGGAAAGATTTAATTCAAAATTTCCTTTTTTATTTGTAAATTAGACTGCAATAATTATCGGTGATTTGTACACCGAATAATTTTTTTATAATTATAAATATATATTTTAATTTTATTCAAAAAATTTTGATAAGTTCACAACCATCATCCCATAAACTTCATTTTCATAATGAAATCTTCAATTTTTATATCTCTCCACTCAATCTCTCAGTCTCAGAATCTTCAATCTATAATTTCAAAGAATCCATGATCCGAATTTAATCCAAAATTTCCTTTTTTATTTGTAAATAAGATTACAATAATATATGGATGATTTGTATCAAATAATTTTTTTATAATTATAAATATACATTTTAATTTTATTCAAGGAACTTTAATAAGTTCACAACCACCATAAACTTCATTTTCATCAATTTTTGAAATTTTCAATTTTTATATCTGTCCACTCAATCTCTCAATCTCAGAATCTTCAATCTTCTAATTTCGAAAAATCCATGATCCGAATTTAATCAAAAATTTTCTTTTTTATTTGTAAATAATATATTGGTATTTTGCAATAATATATTGGTATTTTAATTTTATTCAAGGAATTTTCACAACCCTCCCATAAACCTCACCACAATCTCTCAGTCTCAAAATCTTCGATATTCCATAATTTCGAAGGATCCACCATATCCGGATGGAAATCCAAAATTTTCTTTTTTTTTATTTGTAAATTAGACTGCAATAATATATCGGTGATTGTACACTGAATAATTTTTTATAATACTAAATTATATTTTAATTTTATTCAAGGAACTTTCACAACCCTCCCATAAACCTCACCACAATCTCTCAGTTTCAGAATCTTCGATATTCCATAATTTCGAAGGATCCATCATATCCGGATGGAAATCCAAAATTTCCTTTTCTTTTTTTTTTTTTTTTTTTTCGAAAAGTTAGCCGACAAGTCTCAGCCGATTGCGCGGCCTTTTGGCCCGAAAGTACGCACAATTGTGCGCGAAGTGAAGGGTAGGCCTTGTAGAAAGGAACTTCCCGTAGGCCGTATATCAACCGTTCAGCGGAATAATTATTTATTCCATCGAACACGCCGTAAGTGGTGGCCGCCTGCGTCGAAATCCATTCCCGCGGAATAATAATTCCCATTCGTTCGTTCGTTCGTTCGTTGCTCTCTCTCGCATATGTCTCTCGTTTATTTCACGCTCCTCGATCACACGTGTTGCTGGAAAAAAGAGAGAGAGAGAGGAAAAAAAAATTGGAAAATATCGTCCGCGGATACATATATACGTTTCTCTCTTTTCCTCCCCCTTCTTTCTGCCTCGTCACACGAGACAAAAAAGGTGATAGATAGGTGAGATTAATATTCGATCAAAAGAGCGAGCATAGATCACGAGACATAGATCATCCGTGAATGGAAATTGATCACGGGGGAGGGGGTAAAGGGTTGAGGTGCATTACTGCGATTCTTTACTCGTTTGCTCTTTTGATTTTCTTCTGTACGATATTCTGCGAAATGCTGTGTTATTTTATAGGTAGATGATGATGAGGGGGATGATTCCACGCGAAACAATAAAGTATGGAATAAAATTTGTGAGTGGATTAAGCTTGGAAGTATTTCAAATATTTCAAATACAAATGAGAGTTAGTTATTGTAGTCTCGATTTTTTGAATGGACTATTGATTGGATAATTATTTTACTTAAAATAAAAATATTTAATAAGGAAATTTAATCTTTTAGATTTAAAAGAGAAATTTTTTCTTTTTTAAATATTATAATTTTTTAATCTTGATATATAATTGAAATAAATGTATAGAGAAGAAAGCGAATGAATATGATTTGAATGAAATTTATTTGGTATATTTAAAAAAAATGATAATGTCGAAGTTGAGAAAAGAAAAATCGTATCGTGAGATTTTTTTTATTTTCTTTTTCTTTTTTTTTTTTTTTTTTTTCGTTTGGAACGGTTTATCGAAACGCAGTGGAATGGATTCTTGTACTAGATGAAAGCTTTTTGTCGTCGATTTTTGTGTGAAAGGTAAATTGTCAGGGAGGGAAAACTTTGTCGTGAAAATTTTTACGAGAAACGAGAAATACTGTTGACAATTATATTTTAACTTTTTATTATTTACTTCTATTTCGTTGTGAATAATCTAATTTCGAAAAATCGAAGACGAGCATCAATGAAACGTGTTACAAGTATAATTTTTTTACAAAATTTACAAAAATAATTTATTTACAAAAATTACCAATCTCTTTTTATTGAACATTGTAGAAACACATTCTTATAACACGATTAATATTAATTGTTATTACTAGTCTTTAATTATTATTATTATTTTTAAACAAACATTTTCCAAATAAAAACATTATTTTTCATTTTCATAGATCATCCCTCCAAGAGTCCACAATCCTATTGCAACAAAACGATGTACAATTTCCCTGCAAATATTTCTACATTTCCCCCATCTTTCAATTTCCTAATAGCTTCGAAGAGGGAAAAAAGAAAACACGAGGAAACAGATTTCGAAAAGGGGATGGAAATCTCTCGAAAGACAACGTGCAAATATATTTCTACACACACCCCTCATCTCGAGGGTGAAAAGAGGGGAGTATCTATCGGCCATGTTTCATCTCTCCACGGCGAAAATATCCGCGTGAAATATATCGACAGGCCTTTGAATAAAGTCTCGAAGATGTCGTGCGCATTCACGAAGCGAAGAACGAAGCCGAAAGTTTCGGGAAAAAACCTATGAAATTCGGCGCTTGCCTGCAATCAATCGACATCCTCCAACTTTTCCACTGAATAAATCTGCCCGTTCGCGCGCCACGGAATATCAGAATTCTAACTTCGAGAAGTTGTTTCCGTCCCATTCCTCCCCCCCTTCTCCCCCTCGTGAATTTTAAGTGCGTAATTCGCGCTTGTTTCGCGAGAAATGTGAAGTCGTCGAAATGAAAGTCGTCAATGATTTCTTTTTTTTTTTATGCATAAGTGGTTTATGCAAATTTGAAATATTATAAATTTATAATTATAAAAATATATTATAAAAATTTGAAATATTAAGAATAATTAAATTCTTAAGGAGGAATGAGATAATGCGCATTTTGCTTCCAATGTTTTATCCGTGCGTTTTCTTTTTCTACTTTCATGGATTAATAAATTAAAAACGTGGAATATTTCCTTAATAGTTATAGAAACTAGTTTTCACTTAATAAATATTTCATTAAAATTGATACACTTCTTTTTCGAACGATGAACAAATGTAACAATTTTGTGCAACTTGCTTTGAAATCGTTTTCAATTCCTTCTGAAATGTTGATGTTGACAGATGATAATATAATTAATATATAATATAGAATTAATATAGAATATTATTCCAGAATTTTGATAAAATAATTTGTCGAATCAAATTGTAAATCCGTAAGTTCAATTTGTTGACTAAATGGCAGAGATCTTTCTTCTTATCACGTATAATAGAACACATTAAAATGAGATTTCAAACTTATCAGGATTTTGAACATTTTAAAATTATTCATTACAATGATGATATAAATTATAATGATATATAATTAAACGTGTCACGTATACATTTATAAATATAAAAATATAAAAATTCTGACCGTCTTTTATATTTAATATAAATTAAGAACTATCTCAATTTATACTCTCACCACACATAACAGCAAAACTATTAATTAGAATACCAATATTTCATTAAACTTAACAAGGTAAAAGACTTAATAAATTTTCAGAGAGCAGTAAAGTACCATACGAGCTTCAAGATAAAGGAAAAATCTAAATTACATTGATTTAATAAAGGATATAATTTACAATAAGATAAATA